GTGTAGCCGTGTGAGACTCCGCCCCCCCCCCCCCTCTTGTGGAGATGTTTTCGCGCCTAGGTCACACTTCCTGTGCTCAAGGATTTTCCAAGAAAACTTTCCTCTTGAACTAACTGCTGGGAAATAACTAGCAAGGCGTTTAAGGTTTAGTTTACGTCATTGATAGGGTAGACATCAAACAGTTACAAAAGAATTGCACACCAAGTGAACGGGGAACAAATGTGTGGAAAATAGAGCGGAATATTATTAGTACTTTATAAATTCACATGCGTTTTTTGAGAAATCGGAAATAGCCTAAATTACTACTTCCGGTCAACGGAAGTTACTCAAAATTTTAAAGAAGGCAGATAATTTGATTTTTTACTAATTTGTGAAATTTCATTTATCTATCTAAAATAGTATTCAAGTTATAGGCTTTTGAAAAATTGAAAGTAGAAAAAGTTCCACTTCCGGTTATTGGAAATCGCTGAAAAGTTGATACGGATCTACAAATTTGATATAATACTTATATATGAAATTTCATCAACTTAGCTGTAACGGTACTTAAGTTATCGTGTTTACAGACACACACACACAGACATACGGACCAAAAACATTCCGACTCAGTGAGGTGTAAAACGTCGAGATGTGTAAAAATCTCGATTTTTTTTGCACGATTACAATACTTTCTTTATACTTCGTATACGAGAAAATAAAAATTCATAAAAAAACGTTTTAATAAGCTTTTATGTAAAGATGCACTAAAATGTAGAAAATAAATGAATTTCTATTTATTACAATACTCTGCTCTGACAGATCAATGTTGGAACGTGGGTCAAGACATGAAGACAATGCAATCTGACATGTACCGTATTAAATGAATAACTGCTCATACAGTTTGGGTGTAGTATGCACTATTCATACCCAAACGTGAAATTGACTGACTTTCGAGTTTTAGTTCATCTTGTGTCAACCAGTGGCGTAGCCAGGTATTGGTCATGGAGGGGTTCAAACATTTTTCCATATGTATAAAATCATATATATATATATATATATATATATATATATATATATATATATATATATATATATATATATAGGGGTGTGAGTCAATGGGAGGGGTTATAACCCCCTAATCCCCCCCCCCCACCCCTTGCCTACGCCACTGGTGTCAACATATCTTTGCGAGATTTTCAACACTTCTCCATTTAAAAACAAAACAAAGAAATAAATGTTGAGAATGACATAAGGTTGTCGTTAACAAAAACTCAACCGCGAATGTAATTTCACTTATGGTATTAAAACAGTTATCAAAAATAATTTATATCGAAAGTTTACTTTAAAATATCTTATTTTAATGCTTATTAATTTCCTTACTAATTTCGACTTTTTTAATTATAAGGGGCTCACGGGTAAGTTACTTTTTTTAAAACGGGGTCGCCACTCTAAAAAGTTTGGGAACCACTGATCTAGGCTGCGCTGCAATAAATATATAAAGTCTCTGAAGTCTCCCTCTGAAACTGAGAGAAACGTGACTTTAAACAAAGTCTCTGAAGTCTCCCACTGAAACTGGGAGAAACGTGACTTTAAACAAAGTCTCTGAAGTCTCCCGCTGAAACTGAGAGAAACGTGACTTTAAACAAAGTCTCTGAAGTCTCCCGCTGAAACTGAGAAAAACGTGACTTTAAACAAAGTCTCTGAAGTCTCCCGCTGAAACTGAGAGAAACGTGACTTTAAACAAAGTCTCTGAAGTCTCCCGCTGAAACTGAGAGAAACGTGACTTTAAACAAAGTCTCTGAAGTCTCCCTCTGAAACTGAGAGAAACGTGACTTTAAACAAAGTCTCTGAAGTCTCCCTCTGAAACTGAGAGAAACGTGACTTTAAACAAAGTCTCTGAAGTCTCCCGCTGAAACTGAGAGAAACGTGACTTTAAACAAAGTCTCTGAAGTCTCCCGCTGAAACTGAGAGAAACGTGACTTTAAACAAAGTCTCTGAAGTCTCCCGCTGAAACTGAGAGAAACGTGACTTTAAACAGTCTCTGAAGTCTCCCTCTGAAACTGAGAGAAACGTGACTTTAAACAAAGTCTCTGAAGTCTCCCGCTGAAACTGAGAGAAACGTGACTTTAAACAAAGTCTCTGAAGTCTCCCGCTGAAACTGAGAGAAACGTGACTTTAAACAAAGTCTCTGAAGTCTCCCTCTGAACTTGAGAGAGAAACGTGACTTTAAACAAAGTCTCTGAAGTCTCCCACTGAAACTGGGAGAAACGTGACTTTGAACAAAGTCTCTGAAGTCTCCCACTGAAACTGAGAGAAACGTGACTTTAAACAAAGTCTCTGAAGTCTCCCAATGAAACTGGGAGAAACGTGACTTTGAACAAAGTCTCTGAAGTCTCCCACTGAAACTGAGAGAAACGTGACTTTAAACAAAGTCTCTGAAGTCTCCCACTGAAACTGGGAGAAACGTGACTTTGAACAAAGTCTCTGAAGTCTCCCTCTGAACTTGAGAGAGAAACGTGACTTTAAACAAAGTCTCTGAAGTCTCCCGCTGAAACTGGGAGAAACGTGACTTTGAAAAAAGTCTCTGAAGTCTCCCACTGAAACTGAGAGAAACGTGACTTTAAACAAAGTCTCTGAAGTCTCCAACTGAAACTGGGAGAAACGTGACTTTAAACAAAGTCTCTGAAGTCTCCCGCTGAAACTGAGAGAAACGTGACTTTTAACAAAGTCTCTGAAGTCTCCCACTGAAACTGGGAGAAACGTGACTTTGAACAAAGTCTCTGAAGTCTCCCGCTGAAACTGGGAGAAACGTGACTTTAAACAAAGTCTCTGAAGTCTCCCACTGAAACTGGGAGAAACGTGACTTTGAACAAAGTCTCTGAAGTCTCCCGCTGAAACTGGGAGAAACGTGACTTTGAAAAAAGTCTCTGAAGTCTCCCACTGAAACTGAGAGAAACGTGACTTTAAACAAAGTCTCTGAAGTCTCCCACTGAAACTGGGAGAAACGTGACTTTAAACAAAGTCTCTGAAGTCTCCCACTGAAACTGAGAGAAACGTGACTTTGAACAACAAAGAACAAGTCGCGTTAGTAACACTGGCTAGAGAAATCGCACACAGTAGCGTAGCGAGGGGGGGGGGGGACATATGTCCCCGGGCGCCGACCTTAGGGGGCGCCAAAATGGGTTGGAAAAATAAATAGAAAGGTTGAGGGGGTATGATGACGCAAGATTACGTCAGACATGTTTAGCAGATATAGGTTAGCAGAAACAGACTATAGGCCTAGTTGGTTGGGTAGAGAGGCCAATGGGCGCACAGGGCTGACCGGTCACGTGGGACGGTCAGCTGACCACTGAGGCGTGGGGCAGTAGAGCGATAGGCCAGGAGTTGTTAGGTAGCGGCAGAGACGGCCGAGAATGTAGATAGTTAGGAGATCATGATTAGCTAGCGAAGGCAGAAGGTGTTAGGTTGTAGAATGGAGCAGACGTAGAATGTAGAGAACAGTTAGATAGTGTTAGGAGTGGTCACGGGAGTGTGTAGTTAGTAGTATAGTGAACAGTTAGTAGTAGTAGTAAACAGTAGAGAGTGTAGAATAGGCTGGTTAGATAGAACTGATTATAATTTTAATAAAGAACAATTATAGTTGAACTTGAACTGTGTGTTATTGGATTCATTCGTTACGCCTTCATAAAAATCCCCACCCTCACAACTGGTGCAACAAGAAGAACCCCAAACAAAGATTCTTTCGTACCATCACAGGGGGGTGCAAATCGAAAGTTTGAGGGGGGGTGCAAATCGAAATCTCGAGGGGGGGGAAGCAAATCGAAAAGATTGTCCCCGGGGGCCGGGAAGGGTCGCTACGCCTCTGATCGCACATTAGGCTTGATATAATGTGTGTTCTTTAATCTGGGGTAAATCCTTCTGATTTACTTTTGCGAGAAAGCAGCCCCTACCCCACCCTGTCTCACTAAAGCAGGTGAGCGGATTTTTACCGGTCACTGATTCATACGTTTTTTTTTTTTTTTGCTGTTACACAATCAATGCAGAAAACGGGCTTATCAGTGTAATTAAAGCCCTGCAACCGTTTATTCTAAATGTGACTGTGTATCATTCAATACTGTAAAAGCTCATTTGCGCTACAGTGTAGCTTAAATGAGCTTTTATAAAAAATATTTCTTCCCCTTTTGGCGTCCTCGTCTATCCACCCGTCGTCCAAAGATACACAACTCCACTGTCCGAAATGCAGGATGGTGTAAATCTGTACTTACTATCATACTAAGTAATTATTAATTCATTCAATTCCAAAAAAAAATTGTTTTCTCAATGTTTCCAGTGTGTTTTTTTTTTCGCCGCATCTTTTCGGATAATTAAAACTATTCAACAAAAATGTTAACTTTTTTGTAAAATCTATATATATAATTCTCTTCTGTGAGACGCTAGAAAACAAGCTGTAAGCGCGCTCCCTACCACCCCACCCCTACATTGTCTGGTGAGCTGTGGTTCACGCTAAATGTTTACTTTCTTAGAGCCGGGTTAAGTGACGGCTATTAGGGGCAGATAATTTAGTTTGAACCGATTTTAAACTATGGGGAGGTAACTAAGAGGAGGCTGCTTTCACGAGGGGGGGGGGGTGTAGGGTAGGGGTTGGGGGAAAGGATGGTGGGGGTAGTATCGTCCTTAACGAACTACTGATAGTGTTTTAAAGCAAATATTTTCAGTGGCAGCATTGGTACTTTCGAATTCACAAATAATGAATTACTGAAAAGTAGAAAATAATACAACTAAATAGCGGCGTATGATATGCCGCGGGTCGGCTCGTTTAAAATATTTCAGTTGGTGTCTCTCCCATTTACACCTCCCCCCCCCCCCCCCACCGCTTTATATCGTTGAGAAAGCCATTAACAATATAGATTTAGATCTAGTATGTATTATGTAAGGTATTGTACGGCTCCTTTTGGCTAGAAATACACAACCAAGTTCGACAAATTACGGGGTTTTTTATGTTAGGAGTTAAATTTAATAACAACTTTGGAGTAAAGTCCCTTTAAAAATGGAATCTGATAAGAAATGGTTTATGACAATATATAAACTCTTATTTTTTTAAATTAATTTTCCAATCAGGGAAAACTAAGTGTATTTTTGTGTAAACGATGTCTGGCATACCGACCGACTCCATTGCTCTTTTAAATTTCTTCGTTTTTAATCCAGAGTACGGAACAAGAGAAGGAGAGGTAGGTAACTTGAACTTGGGGTAAAACCTTCCTTTACTTTATTAAGTTATTAAATTTATTATTATTAAGTTTAGTTTAGCGTCGTAAATTCGGCCAAAACTAGTAATATGGGGGAGAGTGAATTTTAATGAATATGTATTTAAATAATAAATATAAGGGGTAAAACCTTATTTAGTATTTAGCGTCGTAAATTCTGCCAAAACTAGTAAAAGTAATAATGTGGGTAGGCATTCCGACTTCCGCTGTTTCGATTCGGTATTCAACATCCGGACTTTTCGATGCAGTCTTTATAAAAACTCGCCCTTTTCCAAAGAATGCCGAATCTCACTGTTGGAATCGAGTTTTTAGAAATATTCGATATAGATATTCTAGTGTAGTCGTATTATATGTTTCAATTAGAAAATTACCGCCATTATGACAATCTTTAAGCCGAAATCGATCGCACGATTCTAATGAGTTTATCTCGCGAACATGTCCCGTACGGTGCTGTCACATTTTAAATAAGTTTACGTATTAAACCCTTTATAAGTGTCTTGCCATTAGTTGTAAGTGTCCATTAAATAAACAAATATTATTATAATAACGGTTTTATGGCACTTACTACTTCTGCTTACGAGTTATCATACATGTCAAATCCCCGAGCTAGCGCTTCGGCCTTGACAACGCCATGGCGTCGGTTTAGCACAGCATTACCTATTATCGATAAAATACGCGCACTAATGCCAATGACGTAGTTTTCGAAGTTGGAAAGAATTTAAATTGTGGGTGGCACTGTTAAAACTAGATAAAATACGTTGATCAAGTTATCTATTAAAACCGACAGGCAAGAATCTTAGGCTTACATTAAATAGTGTTAAGCATTTCACACATACCTACTTACTTAGATTTAAGGCATTTTAAGGCTAATACTAATAGCCTTTAATATACTATTATACTTTATACTATAAATAAGTTATAGGCCTATTTCTTAGTATAACTAATGCTATATACTATATGTATCGATTGATAAAGTAAGTCTGGGCCTATTATTGGTTATGATAAGCAAAGAAGCTTGGTGATAAACTTATTTAATTATTTGTAATAATTATGCTTATGACATTAGTAAATAATTAACAAAAGGTGCAGCAATTGACATGGGGGGGGGGGTACTAATTAATAAGGCAGTGAATTTAGAATGACATGAAAAAGGCATGATAATTATTATTCATAATAATTTAGGATACAATTTTTACATTTAATAATAAAAAGTAACAAAAAACAAATAACAACAAACAATACAGATTTCAATCACTGCATGTTGCCAATATATATATTCATATAAGCAGATAGACAGGGAAGCTGTAACTTCTGATTTGGTACAAATTAACACTTAGCTTAATAAACTTTTACAAGAATTTAAGGTTTTTCTATTGATTAGTAATTTAGTTGTACCAAAATATCAATAGGGTCTTATAAAGGCCCTAGTATATTAAAGTAGTTTCCCTTTTGGACCTGTCAATCCATCATCCATAAAGCAGCTGAAGTAGAGTTTATCTGTTTCTTGACCCATGCACATGAAGTGATGGTGTGGTTAGCTCTCTGCCAAGCTATCTTTACTTTCCCTTGGGTCAGGTACTCATCTGAGCTTGGTGGATGCTGCACGTTGCACAGACAGACTCGCCTGAGATCTGAGCTTAAGACTTGCATGTTGGTAGTTGGGTGCTTTAACACACCATCCCTAGTTTTATTTTTCAGCATTCTTCTTATTACATGCTTCAGTATCAATAACCAAAATGTATCCTATCTATTATAGTAACATTCTGGACATATGTCCGTTGCAGTCACTATAATTACTATAAAAGGGTGCAACACCCTTTCAAAAATTCATAGGACTTTTTAATTATATGCAGTCATACTTAATATAATTTTTTTCTATATTTCTATTGCCCCCACCCTCTAGCAAAGTTTCAATTTTAATATTAAAAAAAAAACATAGACTTTCAGTCTGCATATTGACCTATATAGAACAGCACCCCTCACTTTAATTTGGCTAGATTAGTTCTAATTATCCTTCATCAAATTTTGATTTTACTTTCATATTTCTATTGCCCACACTCTCTAGCACTAATGTGCAAAGTTTTATAATTATATCTCGAATAGCAGCAGTGGTATGCAAGCCTAAAGCCAATCACACAATTAAATCCGACGTTACAGTGATATATAACAGGTTTAATACATAACTTTAAAAATTCATATAAAAAAAACTATTAGGCCTAGAATGATAAATTTGGTATTTTTTTCAATGGGGTATATTATAGGATTAATCTGTGTACATTTTATCATTCTATGGTAATTAGGAAAAATATCCCAACATTCCTATAATGTGGGGAACATATCAATTAAATTATATAGGCCTAACGGTAATCTATCGTTTTGGGTACGTAAAATCGCCCGCGGCTATTAATGTACGAAAACGTTACGTCATTGTCAAGGCTGTAATAGAAGTGTATTGTGATATGTTTGTGTCAAATATTATAGATAAATGAATAATAAACCTAAATCAATGGCTAAATATATCAATATAGGCCAGAAATTAACTTTAAACAGCGGTGTCTGCAAGCAAGATTTGTTTTATAAACAGCAGCCATTTGTAAAATAGAGTGACTTCCGCCTGAATCTTGCGCTATATGTCTATAAAAATAAAACTTTAACAAGATGGCTGCTATAGTAAATGAGCATGGTTGCATCTGTTGGAAACATCGCTGGTGTTCATTTATTACTGAAAAGTTTTAATTCAATTGTTTAAAAACAGGTACATAAATGAAACAAGGAAACATTTTTGTATTTTTCAAAACATAAATCCTCCTCAAAATGTGAAATAATTATTAAAATGTAAGGAGTCACCTGTTTTTCACATTACTAGTCGCGGGCGATTTTACGTACCTAAAACGATAGATTACCGGCCTAACTAATATTATAAATATGAATATAGTATAAAACCTACCTATAGGCCTGTTGTATATTCTACTAACTCATATTATGAGTTAGTAGAATATAGGTAGGCTATATTCAATATACTTTAGCCTACCTATAATTATAATATTTGATTTATTCATCTCTTCAGCTCTCCATCTCTTCCTGTTAATACTTGTGCACGGAACAAAATAAATGCTCTGTTTCCATGATATTGTCTGGTTTCTTGAAACAACTGCTGCCTTGTAGTTTGTTCTTGGTTGGACATAGGCTATGGAAGCAAATCCAAAAAGAAAAGCAGGCTGAAATCGGAGTCAATGGCCTCAATGGCGCATAACCAGTTGACACGTAAAGCTTAATTGTGTTGGAGGCGTGGTCGAGTCGGCAAAAAGCTCATGGTTGATAAATTCGAACAAAGTCTCGAGTTCAAACCCACTGGCAGATAAGTCTCGATCCCCTTCAACACTAATAATTAAGAACGAAGAAGAAGAAGAAGAAGTCTGGTTTCATATTGCTCAGGCTTTCTCTTGCCAAAGGTGAAATTTATAAAGGAAAGTGGAACATCAGTTATTTTAATGGACAAAAAAAAACTCACTTTACCACAAACACATTTTGCATTGAATATTTATTGAATCCTAAACTATGTTGCAAAGTCATTGTAAGGTATAAGCTATAAATAAATTCTACAAACGTTTTGGGTCCAGAACAAGATTTTGAAAAGCGGTTTGCCGTCACTCGGATACATGATTCTCCTTTTTGCAGAATTAAAGGTTGCCATATTCTTTCACTGAGTTCCCTTGGTCACTAGCTCTTCAATCATTTTTCCAGATATTGTTACGTGAAACAAAATTATGTGTAGGGAAAGTTACCTTGAACCGAGAACAACTTGCAGGGTTTTCAACACACACTATAGGCCTAAATCATTGGGGAAATGAATTTATTAATAAAATATACAAATGTAAAAAAAAAAGTAATCATAAAACTATAATGATATATCGTATGAATATAAGATTAGGATAATCACTGAATAGAATTTGATTCATTAATTTGAGGAGATAATAATCTTTTGAACTAGTGTCTGAACCACTAATGAGTCTAATGACAAACATATCTACTTACCTAAATAAGATGTTCAAACAAAAAATATGTAAGCCTACTAATTAATCTTTAAATTAAAATGGTTTAATTGATATTGAAATACTCACTACTTGATGTCCTTACATCTAGATCTAGAATCTACGGCTGGCTTAAGTCTAGTTTTTCCGTAGATCTAGATCTAGAATCTAAATAAAGTAAATTTTATAAGTTTAGGCCGAGAAAATTGTATATATTTCATAGCGTACATCTTGATAAGTAGATCTAGATCTAAATCAAATTTGAATGAAATAGTTCATTTCTTTATATTCTAAAATGGAAAGATGACTCCATTAGTTTTGTTTTCTTTCCTTAGTTTAAACATGTAGCATGTGACGTCATTGTTTATTGCATTCTTGTCACTACAATAAACACTTTAGTTAGAAATGTGTTGCTACATTCGAATATGCCTTTTTTTTTATTTTCCTTCTTTAAAAAAATTTAGTTTATACATTTATAACATCCACCATATTATTTTCAACAAAAGTCTGTATCTTTAAGTTCTCCATATATCATTGAACATACTGATCACATTGTCGAAAAATATTGCGGACAGAGAGAGAGAGAGAAGTGCGCACATGGTCTTTTATATATTAGGATAATGGGTATACTTTGCAATCCAATAAGTAAATTAAGAAATCTTATTAAAAATTTAGTAAGCCTAGTTAGTAGTTGTATTTAGCCTAGTTAGTTGTATTGTTTGGTTTTATTCAATTATTAATTAAACATTTTCGTGCCAGTGGCATTCAGTTTAGTTAGGCTAAAAAATTGAGGGATTAGTATTAGCTTGTGAGTATTGTAGCTCTGCTTTAGTGTGGCATTTTTTAGAATTACTGAAAGTTTGATCTTTAACTTTTTTTTTTTTACAAACATAAAGTAAATTTTCAGACTAAAAAATTTGGAATATCGCTAGTATTTTGGGCTGGAGTGGAATCACGTTTTAGAAACAAAACTTGTTCATATTTTCCGACTAACAAAAAATCTATTCTTAAGTGAATTAACTCCAATTTTTCCCCACACTACACTGTGTAATGTTTTGTGACATATTTGCTGGATCACAGAGTTACTACAATTTTTCCCCACACTACACTGTGTAATGTTTTGTGACATATTTGCTGGATCACAGAGTTACTACAATTTTTCCCCACACTACACTGTGTAATGTTTTGTGACATATTTGCTGGATCACAGAGTTACCACATCAGTGGGAGAGTAGGGAGATGTTTGCTTGCATGACTGACCATGTGAATGTGCTACGAGAATATTTCCAAAACACTATTTACTAGATCTTGGACCAATCTAGGTTGAATAAGTCTAGACTACTCAACAAGAGCAGACCTAAATTATTTAATTACTTTATTACTATTCTTTTTAAGCAATTAACTCTCACCAGTATGCAATACTATTTTAGTAATAGTTTAATTGAAAACATAATGCAATTACATCATGAACAGATTGTACAAGTTTAATGTTGGAAATAAAATACTTTCATCCTTTTAATCAATTATTTTAATTATAAAAATTATGGAGGGGGGGGGGGTAGTAGGCAGCTTTGGAAAAGTTATTTTCTGTCAATTTGGCTAGAGAAAGTTCAATATAATGATATGCTCAATTGCCTAAAATAGATGTCATTATACTGTACTTATAATGAGGGTACACCTGTTGCATCATTTTATTAATTAGTAGCAAACACATTATCTGTATAAAGTCTGGAATCCTTCCAACAAAAAAGTCTGGGGAAAGTATGGAATTTAATATCCTAAAAGTCGTACTAATCGTGTTACCACATATTGCTATTGCTGTATGTATAATTAATCTCTTTCTTTATCTACATAGGAGGAAAAGAAAATTTTATTTTACCATCCCCCTGAAGTTGATATTGACACAAAAATAAAAAGAGTTGGTTTAAGTGAAGCTATTGTTAAATTTTCAGAGTAAGTTCTAGTTGTGTTTGAATAATGTTCATGTTGTTTATCAGTTAGTACTAGTGTGTAGTATTCTTTGAATAATGTTCATGTTGTTTATCAAAGTTAGTACTAGTGTGTAGTATTCTTTGAATAATGTTCATGTTGTTTATCAGTTAGTACTAGTGTGTAGTATTCTTTGAATAATGTTCATGTTGTTTATCAGTTAGTACTGGTGTGTAGTATTGTTTGAATAATGTTCATGTTGTTTATCAGTGTTAGTACTAGTGTGTAGCAATTTTAAAAAAATAACATTCATGTGGTTTATATAGTACAGCAGTTGTCAATAATTTTAAAAAAATAATGTTCATGTGGTTTTTGTGGTACAGCAGTTGTCAATAATATAAAAAGTTAAGTTTGACATGTTGAGTTGTTATAAACATTTGGCTTTGTCTTAGGACTTTTTCAGATAGACCATGCCAAAGTCTACATACACAGAAAACAAGGCAGGTCTTCTTAGAACCTGAACCATCCTTTTGGATGATAATGGTAGGTTCACTTGGCTGTCCTTTAATGGTGTGTGTGTATGTATATACAAATACACGCGCACACACACCCACACACACAACTTACTGTAAGCTACTTTATCCAATAAAGTGTTGTTTTCTTCAGACTGTGTCCATTCCATTTAAAGAAAAATCCCTTGATGGTCAGAAAGTGACGGAGTACAGAGATGACCATGTCCAAGATTCAGTATTTGAGGCCATCCTAGGACAAGCATATAAGATGTTTAAAGTAAGGCCATCTTTGGACAAGCATATAAGATGTTTAAAGTAAGGCCATCCTAGGACAAACATATAAGATGTTTAAAGTAAGGCCATCTTTAGACAAGCATATAAGATGTTTAAAGTAAGGCCATTTTAGGACAAGCATATAAGATGTTTAAAGTAAGGTCATCTTTAGACAAGCATATAAGATGTTTAAAGTAAGGCCATCTTTAGACAAGCATATAAGATGTTTAAAGTAAGGCCATTTTTTACAACTTCTATTTTTAGCGCAATATCCATTCTGGAGAATTGCGTTTATTAACCCGTCATTTCTGGATGGATGAATGTGTGTCCGCAGCTTTAAGTCGTATCTCCTCCTCAACGAAGCAATATCGATGACTAGTTCCAAAAGCAATTATGTTAAGCAAGTTACGAGGATGAACATAGGGTTTCTTTCATGTATTTCCCGGAAAAGCAAAAAAAACCTCGAAAAAATACAGTTTTTGGCCCATATCTCGGCAACCAGACCACTTAGCGACTTGAAACATGTACCAATCGATTCCTGCCATAATTTAGAACAATATTGCCGAAGAAAGTTTTCAAAAATATCCTTTCGTTCGGTCACAAAAAATTTTTTGAATTAATTAAAATTTGGACTGAATTAGTAGGCATTTTTATCCAACCACACCACACGCGTCATCACGTTCAATAGCTGCGTCATCACGTTCAATGGCTGCGTCATCACGTTCAGTAGCTAGGCGCGCAATGGTTTTTAGTCATGTAACTCTATTGTAAATAAAACATGTATTTTAACCAATGGTTTTACTAACCCTGCTCTTGATTTACGCTACGACAGAGCTATTTTTAGATAACATAAGGAAATTGCGCTTAAATGTCACTAGACTTTTTAATTAACTTGTTTTATTTGCAAAAAAGATTTTTGTTTTTTATTTTCAGTATTAAACCCAAAACAATTTTAGTACTAGATGGAAGTCAACTTTGATTATTCTTAACTTTGTTTTTGATACATAGAATGTACATATGATCTTAAATTTGTTGAACCCACAGCTGTTTAATGGAACTTTCACTACAATCCTAAACCGAGCAAACGGGGAAGTAGAGGCTTTAAAACAAAGACTGGAACATTTCTACAGCAAAGTGAGTCCATTTACTATTTTTATACAGCCATATTTTGGAAAACCACTCTAGCTAATTATCTTTATATCTTTTTAAATAGTATTTAAATTGCTATAGCTACTTTAATGTGTGAGGCAATGTTTTAATAATGTGGGCGACTACATACTTTATGTAGCGAGTTGCGCAGCTTGCGCCGTGACCTTTGTTGCCATGGTAATCATGGCTGTACCTTGAACCTGAAGTTCTTGCTTCCGGTTGACCTTAGGTATTTAGGGGCCTATCAGTTTATGCTAATGAGTAGAGCCCACGGTCTACATTTAATTACGAAGGGGTCCTCATCTTTACGATAAGATGTTTTAAAAATTAATCGCGTTTTATTTCTTGTATTTTGTTTGAAACATCACCAAGGATTAGTGTGCTCAAATATAAGGTAAGTTTGGATAATTAATTATATACTTAAAATTTAAAGTCAGAGAAAAGTATATTAATGATTCAAGTCTAAGGGTCGAAAAAAATTAATATCTGTTAAAAAATTATGTCTTAACCCTCCACATAGGCAGAAAAGTCGCCCTCGAGTAAGCCTTATTCTCGCGCCAAATTCCCAGTAATTATTACATAATTAAAATATCGCATCTCTTGATATCCGCTCTCTGATATTAGTATTAGTTATTCATTGTCACTTAGGCCTTGATTCTAATTATAATTTTATTAGTTTAAGTAGCCTACATACTAAATTATTACGGTTGAATAGGTCTAGATCTAGACTCTAGACTGTACATTTACTTTATTTTTAGATCTTTACATAAAAATAGGCTATTAGATCTTGATCTAGCTAGATCTACTAATTATATTCTACATCATCAAGAATAGATTTAGAAAAATCTACTGATCTAGTAACTAGAATCTAGACTTAGTAAAAAAATTAAAAAGAATCTACTAGATCTAGATCTAGATTTAGTATTTAGATCTAAGATTCGAGTGATCTAGATCTAGTAAAAATTAATCTAGATCTATTAAGAAATGGACTAGTTAATTTTGTTTAGGGCCTAGATCTAGTAGTTACAATAAATATATTATATTTAATATAATGTTTATTATTTTATTTTTGCAGAAACTTGCATTCTATTTCATCCAAGGAGTCTAGATCTAGTCTAGATCTTGTAAAAATAGTAAGACATTGTTATTGTTAAGATTAGATTTAGACTAGTTCAGGCATAATTCTCCATCAAATAGGCCTGGCCTAGGCCTATATATAATGTATATATAATATATCTATAATACTAGGCCTATATATAATTTTTTATAAAGCCCTATGCTATGCCCTCTATTATTTCAGCAGATTATTTAGACCTCTTTATTAAGGCCAGTTTCAGCACTTAGATCTAGTAATTTTTTTAAAATATGAAGTTAATACTAGACTTATAGCAAAAAAAAAATAGGCCTATACATAGGGCCTACAGCTTGAGTAAATTTGTTTTCCTTGTAAATCTTATTTGCTTATAGGCAAGACTAACCCAGTGTAAGGAGGATTGCTAATGACCTAATGTAATCAGAAACTTGATGGCTGAGATAAAGCGGCTGAGGAGAACAGAGGCTTGTGAGTGGATTAGGTTGGTGGAACTTGTGTACAGCCCTATCTATGTTCAATGTCTCAGGTGGAAGTTCATTTAGTAAGTATGGAGGCTGAATTTATTTCTAATTTTTATATTTATTTTATATACCTTGCAATATGTTTAGCTAAATATATACTTTGTGAAATGGTCTGCTTAATTCTAATTCCATTTGCCCTTCTCTTTTCAGGTAGTTTTCATGGAGATCCAGCTTTTATTCAAGGCTCATCTTAAAGAGAATGATGTGGCTGCTGGGACATAACTTAAGTCTACATTCAACTGCTTGCAGATCTCAAGAAGCCTGGGGTTCTCGTCCAGCGCTGCAAGCACTCAGGCTGATTGGGAAGTTAATTTCTGGTCCTTTGATAAAGTTGATTTACAAGAACGCAAAGTGGCGATCAGTTGTACTCTGTTTCTTAAAGTCATGGAAGCGTTGTTGACTTCTACTGAGCCTTTCTTGGTGCGACAGCTGGAGAGGTTTCTGATGGGAAATCTGATTGGTGGCCAGTTGACTCATAAGTGGGAGCAAGGTGATCAGGGTGTGTCGCAATACAGTGGAAGGACTATTGAAAGGGTGCCAGCAACAAAACAAAAGTCAGCTCTTTACACCATAAGCTACTGGGCAGATGATTAGGATAATGCTGAGAATCTGTCATCTGGCAGAATCACTGGTTGTTGACTTGCTTTGTAAGAATCTTGTTTTTCTTACTGAATAATTGCTAATCAAGAGTTACAGAGTACTTCTTTCATTTGTAGTATACAAATTAACTTTATTTTTTTAACATTAGTGTTTCAAAGTTGTTACTGAAAAAATGCTTGCTGTGAATTGTAAAAATTTTGAAAACTAACACTAACAATGTTTATAATTAAGTTTTGTTTTCATAATGTAAAAAAATAATTACATTTTAATTACGTAACTTATTTTTCAGGGTAATTTGAATCAGCAAGATAATCCTAGAATCATTAGTTAAGTGCTTCAAAAATGTTGGTCCAAACTAATTTAAACTATTTTCTTTTTCAGTTTGATCACTCAAGTAGCAACGCTTTTTAAAAATGTATTTCTTTTCCTTATATGTGCTAATTGAAATTGTATCTAAAGATTAATTACAATTGATACCTTAGAAAATTGTTTTTAAACACTAAAGTAATCCAAGAAATTAGTTGTCACTAATTATTTTTTTTCCAGCATGGGTGTTTATTCCTTGATAATTAATACTATTTTTCTTCTTGAAAGGGATCGTAATGAGACGAGGCTGATTTCTTGTACTGTAGATTTGTTTCTTCACACTAATTATGATTATGTAACTGTTTTACATTACTATGTTGATTGTAGATTATACAAAGGCTAAATTTAGGTTGTCGCTATGTAATTTATTTCTTTGCTCTGATAAACATATTTTTAAATTATTGCAAAAAACTTTTGTTTTTTACTTTGCCATTCTCCTAAATGTTTCTATTTTATTAGACAAAATCAAAATTCATGTGGTGATCTGATAACTGTATTTTAATAATTTATATTTCTTTTAGCAAACATTGAAATGTCTGTATTGTCAGTATTGTTACATTGAATTGTTTACTAGTAATAAATAAATACTGGTACACACTTTGACAGCTGTTTCCTTTTTATTTTATAATTTTATTATGGCCTACTGATATAGACACTGATATCAAGTACAAAGGGGTGGGGGGGGGGGCTGAAAAAGTAACGTCAAGGCAACCAGTTGCAACTTTCATTTATCATGTAGTGTGTGTGTGTATGTAGGTCTACTCTACTTCATCTACCCAAGTAATATCGTTCATTACAATAAGAACGTGTGCAGTGTAATATGTGCTTGTGCATTTCTATAATATAATAATAGTAGTGAAGTAACAGTATTAAATATTAATAATTCGTTTTACAATAACTAGATCTAGTTTTATTTTAAACCTACATTAATTTTTTTTTGTACATGGAACAATAAGTCAATATGTTATGAGGCTGACAATGGCATGTAATTACTCATTCAAATCACATTCAGTCCAGTATAACTTAGGCTTTAAGCTTGATTATAATTTTTTAGTTTTTCAAAAAATGCGAATCCCGGATGATGCAATAAAATTATAATTTTTTAATTTTTCGAAAAATGCGAATCCGTGATGATGCAATGAAAAAACCATCGGTGCCAACTTTTTTGTTTATGTAACATTGACTTGAATGACGAAGGTCTAAGCTGTTTTAGCCACGCCCACAATTTTTTAAAAGGCCATATCTTAGCTCCTAATTAAGCTAGAGACACATAATTGGTATCAATGTGTAGGGAAAAAAATACTGTTTTTTTGTGGTATAATTTTATTTGAAATTAGTGGAGTTTAAAAATTACGAGCAACAGCCTACTTTATGCTAGCAATTGACATAAAAAAACTTGAATATACAAGCAAATTTTACAAATGCTTACAGTTTCCTATGGTTGCCTTTCAGTATTTGTTGACTGTGAAAATAGCACATGGTGATATATTGGATATATTCAATGGCATTCACTTCCTGCCACTGGACAAGAATACTTACCTGCGCATACAGTGTTTTATCAACAGCCTAGAGGCCACTTTCCCATTCCTTAAATATACAGCTTTTTTATACAATGAAAAGTTAGTTTGGTAAGTTAAACCCATCTACAGCTTTTTTATACAATGAAAAGTTAGTTTGGTAAGTTAAACCCATCTACAGCTTTTTAATACAATGAAAAGTTTGTAAATAATGTAATTTAACCTGTGACTTAAGACTGATATGAGGAATGTTTGTAAATAATGTAATTTAACCTGTGACTTAAGACTGATATAAGGAATGTTTGAATAAAAAAAGCAGGAGTGGCCTAGAACAGGAAGACATGCGCATCATGTACAAGTACCTGACCTCCAGCCTCTTCCCCACATACATGGAGCAGGAGCTACATGGGGTACACAGCAGAACCTCTAGTGGCTTTGGTCACTATGGCAAGTATGTCCAGCTTTTTTCTTTCATTTGGTCACTATGGCAAGTAAGTCCAGCTTTTTTCTTTCATTTGGTCACTATGGATTTTTTCTTCCTTCTTCTTTGTTAATTATCTTCATTCTTAATTGTAATGTTGGGCAGAATTTCCTCGAACAGAATGAAGTGTTACATGTCAAGATGTTATACGGCATCAAGGCTGTTGACTTAAATTTCAGCCTACTTTTCTTTTTGGTTTAGCTTCTAAAGCCTTTTTCTAAGAACAAACTACAAAGCAGCAGTTGCTTCATTTTGTAGGTTTATACTTTGACCTCTTGTAGCATTATGACCTAACCTCCTATCTTATAGGTTTATGACGTAACCTCCTATCTTGTAGGTTTATGACCTAACCTCCTATCTTGTAGGTTTATGACGTAACCTCCTATCTTGTAGGTTTATGACAGGACCACCAGACCTGAATGATGACCACAACATGGGTAAGCTGCCACGCGTGTTTGTCAACACCGAGGAGTTGGATGAAGAGTGTTATTTGATCGTCTACACAGCCCTCAGTGCCACCATTTGCCTGCTGGTCAATGGTAAGTAGTTTTCACCTGCGTTTGTCCCGTTGGTCAATGTAAAAAGTAAAAGTAAAGTTCCCTTATTCAAACCTGACGGTGTATAGGGCAAGTGAAGTAGAGTTCACTTGTTTCTATGACCTCGGCATATGAAGAGATAGTGTGGTCAGCACTATGCCCAGCCGCCTTTACTTTCCCTGAGTTAGGTACCCATCAGAGTTGGCTGGTCAATGGCCAAGGTTTAAAAAGATGCTCCAGTGACAGCTGGACCAGTTTTTATATGCTGGTCAGTGGTCAAATTTTTACAAGGTCTGTGTGTAGGTTTGTGGCAAGTAATGTAACTTAATGTTGGCACTTCCAATGCAGCAAGTTATGTAACTTAATGTTGGCACTTCCAATGCAGCAAGTTATGTAACTAAATGATGGCACTTCCAATGCAGCAAGTTATGTAACTTAATGTTGGCACTTCCAATGCAGCAAGTTATGTAACTAAATGATGGCACTTCCAATGCAGCAAGTTATGTAACTTAATGTTGGCACTTCCAATGCAGCAAGTTATGTAACTTAATGTTGGCACTTCCAATGCAGCAAGTTATGTAACTTAATGTTGGCACTTCCAATGCAGCAAGTTATGTAACTAAATGTTGGCACTTCCAATGCAGCAAGTTATGTAACTAAATGATGGCACTTTCAATGCAGCAATTTCATTCAAACTTTATAAATATGGTCTTCTTTGATGACAATACATAATAACATTTATTAGATTTAATTAGAAAGACAATTTAATTAAAAAATTACTGTATTCAAATTAAAACTAGTGATAGCGATGGCTTGATTAGAGGGTCGGTGGATGATTGCACAAGGTGTGTTTACTATGAGCGAAGTAGGGGCAGTTAACAATCTTTTAGAGATGGCTGAACAGGTTTTAGCACAAATACTTTTTTGTATTGTCATTCACCCAGCGCCTAGTTCTTACAGACTATTAGGGGCAGATAATAGAGTTTTTAAACCTACTGATTTTAAAACAGTTTTAATAGAGGCCTTTATACTATTTATAGTGTGGACTACATATAAATAGCTTAAGAATTTCTAAAGATGAGAAAGTAAAACAAATATAAAAAGTCTTTCTAATAACAAGCTTTTAAATGCACTGAAAATAAGGAAATCATGCCATTCCTATATTCTACAACAGAAGGAGAGATAACTAGCTAGGCATGATGAATCTGCTTAGCTGTGGTTCACATTGAATACTTAGAATTGTCAATCGTAGAGCCGGTCGATCAAGTTAAAGTTATTAGGGGCAGATAATGGATTTTTTAAACAATTTGAAACTATGGGGAGGTAACAAGATCTGCTTGTTTTGTTTGCTGTCATCACAGACCAGGAGTGGGGGAGGAGGGCTTGTAAGTCACGGTCTCTTTCCATTCAAATTCAAAATCTTGTTAGCCAGGGCAAAATCTTCATTTTCGAACATAAATAATTGTCAACATGATTCCAATATTTAAAAAAACAATTGCTATTTGTTTTTAGGCCTCACTTCAAGTTTTAATAATACCAAAAGTACCCAAAATGCAACAATTTTATATTTTTAAGTAACGGTACGCCTACCACTAGCACAGGCTGTCTGGTGACCTACTTATAAGCCCTATTGTCTTTCACAAGTTACTGATAGTGTTTTAAAGCAAATACTTGTAGTCGCATCATTGGTAGTGTCCAATTCATAAATCAATTGCTAAAAAGTAGGAAGAAAAAAATAGAAAAAAACTTTCTAATAGCAAGCTTTAAAAGCACTGAAAATAAGATAATAAAATTATTTGCTTTCTTTCAATAAAGCTTTGGTTGCTAAAATATGTAAGAGATCTAATGACAACAACATTTTTATGAAAGGAAGCAAATGAGTTATATTATCTTATTGTCAGTGCATTACAAAGCTTGCTATTAAAAAGTTTTTTTCTATTTTTTTTTGCAACTAATTTTACCAGTGAGAAGTCCTTTAAATGTGCCTTTGTGTCGGAAACTGGACTCTGTTCTTGGGCCTCAGATGACCAAACTTGCATCTGATATTAGTGACCAGTACAACAAGAGGGTAGCTGCACTCAAGTAAGTGTGACAGACAGCACTCAAGTAAGTGTGACAGACAGCACTCAAGTAACAGACAGACAGCACTCAAGTAACAGACAGACAGCACTCAAGTAAGTGTGACAGACAACACTCAAGTAAGTGTGACAGACAGCACTCAAGTAACAGACAGACAGCACTCAAGTAACAGACAGACAGCACTCAAGTAACAGACAGACAGCACTCAAGTAAGTGTGACAGACAGTGCTCAAGTAAGTGTGACAGACAACACTCAAGTAAGTGTGACAGACAGCACTCAAGTAACAGACAGACAGCACTCAAGTAAGTGTGACAGACAGTGCTCAAGTAACAGACAGACAGCACTCAAGTAAGTGTGACAGACAGCACTCAAGTAAGCATGACAGTGGTCAAGTAACTGACAGAAAGCGCTCAAGTAAGTGTGACAGACAGTGCTCAAGTGAGTGTGACAGACAGCACTCAAGTAAGTGTGACAGACAGCACTCAAGTAAGTGTGACAGACAGCACTCAAGTAAGTGTGACAGACAGCACTCATAAGCGAGACAGACAACACTCAAGTAAGTGTGACAGACAGTGCTCAAGTAAGTGTGACAGACAGCGCTCAAGTAAGCGTGACAGACAGTGCTCCAGTGTTTCGCAGTACTCAGCAACCAAGACATCAACACTGATAAGATGCTCATTAAAAAGACTTTGATGGATGCTTTGACAACCCTATGCTGCAAGCCCTTAAGTCTTGTTGAACTCAGCTAACCCTGTCTTTATATGTGATATTCTTGTTTATTTAGCTCAGGTGACCCTGTCTTTAAGTATGTGATATTCTTGTTTATTTAGCTCAAGTGACCCTGTCTTTAAGTATGTGATATTCTTGTTTATTTAGCTCAAGTGACCCTGTCTTTAAGTATGTGATATTCTTGTTTATTTAGCTCAAGTGACCCTGTCTTTAAGTATGTGATATTCTTGTTTATTTAGCTCAAGTGACCCTGTCTTTAAGTATGTGATATTCTTGTTTATTTAGCTCAAGTGACCCTGTCTTTAAGTATGTGATATTCTTGTTTATTTAGCTCAAGTGACCCTGTCTTTAAGTATGTGATTTTCTTGTTTATTTAGCTCAGGTGACCCTGTCTTTAAGTATGTGATATTGTTTATTTAGCTCAAGTGACCCTGTCTTTAAGTATGTGATTTTCTTGTTTATTTAGCTCAAGTGACCCGGTCTTTAAGTATGTGATATTCTTGTTTTTTTAGCTCAAGTGACCCTGTCTTTAAGTATGTGATATTCTTGTTTATTTAGCTCAAGTGACCCTGTCTTTAAGTATGTGATATTCTTGTTTATTTAGCTCAAGTGACCCTGTCTTTAAGTATGTGATATTCTTGTTTATTTAGCTCAAGTGACCCTGTCTTTAAGTATGTGTATTTTAACCACATGAACCTGGCCCAGCAGACAACTGTACACATTGACCTCCAGAAAAGGTCAGGGGTCAACATTCCACATGACATTCTGCGCCTGCTAGGTGACATCAATGCAGATCTCACAAAGTATGTCATCTTCAAACTTCAATTACTGCATTTCCTTTCAGAACCTGCACCTTTTCAGAACCTAAACACACCACCACATGACCACACCACCACCTAACCACATGACCACAACACCACCTAACCACACCACAACATTACCACAACACCACCTGACCACATCACCACCTGACCACACCACCATTTTACCACAACACCACCTGACCACACCACCACATGACCACACCACCACATGACCACACCACCACATGACCACACCACCACATGACCACACCACCACATGACCACACCACCACCTGACCACACCACCACCTGACCACACCACCACATGACCACACCATCACCTGACCACACCACCACATGACCACATCACCACACCACCACATGACCACATCACCACCTGACCACACCACCACATGACCACACCACCATCTGACCACACCACCACATTACCACACCACCACATGACCACACCACCAAATGACCACACCACCACATGACCACACCACCACATCACCACACCACCACACCACCACATGACAACCTGACCACACCACCACCTGACCACACCACCATCTGACCACACCACCACCTGACCACACCACCACCTGACCACACCACCACATGACCACACCACCACCTGACCACACCACCACCTGACCACACCACCACATGACCACACCACCACATGACCACACCACCACATGACCACATGACCACACCACCACATGACCACATCACCACCTGACCACACCACCACATGACCACACCACCATCTGACCACATTACCACACCACCACATGACCACACCACCAAATGACCACACCACCACATGACCACACCACCACATGACCACACCACCACACCACCACATGACAACCTGACCACACCACCACCTGACCACACCACCATCTGACCACATCACCACCTGACCACACCACCACCTGACCACACCACCACATGACCACACCACCACCTGACCACACCACCACCTGACCACACCACCACATGACCACACCACCACATGACCACACCACCACCTGACCACACCACCACCTGACCACACCACCACCTGACCACACCACCACATGACCACACCACCAAATGACCACACCACCATACCACCACCTGACCACACCACCACCTGACCACACCACCACCTGACCACACCACCACCTGACCACACCACCATCTGACCACACCACCACCTGACCACACCACCACATGACCACCTGACCACACCACCACCTGACCACACCACCACATGACCACACCACCATCTGACCACACCACCACCTGACCACACCACCACCTGACCACACCACCACCTGACCACACCACCACCTGACCACACCACCACCTGACCACTCCACCACATGACCACACCACCACATGACCACATCACCACCTGACCACACCACCACCTGACCACACCACCACATGACCATCTGACTACACCACCAACTGACCACACCACCATCTGACCACACCACCACATGACCACACCACCACATGACCACCTGACCACATCACCACCTGACCACACCACCACATGACCATCTGACTACACCACCACATGACCACACCACCACATGACCACACCACCACCTGACCACACCACCACCTGACCACACCACCACATGACCACACCACCACATGACCACATGACCACACCACCACCTGACCACACCACCACATGACCACACCACCACATGACCACATGACCACACCACCACCTGACCACACCACCACCTGACCACATGACCACACCACCACCTGACCACATGACCACACCACCACCTGACCACACCACCACCTGACCACACCACCACCTGACCACACCACCACCTGACCACACCACCACCTGACCACACCACCACATGACCACACCACCACATGACCACACCACCACATGACCACATGACCACAACACCACTTGACCACACCACCACCACCTGACCACACCACCACCTGACCACACCACCACCTGACCACACCACCACATGACCACACCACCACCTGACCACACCACCACCTGACCACACCACCACCTGACCACACCACCACATGACCACACCACCACCTGACCACACCACCACCTGACCACACCACCACCTGACCACACCACCACCTGACCACACCACCACCTGACCACACCACCACATGACCACACCACCACCTGACCACACCACCACATGACCACACCACCACATGACCACACCACCACATGACCACCTGACCACACCACCACCTGACCACATCACCACCTGATTTCTCTCTGTTCACCAGAGACTGTGATGATGGTGAGACCATTGTTAAGACAAGTTCAGACTACTGGGTTGTGGGCAAAAAATCTGATCAGCGTGAATTTTATGTGGTCATCAACCAGAGGAATGCCAACCTTCTAGACATAAATGGTAGGTTGGTTAACATGGGAGCTATATGGGATGGTAGGTTGGTTAACATGGGAGCTATATGGGATGGTAGGTTGGTTAACATGGGAGCTATATGGGATGGTAGGTTGGTTAACATGGGAGCTATATGGGATGGTAGGTTGGTTAACATGGGAGCTATATGGGATGGTAGGTTGGTTAACATGGGAGCTATGGGGGATGGTAGGTTGGTTAACATGGGAGCTATGGGGGATGGTAGGTTGGTTAACATGGGAGCTATGGGGGATGGTAGGTTGGTTAACATGGGAGCTATGGGGGATGGTGGGTTGGTTAACATGGGAACTATGGGGGATGGTAGGTTGGTTAACATGGGAGCTATGGGGGATGGTAGGTTGGTTAACATGGGAGCTATATGGGATGGTAGGTTGGTTAACATGGGAGCTATATGGGATGGTAGGTTGGTTAACATGGGAGCTATATGGGATGGTAGGTTGGTTAACATGGGAGCTATATGGGATATAGGTTGGTTAACATGGGAGCTATATGGGATGGTAGGTTGGTTAACATGGGAGCTATGGGGGATGGTAGGTTGGTTAACATGGGAGCTATATGGGATATAGGTTGGTTAACATGGGAGCTATATGGGATGGTAGGTTGGTTAACATGGGAGCTATATGGGATATAGGTTGGTTAACATGGGAGCTATATGGGATGGTAGGTTGGTTAACATGGGAGCTATATGGGATGGTAGGTTGGTTAACATGGGAGCTATATGGGATGGTAGGTTGGTTAACATGGGAGCTATATGGGATGGTAGGTTGGTTAACATGGGAGCTATATGGGATGGTAGGTTGGTTAACATGGGAGCTATATGGGATATAGGTTGGTTAACATGGGAGCTATATGGGATGGTAGGTTGGTTAACATGGGAGCTATGGGGGATGGTAGGTTGGTTAACATGGGAGCTATGGGGGATGGTAGGTTGGTTAACATGGGAGCTATATGGGATGGTAGGTTGGTTAACATGGGAGCTATGGGGGATGGTAGGTTGGTTAACATGGGAGCTATGGGGGATGGTAGGTTGGTTAACATGGGAGCTATGGGGGATGGTAGGTTGGTTAACATGGGAGCTATGGGGGATGGTAGGTTGGCTAACATGGGAGCTATGGGGGATGGTAGGTTGGTTAACATGGGAGCTATGGGGGATGGTAGGTTGGTTAACATGGGAGCTATGGGGGATGGTAGGTTGGTTAACATGGGAGCTATATGGGATGGTAGGTTGGTTAACATGGGAGCTATGGGGGATGGTAGGTTGGTTAACGTGGGAGCTATATGGGATGGTAGGTTGGTTAACATGGGAGCTATGGGGGATGGTAGGTTGGCTAACATGGGAGATATATGGGATGGTAGGTTGGTTAACATGGGAGCTATCTGGGATATAGGTTGGTTAACATGGGAGCTATGGGGGATGGTAGGTTGGTTAACGTGGGAGCTATATGGGATGGGAGGTTGGTTAACATGGGAGCTATGGGGGATGGTAGGTTGGCTAACATGGGAGATATATGGGATGGTAGGTTGGTTAACATGGGAGCTATCTGGGATATAGGTTGGTTAACATGGGAGCTATATGGGATGGTAGGTTGGTTAACATGGGAGCTATGGGGGATGGTGGGTTGGTTAACATGGGAGCTATGGGGGATGGTAGGTTGGTTAACATGGGAGCTATGGGGGATGGTAGGTTGGTTAACATGGGAGCTATGGGGGATAGTAGGTTGGTTAACATGGGAGCTATGGGGGATGGTAGGTTGGTTAACATGGGAGCTATATGGGATGGTAGGTTGGTTAACATGGGAGATATATGGGATGGTAGGTTGGTTAACATGGGAGATATGGGGGATGGTAGGTTGGTTAACATGGGAGCTATGGGGGATGGTAGGTTGGTTAACATGGGAGCTATATGGGATGGTAGGTTGGTTAACATGGGAGCTATATGGGATGGTAGGTTGGTTAACATGGGAGCTATGGGGGATGGTAGGTTGGTTAACATGGGAGCTATATGGGATATAGGTTGGTTAACATGGGAGCTATGGGGGATGGTGGGTTGGTTAACATGGGAACTATGGGGGATGGTAGGTTGGTTAACATGGGAGCTATGGGGGATGGTAGGTTGGTTAACATGGGAGCTATGGGGGATGGTAGGTTGGTTAACATGGGAGCTATGGGGGATGGTGGGTTGGTTAACATGGGAGCTATGGGGGATGGTAGGTTGGTTAACATGGGAGCTATGGGGGATGGTAGGTTGGTTAACATGGGAGCTATGGGGGATGGTAGGTTGGTTAACATGGGAGCTATGGGGGATGGTAGGTTGATTAACCATGGGAGCTATGGGGGATGGTAGGTTGGTTAACATGGGAGCTACATGGGATGGTAGGTTGGTTAACATGGGAGCTATGGGGGATGGTAGGTTGGTTAACATGGGAGCTATGGGGGGTGGTAGGTTGGTTAACATGGGAGCTATGGGGGATGGTAGGTTGGTTAATATGGGAGCTATGGGGGATGGTAGGTTGGTTAACATGGGAGCTATGGGGGATGGTATGTTGGCTAACATGGGAGATATATGGGATGGTAGGTTGGTTAACATGGGAGCTATGGGGGATGGTAGGTTGGCTAACATGGGAGATATATGGGATGGTAGGTTGGTTAACATGGGAGCTATCTGGGATATAGGTTGGTTAACATGGGAGCTATATGGGATGGTAGGTTGGTTAACATGGGAGCTATGGGGGATGGTGGGTTGGTTAACATGGGAACTATGGGGGATGGTAGGTTGGTTAACATGGGAGCTATGGGGGATGGTAGGTTGGTTAACATGGGAGCTATGGGGGATGGTAGGTTGGTTAACATGGGAGCTATGGGGGATGGTAGGTTGGTTAACATGGGAGCTATGGGGGATGGTAGGTTGGTTAACATGGGAGCTATATGGGATGGTAGGTTGGTTAACATGGGAGATATATGGGATGGTAGGTTGGTTAACATGGGAGCTATATGGGATGGTAGGTTGGTTAACATGGGAGATATATGGGATGGTAGGTTGGTTAACATGGGAGCTATATGGGATGGTAGGTTGGTTAACATGGGAGCTATGGGGGATGGTAGGTTGGTTAACATGGGAGCTATATGGGATATAGGTTGGTTAACATGGGAGCTATGGGGGATGGTGGGTTGGTTAACATGGGAACTATGGGGGATGGTAGGTTGGTTAACATGGGAGCTATGGGGGATGGTAGGTTGGTTAACATGGGAGCTATGGGGGATGGTAGGTTGGTTAACATGGGAGCTATGGGGGATGGTGGGTTGGTTAACATGGGAGCTATGGGGGATGGTAGGTTGGTTAACATGGGAGCTATGGGGGATGGTAGGTTGGTTAACATGGGAGCTATGGGGGATGGTAGGTTGGTTAACATGGGAGCTATGGGGGATGGTAGGTTGATTAACCATGGGAGCTATGGGGGATGGTAGGTTGGTTAACATGGGAGCTACATGGGATGGTAGGTTGGTTAACATGGGAGCTATGGGGGATGGTAGGTTGGTTAACATGGGAGCTATGGGGGGTGGTAGGTTGGTTAACATGGGAGCTATGGGGGATGGTAGGTTGGTTAATATGGGAGCTATGGGGGATGGTAGGTTGGTTAACATGGGAGCTATGGGGGATGGTAGGTTGGTTAACATGGGAGCTATTGGGGATGGTAGGTTGGTTAACATGGGAGCTATATGGGATATAGGTTGGTTAATATGGGAGCTATGGGGGGTGGTAGGTTGGTTAACATGGGAGCTATGGGGGATGGTAGGTTGGTTAACATGGGAGCTATTGGGGATGGTAGGTTGGTTAACATGGGAGCTATATGGGATGGTAGGTTGGTTAACATGGGAGCTATGGGGGATGGTAGGTTGGTTAACATGGGAACTATGGGGGATGGTAGGTTGGTTAACATGGGAGCTATGGGGGATGGTAGGTTAGCTAGCATGGGAGCTATGGGGGATGGTAGGTTGGTTAACATGGGAGCTATGGGGGATGGTAGGTTGGTTAACATGGGAACTATGGGGGATGGTAGGTTGGTTAACATGGGAGCTATATGGGATATAGGTTGGTTAACATGGGAGCTATGGGGGATGGTAGGTTGGTTAACATGGGAGCTATATGGGATATAGGTTGGTTAACATGGGAGCTATGGGGGATGGTAGGTTGGTTAACATGGGAGCTATGGGGGATGGTGGGTTGGTTAACATGGGAGCTATATGGGATATAGGTTGGTTAACATGGGAGCTATGGGGGATGGTAGGTTGGTTAACATGGGAGCTATATGGGATGGTAGGTTGGTTAACATGGGAGCTATGGGGGATGGTAGGTTGGTTAACATGGGAACTATGGGGGATGGTAGGTTGGTTAACATGGGAGCTATGGGGGATGGTAGGTTGGCTAGCATGGGAGCTATGGGGGATGGTAGGTTGGTTAACATGGGAGCTATGGGGGATGGTAGGTTGGTTAACATGGGAGCTATGGGGGATGGTAGGTTGGTTAATATGGGAGCTATGGGGGATGGTAGGTTGGTTAACATGGGAGCTATGGGGGATGGTAGGTTGGTTAACATGGGAGCTATGGGGGATGGTAGGTTGGTTAACATGGGAGCTATGGGGGATGGTAGGTTGGTTAACATGGGAGCTATTGGGGATGGTAGGTTGGTTAACATGGGAGCTATATGGGATATAGGTTGGTTAATATGGGAGCTATGGGGGGTGGTAGGTTGGTTAACATGGGAGCTATGGGGGATGGTAGGTTGGTTAACATGGGAGCTATTGGGGATGGTAGGTTGGTTAACATGGGAGCTATATGGGATGGTAGGTTGGTTAACATGGGAGCTATGGGGGATGGTAGGTTGGTTAACATGGGAACTATGGGGGATGGTAGGTTGGTTAACATGGGAGCTATGGGGGATGGTAGGTTAGCTAGCATGGGAGCTATGGGGGATGGTAGGTTGGTTAACATGGGAGCTATGGGGGATGGTAGGTTGGTTAACATGGGAACTATGGGGGATGGTAGGTTGGTTAACATGGGAGCTATATGGGATATAGGTTGGTTAACATGGGAGCTATGGGGGATGGTAGGTTGGTTAACATGGGAGCTATATGGGATATAGGTTGGTTAACATGGGAGCTATGGGGGATGGTAGGTTGGTTAACATGGGAGCTATGGGGGATGGTGGGTTGGTTAACATGGGAGCTATATGGGATATAGGTTGGTTAACATGGGAGCTATGGGGGATGGTAGGTTGGTTAACATGGGAGCTATATGGGATGGTAGGTTGGTTAACATGGGAGCTATGGGGGATGGTAGGTTGGTTAACATGGGAACTATGGGGGATGGTAGGTTGGTTAACATGGGAGCTATGGGGGATGGTAGGTTGGCTAGCATGGGAGCTATGGGGGATGGTAGGTTGGTTAACATGGGAGCTATGGGGGATGGTAGGTTGGTTAACATGGGAGCTATGGGGGATGGTAGGTTGGTTAATATGGGAGCTATGGGGGATGGTAGGTTGGTTAACATGGGAGCTATGGGGGATGGTAGGTTGGTTAACATGGGAGCTATGGGGGATGGTAGGTTGGCTAACATCGGAGCTATGGGGGATGGTAGGTTTGCTAACATGGGAGCTATGGGGGATGGTAGGTTGGTTAACATGGGAGCTATGGGGGATGGTAGGTTGGCTAACATCGGAGCTATGGGGGATGGTAGGTTTGCTAACATGGGAGCTATAGGGGATGGTAGGTTGGCTAGCATGGGAGATATACTTTCAAATAGCATTTGTATATAATAATTGATATTGTTTGTCATTTTAAAATGAGTTCAACTCTAACAAATGTTGTTTTTTTACAGAGGAAGTGAAAAGACTTTGCAGTACATACCTAAATAGCATATTCTTTTTAGATTAACTTAGAATGCATACTGGTGATAACTTTGACATTAGAAATTTGTCTTATAAAGTTATTTCATTTGTTTATATTGAACAATGATTTTAGCATCTATTTAATGATATTTTTGTGTTATCATAATTTTGATTACATAAGATTTAGGTGTAATTGTCAGTTTGATTACATCTAGTAATGATTAAATGCTACTATAAAGGGCCGCCTTGATGTAATAAGGGCCATCTTGGTAGAGGACTTCTTTGTGCCTGAGATAGTCAAATAAAATAATTTGGAACTTTGTATGCTCAGAACATGTTCTATTAAGTCATTAATGTGCTGGAAAAAAAGGGATTTGACTAATCCCACAAGTAAGAATGTTTTGAAGGAAGCCAAATGTTTTCTACATAGCAGATTGAATGGTGCATCTGTTCCAGTCAAGCCATTCTTGAGAAAAGCTGAACTGAAATCTGTCACCCAGCCCTAAGTTGCTCTCGTCATTCATCACAATTCACAGCACAAAACTGACCAGACACACAGCAACCATGAAACAGACTGACCAGACACACAGCAACCATGAAACAGACTGACCAGACACTGTTACCATGAAACAGACTGACCATACCAGACACTGTTACAGCAACCATGAAACAGACTGACCAGACACTGTTACCATGAAACAGACTGACCATACACTGTTACAGCAACCATGAAACAGACTGACCAGACACACAGCAACCATGAAACAGACTGACCATACCAGACACTGTTACCATGAAACAGACTGACCATACCAGACACTGTTACAGCAACCATGAAACAGACTGACCAGACACTGTTACAGCAACCATGAAACAGACTGACCATACCAGACACTGTTACAGCAACCATGAAACAGACTGACCATACCAGACACTGTTACAGCAACCATGAAACAGACTGACCATACCAGACACTGTTACAGCAACCATGAAACAGACTGACCATACCAGACACTGTTACAGCAACCATGAAACAGACTGACCATACACTGTTACAGCAACCATGAAACAGACTGACCATACCAGACACTGTTACAGCAACCATGAAACAGACTGACCAGACACTGTTACAGCAACCATGAAACAGACTGACCATACACTGTTACAGCAACCATGAAACAGACTGACCATACCAGACACTGTTACAGCAACCATGAAACAGACTGACCAGACACACAGCAACCATGAAACAGACTGACCATACCAGACACTGTTACCATGAAACAGGCTGACCATACCAGACACTGTTACCATGAAACAGACTGACCATACCAGACACTGTTACAGCAACCATGAAACAGACTGACCATACCAGACACTGTTACAGCAACCATGAAACAGACTGACCATACACTGTTACAGCAACCATGAAACAGACTGACCATACACTGTTACAGCAACCATGAAACAGACTGACCATACCAGACACTGTTACAGCAACCATGAAACAGACTGACCATACCAGACACTGTTACAGCAACCATGAAACAGACTGACCAGACACTGTTACAGCAACCATGAAACAGACTGACCATACCAGACACTGTTACAGCAACCATGAAACAGACTGACCATACCATACACTGTTACAGCAACCATGAAACAGACTGACCAGACACACAGCAACCATGAAACAGACTGACCAGACACACAGCAACCATGAAACAGACTGACCAGACACACAGCAACCATGAAACAGACTGACCATACCAGACACTGTTACAGCAACCATGAAACAGACTGACCATACACTGTTACAGCAACCATGAAACAGACTGACCAGACACACAGCAACCATGAAACAGACTGACCATACCAGACACTGTTACCATGAAACAGACTGACCATACCAGACACTGTTACAGCAACCATGAAACAGACTGACCAGACACACAGCAACCATGAAACAGACTGACCAGACACTGTTACAGCAACCATGAAACAGACTGACCAGACACTGTTACAGCAACCATGAAACAGACTGACCATACCAGACACTGTTACAGCAACCATGAAACAGACTGACCATACCAGACACTGTTACAGCAACCATGAAACAGACTGACCATACACTGTTACAGCAACCATGAAACAGACTGACCATACACTGTTACAGCAACCATGAAACAGACTGACCATACCAGACACTGTTACAGCAACCATGAAACAGACTGACCATACCAGACACTGTTACCATGAAACAGACTGACCATACCAGACACACAGCAACCATGAAACAGACTGACCATACCATACACTGTTACCATGAAACAGACTGACCATACCAGACACTGTTACAGCAACCATGAAACAGACTGACCATACCAACACTGTTACCATGAAACAGACTGACCATACCAGACACTGTTACCATGAAACAGACTGACCATACCAGACACTGTTACCATGAAACAGACTGACCATACCAGACACTGTTACCATGAAACAGGCTGACCATACCAGACACTGTTACCATGAAACAGGCTGACCATACCAGACACTGTTACCATGAAACAGACTGACCATACCAACACTGTTACCATGAAACAGACTGACCATACCAGACACTGTTACCATGAAACAGACTGACCATACCAGACACTGTTACCATGAAACAGGCTGACCATACCAGACACTGTTACCATGAAACAGGCTGACCATACCAGACACTGTTACCATGAAACAGACTGACCATACCAGACACTGTTACCATGAAACAGACTGACCATACCAGACACTGTTACAGCAACCATGAAACAGACTGACCATACCAACACTGTTACCATGAAACAGACTGACCATACCAGACACTGTTACAGCAACCATGAAACAGACTGACCAGACACACAGCAACCATGAAACAGACTGACCATACCAACACTGTTACCATGAAACAGACTGACCATACCAGACACTGTTACCATGAAACAGACATCAAATGAAGGTTTTAGTTAGAAAACATCCTACCATACTACTGACCAATTTTTAAAAAATTACACAGTTTTTGACGTATTGGATTCTCAGTGTAAGCAGTTGGCCATGAGTCCCCACAAAGTAATGTGTTAGTTAAAACTACTGTGGATAATGTGTTAGTTACGACAACTGTGGATTAGTTTGGAAATTATGACTGCTGTGGATTAATGTGTTATACTGTTGATTAGAGTGGAAAGTATGACTGTTGTGGATTAATGTATAAGTTATGACTAGTGTGGATGTTATGACTACTGTTGAATATATGACTATCCTCTATTGTAAGTTTACCCAAAAATTGTAAATGTACAGTTGTAATAAATGCCTATTCCTTAATGTCCAATATGACTTAGAAAACCTTGCTCCTTTATGTCCAATATGACTTAGAAAACCTTGCCTTACCCTGAGCTTCTCTGTGATTATGAGCCATTAAAAAAATCTTTTTAAAAAAATTGTGTTTCTCACAAGCACTAAAAAAAAATTAAAAATGTTTCTCTTGCACTGAAACTTTGAAAAATGTGTTTCTCTTAAGCACGGAAACTAACTCCTCGTTTAGACTAGCAACATCCAAGAACTATTTGACCTAGTACATAGACTGGACTGATATGGTGCCAGGTGTATGGAACATCATCTGTTACTGGCAGAACTATTTGACCAAATAACGTAGACTGGATTGATATGGTGCCAGGTGTATGGAACATCATCTGTGACTGGCAGAACTATTTGACCAAATAACGTAGACTGGACTGATATGGTGCCAGGATATGGAACATCATCTGTGACTGGCAGAACTATTTGACCAAATAACGTAGACTGGACTGATATGGTGCCAGGTGTATGGAACATCATCTGTGACTGGCAGAACTATTTGACCAAATAACGTAGACTGGACTGATATGGTGCCAGGATATGGAACGTCTGGCCACAAGACAACACTTATACATGGAGTTTGAGATGTGTACACATCCCATGTAACCTCAATCATTTCTCAGTGTTATATTTCCCACAAGACAACATTATATTCAGACTGTTTCAATCATTGTATTTTTTATTGAAACTTGGTCTGATTGGTGGAAATGATTATTGCGGAAACCATAAAGAAAATATGCAAGGAGCTTATTTCCTCTAACATCCTGTCAAGATTTTCTGTTTAGCTTCTATTTATAGGCAAACACATTTTAAAAATTTTTGAACTAAAATTTATTATGTATCTATTTATATCCATGTATTGTTATTGTTTACTACATTGTTTCCAGCGAGGTAGACTTGATAACACAGTGGCTACCAAGAAGGTTTGTGTTTGGAACTTTTTAAAATTATATATTTAAAATATGTTAAAAGTATATATTTTCTATATAAATTCAATTTCGATTTGGGGGGGGGGGGGGGAGGTGAACAACCACATGGGTCCTCCCGCTGTCTCATACAGAACCACAGTCCATCTGAGCTTTATATATTGCCAGGCCCTGCGCTGGCCTCTGTTACAGTGGCGTAGCATGGTCGGGTTTGCACACACCCCCATCAAACTTTCGATTTGCACACCCCCCCCCCCTCAAGTTTTTCTCTATATATTTTGCAATTTTTTTGCCTTGGTGTCACCCGGTGCGATCCGCATCCCTCGCTACGCCCCTGCCCTGTTAAAAGCAGTTTTTTCCAGGTATCTCTTTGGGGGGGGGGGGGGCTCCATCAGTACTTAGTATATATATTATAATATATATATATACTAACTGCATTCCTGTGCTCTGCCACGGTAGATTTTTTTTTAAATGTACCAACTTGGGAACAGAACAAAACTTACACAAACCCAAAGCGCTAATAACAGGATAGCATATCGCGCAAAATTGAACCCGGTGATTCGATTCAATTTAGTAAACGACTACAAAAGCCCAAGAGATGCCTGGAAGAAACTCTGTATGCAGCCAATAGCCGTATCTGGACTTGCCGCTCGCCCCTACCCTAAAAACCTACGTACCCTCTGGGGTAAGGCCGTCATTGGCAGGGGTCGGCAACCTTTTCAGATGGAAGAGCCACAAGCTACATTTTTTTTAAATTTCACAGTTTTTAAAGAGTCACTAACATTTTTATTTCAGTATTTTATTATTTGATTAGGATTAGGTAAATAAATTTGATTTTTTATTTAAAATAAATAGCTTATATGTATTCATTTTAAAAAATACACTTGTTTCGCCAGAATAATGAAAAATGTAATTTAAAAAAAAAAATATAGGATTATCCCAATCCACTTTAGCAGCAGTTAACTTTCCCTTCTTTTTCTTTCTTAACGGACATCACCATCTCAGGTGGGTGTCTCCCATTAGACAGGCAGACTCCGACTAACTGGCTTGGTTCGATTACCGTGTATTGGTCACTGCTGTCCTTTGGTTCTCACCCGGCTTACCTTCCACCCCACTGAACACATGGTAAACTCGTACCCCACCGTTCATTACCCGGCTCAACATTAGGAAGCTAACTTATACTAATAACTAAAAAAAAAAAAAAAACCACGTCACTCACGTCAGATTAATGATTACTGACAGATAGGGAAATGCATTCTGAATTTATTTATTTTAAAATTCTGAATAAAATAACATTCCCCATTTAATTAACGTTATTCGAAAAATTCGACATTTCAGCAGTGGCAAGCATGGAATTGTTGTCACGGGGCTGGTTACAGCACGGTTGTGTACTGGTGCCCAAGCGGCTGTCCGTAGAATTTCTACTGCACCTATTCTCACTGTACAATCATTTGCTATTATAATATGTCAATTATATGACCTTAATCTAACAAACTTATAATCCAACTAGTACTAGGCATATATCATAACAAAGACTGTTCCAAAGATAAAACATAAAAAGACTGGCCTAAACGAATTAGCACCCGCTACAAACTTCCCTTTCAACTCAGATGAGGTTTTTTTTTCTGACATTACTAATAATTTTTTAAAGGATAATGCATCTTAAGGATAATTTAATTGGTGTCGAGTAATTTTTTTTTCCGTACTATCACACACACACATATATATATATATATATATATATATATATATATATATATATATATATATATATATATATATGTTGGGGGGGGGGGGGGGCAAAATGAAAGCGCCGTGAGGAGTCGCTACGGCTCTGACACATGCACACACACACATATATATGTTACGGTCAAAACCCGAAGTCGGCCAATGCGCGCATTGGCCAATATCGCCTCCCATTGACCGGTCAAAGTCCGAAACTTTGCTTGATTTCGGCCTTTGGCCGGCCAATCCGCGGACTGGCCACGGTGGACCGGCCAAAGTCTTAATTAGAATATCATCTGGATAGGGACGACCGGCCAAAGTCCGAATTAGAAGATCATGAACAAATTTTTTTTATGCCGTAAGGATCATGAAATTAAGTCTTTATTGATTATTAATTAAAGTAAATGACAGAAACATTCATATGTTTTATTCTACTAGTCATAGTCTAAATCAGTCAATATTATCATTTGTTCCAACAAGTTGAACTTCTATGGCATTTAGAATTAGGTTGTTATTTTTACACTTGCAGCGATTTGTTGTGTACTTGGTTGTGCAATTGCGGCGAGTGTAGCCTTGGCCCCCAGTCAATGATTGTGAAGATGCGATGGTTCGTAGTGATTTTTCCTCAGTGCCAACTGACGACAATACGAGCAGTTTTTCGTGAAGAATTGAAAGCTCACTTCTAGCATATAGTTGTTTTAGAACACCATGTTCCGTTCCTAATTTGTAGAAACCGCCCTCGAAGCTCGCGACAACTGCAATCACGCTTCGGGGATCACCGCGACCTTTTTCAACATCTGGAATACGGATGTGTACATTGTCTCCCACTTCAGCATTGTTTAAATTTTGTATTTGATGTTTTAAGCATCTTAGCACCTTGAGTTTGCAAGCTAGTATGAGCTGCTGACCTGTGTTCCATGATGTCTTGTTTGTTGTGACACAATCTGCAGTTAATATTTCCTCCGTACCCTTCGTCTGCTTCATTGGGTATTCCACAAATAGCATGGACATCGTTGCCCAGAGGCGTAGCGACCCTTCCCGGGGATAAACTTTCGTTTTGCACCCCCCCCCCCCCCCAAACTTTCGATTTGCACCCCCCACCTCTTAAAAGGCTATTTAACACTCTAATTAATCATTCTATTAAGTGGAATTATAATTTTTCTCTATATATTTTGCTTTTTTTTGCCTTGGTGTCACCCCCCCCCCCCTAAATGGTGTCACCCGGTGCGGTCCGCACCCCCGCACCCCTCGCTACGCCCCTGTATATATATATATATATATATATATATATATATATATATATATATATATATATATATATATATATATACATATACATGAGGTGGGGCGCCTAATTTTAAGTTCAACCCGGCCCCAGGAGGGGTCGCTAGGCCTCTGACCCGACTGATAGTGTATTATTTTATCGGTTCCCCACATACACACATTTTTAAAACAAATTTCAAACCCCACCTTTATGACAAACTGCCTACGCCACTGTGTGTTGTGCAGTATGTAGAAGAATCTTGTAGTATGGGAATTACGCATCCACCGAACATTAATGGGTTGTAACTGATCATACATTAATTTAATGGGTATATAGATTGATCATCTCCCTTACTTTGTTTGGGGGGGGGGGGGGGGGGGAGGAGGTATTCTTGAGGTCACGTTGGAATTTCCCTTTATACGTCCAAAAATAGTAGGCGTTGTTGACAGGGAAGTGATTCACTAAAACAGGGGAGTACAAACTTAAGATGGCGGAGCGGCAAAGAGCACGACTCGGGGAATTACTACTGCAAGATGGAAACGGAGAATGTGCTGACTGTGGAGAGAAAAGTAACTAGCCTGATTTGTTTCTAAAATGACCAGGGCCCATGGTCTACAGTAACGTCTTGAGTGACAGTCTGTATAAATTATAAATTAATAAATAGGCCTAGCTACGTACTACGTAGCTTGGCTAAAAGTCTAAAAGTAGTAAGTAAGAGATCTAAAATTTAAAGGTTAGGCCTATCTGTCTATCGTTTTAGATAGGCCTATGGTGTACTATGTTATGTAAAATGATCGCCCGCGACTAGATCTAGTACTACTAGTAATGTGAAAAACAGGTGACTCCTTAAATTGTAATAATTATTTCACATTTTGAGGCGGATTAATGTTTTGAAAAATACAAAAATGTTTCATTTATGTGGCCTACCTGTTTTTAAACAATTGAATTAGATCTAGAGTAAAGTTCCACGCGCGGTTAAAACACCGGTGCGGTCATCGCCTGTTTATCGCTTCGTACAATATTTGTTTTGATGTTTTATACGAAACTACCGATATCTGCTGTAAACCTGTCCATTTCTAAATATATCCAGGTCAAATTCTTTTGTTTTTCTCCTTCTGGAAGTCGAGTTTTTAAATTTTAAAGTTTCGAGGTATGACGTCGAAGGCGATTCTAGTTCCCCGTATGAAAAACACTAGGTCCCGGATGAGATGAATAAACCAAGCAATCAAAGCTTTTTATAACTAGGTTAACTATAAATAGCTTCTACAATATGTGCGGGACACTGTACATACGATAGATTAGGCTAATAAAGCAACCTGATAGCAGAGTTTCTTCCAGGCATCTCTTCGGGGGGGGCTTTGCCCCCCCGAAAAATTTTTACCGCCCCCCCCCCGAACGAAATGAAATGTATATAATTTATATAGAAAATATATACTTTTAACAGTGTCCGCCCCCCCGAAGAAAGTTTACCGCCCCCCCGAAGATTTCAAGTGCCCCCCCGGAGAAAAAAGTCTGGAAGAAACACTGCCTGATAGGTGAATAGGGGTGGCCGCAGCTTGGGTGTCGATTTGGGTGGTTTCACCGCGCTGCGTAACCAACGACTTGAGCTAGACTAGCCTAGTTCTAGATGCTCTACATTTCAAGCTAAGCCTAGAATCTGTATAATTTCTATTTTTTTCTGCTGTTTTAAATTATTTCGATCATCTACTTCTTCTAAATCTAGTTTGTGTCTCTACATACAAGCATATCTAAGCAAATGTTACGTTATGTCTTGTCAGTGGTTGTTACGTCCCTTTGTTATGATTATTATAGTTGCGTCCCTTGAGTCATCACTGGGTCAACTTTTAATGTCGTTAATTAATTTAATTAACATGTTTTTAATTTGGTTTTGAAATCTATTAATTAATAATACAATCAACAACACGTTTAAAAGTGTAAAATATTTATTTTATTTATTAAACTAGGATTAAAACGTATAAAACACGATCGTTACGCAAGCCGGTTCAGATGGCCGCAGGGAAAAAAAAAGAGGGGAAAAAAATATCGCAAGTAGCACGTCACTAAAACATGAATATCTCAAATTCAATGCGTAGGAATATAAAATGATTGATACATATTAAGAGTAGAAAGGCAGAGGAATAATATAGTACTTTGGGTTTGTTTCTGTGTTAAACGGTTACAAAATAGCGCCCGATGAAAGTCGATGAAAGTCGGGAGATCGCTATGTGTGACCGCGCGTGGAACTTTACTCTAGGCCTAAAACTTTTCAGGAAAAATGAACACTAGCAATGTTTCTAACAGAAGTAACCATGCTCATTCTAATATATAAAAGCCCATGTGCGCACTTATCTCTCTCTGTCCGCAAAATATTTTCGCCAAAACTAGACGGAGACGCTAAGATCTAGATTTAGACTCTTTCTACTCTAGAATCTATTTCAAAAATAAATTTCTATATTAAACTATTTCAGGCCTTAATTATTTTATAGAAATATTTGTTTAGCTATGGAACTGGCTAATTTGGGATAAAAAAAATTAATTTGAAAGAATAGGCATATTCGCGTAAGTTAAGTTTTTTAAATACCTCTTTCATTCTCCATGTGTTATAAGGTGTCTAAATAGCTGAGTTGATAGTGTACTTAATACCACGCAGGTGGTGCGGGATCGAGACACACCAAGTCATTTTATTTTTTTTATAGGTGAATCTTCCGATTTTAGACTATAAAGAAAGGAACTACTTCATTCAAATTTGATTTAGATCTAGATCTATATATCTACTCATCAAGACGTACGCTATGAAATATATACAATTTTATCTGTCAAACTAATACAAATTACTTAAAAACAACATAATGACCATTGAATAGCCAGATTTTTAATGGAATCATTTAAGTCACTCAATCAGTGTGTGCCTGAGTTATGCTAAATGTGTCGGATTTTTAGCTATTTAGTTATTTCTTTGCTTTGTCACTTATGTCGTTCAACGTTTTGTAAAGCACATTGCGTTTTGACCAATAACTATTACATATAAAAGTATTTTTGTCAAAAAGTATAACATTAACATATAGGTCTATAATTCATGTGTAACGGGTGCCGACGGCTAGTATTATTATATAATTATGTAATTATTATTACACGACACTAGTCTAATTTTAACATTGGACAATTAGTGTTTGATGCAAATTTGAACGTGAATTACTTTATTTAATATTGTTCTAAACATACTGAAAATGTATTCTAAAATATAGAAAATTATAACTTGCTTTCTACTAAACTAATTCATCAATGTCATTCAGGGTAAAAACAAAACCTTTATAAAATAACTTGATCGAGACAACAGTGTATTTGAATGGGGAGAAATCTAGCAGACAACATATTTCTGCTGAAAATCAGTCATATCATTATTATCATCATAGCCATATAAAAACAAACGCTTTTTTTCACAAATCATTTTCTAGGCTACCGATTAAATTTTATAAATAAAATTGGTATAAAATTAAAGGTAAATAAAGGAAGTTTTTATTTGTTCAAGTCATCTTTAACAATAATGAAGTTTAAAATCTTAGGCGACACCCTAATTTAATGGCCCTCTCGAATACCTTTGAGACAGTTCAAGACTTTATTATTTTAGAAATCTAGATCTAGAGTCTAGGGCACTCTAGGTCCTAGACTTTCTAGAACCTACATCTACTGAAATTTGAAATTACAAATATTATATAATAGACTAGTCACTGGATCTAGATTTTAGGGACTGAGATCTAGAATATTAGAATAATATTAGAATAATATAGATTCTAGAAGTAGAAGATTCTAGTTAAATCTAGTTATTCTAGTATTAGATAGTAGTAGCTAGATCTAGAATTAGTATCTCTTGGCAGTCATGGGGTAGACTTGTAGCAATTCTCACCCAATTTAAATTTAATTTGGCCCAGGTAATACTAATGAAGACAAAGATCTAATCATAAGGATAATCATAGATTTGTTATGTAGGCCTATTTAGTCTGACGGAATTTAACAGAACTGGAGCTTGAACTTTTGGGGCTAGAGGTCACTTCCTGTTTGTGACTAGACAACAGACTACTTTAATAATACCTTAAATCAAAAGGTTGTAGGTCTAATTTTCAGGATAGTTACTCTACTACTGACTGCACTAATGTATGAGTGCGGTGCTCACGTTAACATTCTCTCCTCTTTGTGTTGATGACTTAGATCCTGACTGGGCATCCTGTACAATTGGTGTGTTCTTGTGTCAAGCCTGTGCTGGTATCCACAGAGGTTTGGGATCAAGTCAGAGTCGCATCAAATCTATCAGGCTAGATAACTGGGACAAAGATCAAGTTCAGGTTAAGGCACTTGAAATTTATAAAATAGCTTAGGTTGTCCCTTGACTCATTTTTTGTAGTTGTTGCCTTGGTAGTGCTGGCTGCCAGAAAAGACCAATCCAAATTTTTTTTTTTTGTTTTTTTTTTTACAAAGTTGATCAGTCATTTCAAAACTTGATATTGTAATTAGTTTTATCAAACAAATTGTACTGCAATACTGATTAGATTTTAACAATGAATGTTTAGTGTTTGCTGTACAAGGTAGTAGAAGATAATGTTAGAACACCTCGTTGCTTAAATGTTTATTGACATTCACACACATTAACTTATAGAAAATTAAATGCCCAGCCGTAATCAACTAATCTTAATCATTAAAAATAGAACTGAATCTGATATAAAAAACATGAAAATAATAACTTGATAGTGACAACAGCAAACACTAAGCCCACCTTTTAGCCTGCTGTCTATTGGAATGAGAAGAATTCTAGCAGACAACATGTGTGCTCTACGCCACTAACCTACCTAATCAAAAATTATTTTCTAGGCTTGCGATTACTATTGATAATTAAAGTTGGTATCAAATCAATGATAAATTAATGTAATTTTTAATTGTTTAAGTCATCTTAAACAATATTGAAATTTAAAATCCTAGGAGCCACCCTAATAGATTTGCCTTAGTTTGTTGAATTTATAATAAATTTAACACTTAAAAGTAGCAAATAGTTCTGCCAATATGTAATCCAGATATTTGCTTTCTAGGTCTTAGAGATGATAGGCAATAGCAAAGCCAAGGAGAAGTATGAAATGTTTGTCCCACCATACTATAAGAGACCCAGCAGCCATACTGTTGAGTAAGTTGTCATAGATTAGAACTCATCAGGTCTACATCTTAGTTCCAGTTTTAGACCAAACATCTTTCTCTTACCTTGCCTTCATCATTACATACACAACTAGCCCTATTTTTAGTTTTACTGCCAGTTAAGAGCAATAGATGGATACATGGTCCTGTCATTAGTAGATGGATACATGGTCCTGTCATCAGTAGATGGATACATGGTCCTGTCATCAGTAGATGGATACATGGTCCTGTCATCAGTAGATGGATACATATTCCATGTGCTTCTACTATATATTGTCTTTTGTTTGTTTGAGTGTTCAATGTGTGAGTACTGATGGAGGCTGGTGTATTGTTTGAGTGTTCAATGTGTGAGTACTGATGGAGGCTGGTGTATTGTTTGAGTGTTCAATGTGTGAGTACTGATGGAGGCTGGTGTATTGTTTGAGTGTTCAATGTGTGAGTACTGATGGAGGCTGGTGTATTGTTTGAGTGTTCAATGTGTGAGTACTGATGGAGGCTGGTGTATTGTTTGAGTGTTCAATGTGTGAGTACTGATGGAGGTTGGTGTATTGTTTCAGTGTTCAATGTGTGAGTACTGATGGAGGCTGGTGTATTGTTTGAGTGTTCAATGTGTGAGTACTGATGCAGGCTGGTGTATTGTTTGAGTGTTCAATGTGTGAGTACTGATGGAGGCTGGTGTATTGTTTGAGTGTTCAATGTGTGAGTACTGATGGAGGCTGGTGTATTGTTTGAGTGTTCAATGTGTGAGTACTGATGGAGGCTGGTGTATTGTTTCAGTGTTCAATGTGTGAGTACTGATGGAGGCTGGTGTATTGTTTCAGTGTTCAATGTGTGAGTACTGATGCAGGCTGGTGTATTGTTTGAGTGTTCAATGTGTGAGTACTGATGGAGGCTGGTGTATTGTTTCAGTGTTCAATGTGTGAGTACTGATGGAGGCTGGTGTATTGTTTCAGTGTTCAATGTGTGAGTACTGATGCAGGCTGGTGTATTGTTTGAGTGTTCAATGTGTGAGTACTGATGGAGGCTGGTGTTTCAGTGTTCTCAGGAAAGAGTGGATCACAGCCAAGTACCAAAGGCTAGAGTTCACAGATCCTGAGCGCCAGAGCTCATACAATGTCACCGAGAAATCTGGCATGCTGTGGAAGCTGGGACGGGACAGAAAACAATTTGCTCAGCGCAAATTTCTCTTGTCTAGAACTGAAAACAAACTTTTTTATTATGTAAATGAGGAGAATGGCAAGGTTAGCAATTTATTATCTTATTTTTAAACGGAGTTCCGTGAGCAAATAAAGTTTTATTCTACCCTGCTTGAGATGTTGGCTAGTTTAATATGTCACTGTCTGATCCAAAGTATTTGCTCATGCATAGTTTGATGACTATTTTTATCAGTGTTTTAACTTGTCCCTTGTTGTTTGAGTTGATTTCACATTGGTCTTATTCATTAGCAAAAACAGCCTAAAGCAGAAGCAGACCTAGATTTCCTCAATGCTGTGTTTGTCCCAGAAAAAATTGGAAACCCGTATGGTCTGCAGATAACATATTTTAAAAATGGCTCCACAAGAAACCTGTTTGTTTACTCAGAAAACTCAAAGGTACAAAATGGTGTCTGTATGTTTGCTAATGTCATTGTCACAATAAAAAATGGTGTCTGTATGTTTGCTAATGTTATTGTCACAATAAAAAATGGTGTCTGTATGTTTGCTAATGTCACATTCTGCTGTCCATTGAATTGGTCTTAACTATCCATCATGAACTACATCTCTATTGATGTCATTAGTCCATTGGTATTCTCTTAAAAGAGATTACATGAAATTTGATTTTGATATGTCCATTAATGATATGCCCATTAATGAGGTTAGGTTTTGATCTGTCCATTAATGAGGTTAGGTTTTGACCTGTCCATTAATGATATGTCCATTAATGAGGTTAGGTTTTGACCTGTCCATTAATGATATGTCCATTAATGAGGTTAGGTTTTGACCTGTCCATTAATGAGGTTAGGTTTTGACCTGTCCATTAATGAGGTTAGGTTTTGACCTGTCCATTAATGAGGTTAGGTTTTGACCTGTCCATTAAAGAGATGGTGTTTTATTTTTTCTGACAGGACATTGTGGACTGGTTTATGTCTATCCGTGCTGCCAAATGGGAAAGGAGAAGGATAGCATTTCCTGACAGAGATCTGACTCAGGTAACATTATCTAACGCAGGAACTTATGACCTGGAACTTGTAACAGGGATGTAACTTTTCCACTTTTTTCACGAAATCAGGTTTTTCCTGCTGAGAATAAGCTTCCGCCAAAAAAAATATTTTTTTCCGCCAACTCACTTTTTTTAAAAAACTTGAGGAATCTTTTTCAGGCAATCAATTTTTCTGTTATGCTACCCATATCTTCCCCTCCTTTATAAGTCTCACTGGATGTGCTAGAGATATGTAGAAAAAAATATATATAACTTTATGGATTTTCTCTTGAAGATATGGAATTTTTCTGTTTTTACGGAACTCTGCTTTTTCCCTAACAAAATATTCATTTTTCGCCGACCTAGACTCTTTCTATTTTGTATTGACAAAAGAAAGGCGAATTGATTTGAAATCTGTGAAGTATGAAACAGAAAAGTGGCGAGAAATGCTCTGTTCTTTTTTTATTACTTTTACCTCACCCACTTTTCATTGTCATGCTAACCGTGAGGCCTACGACCCTAGATTGCGTGATCACATTCTACAAGCACTTTTTACGAGCACTTTTATTTAAATATCTAATTTTAACAAGTTATTTTGAGTTTTTTACAAAATTTTTGAGAAAAAAACGTTCAATCTACGTCTTTTATTTTTGCCCCAAAATACTGATGTAGGCTTACTATGATGTTGTTACACTTTTGATCAGGGCCTTATATACTGATGTAGGCTTACTATGATGTTGTTACACGATTGATCAGGGCCTTATATACTGATGTAGGCTTACTATGATATTGTTACACTTTTGATCAGGGCCTTATATACTGATGTAGGCTTACTATGATATTGTTACACTTTTGATCAGGGCCTTATATAAGAAAAACCTTGTTTTTTGCTGCCATCACAACCCCTTATGACATTGGAACTCATAGGCCCTAAATCAAGACCGGAGCTTTTCTTTTATTATTGTTGATTATATTTTCAGCTGGCTGAAGATTTGACCAAAGATTTTCTAATGGAAGGATGGTTAAGCAAGATGGGACCAAAAAATGAGCCGTTTAGACGCAGATGGTTTACACTGGACAGGAGAAAGTTGATGTATTTTGAAGAACCTCTTGTAAGTTGATTCAAGTTACAAGGGTCAAATACTTTTCACTTAGAACATTTGTATTCTAACCATTCATGACCTGACACTTGGAACATTTGTATTCTAACCATTCATGACCTGACACTTAGAACATTTGTATTCTAACCATTCATGACCTGACACTTAGAACATTTGTATTCTAACCATTCATGACCTGACACTTAGAACATTTGTATTCTAACCATTCATGACCTGACACTTAGAACATTTGTATTCTAACCATTCATGACCTGAAACTTAGAACATTTGTATTCTAACCATTCATGACCTGTACATTCTCCCAAAACCCCAAAAAGTCCCAATGGAAGAAGCATAACTCACAAATTATTCTTCTACTTTTAAATGTAATCAACAATAAAAACTTTTTTTATGCTGGAATCAAAGCTCACTTTCCAAGTACTAAATACATTCAACCAACTTACACCATCAAAATGTAAAATGTCAGAGACAATCCAGTATTGGTCATTTGGTGTCATCAACTTTTATTATTTTTGTTTAAACAGATATCCAATTAATTCATCAGTTGAATATCACTTTTGCTATGTCTAATAAATATAATTTGAAAAATATATGCCTAGATACATTTATAAGCAGATTTTTTTAAAATTAAAAATTTACTAAAACAAGAAAGGATGGGTTCAATGTTTTGGGATAGAATGAAATAGCATTATAAACATTGCACATTGCCACTATATGTTTTGGGATAGAATGAAATAGCATTATAAACATTGCACATTGCCACTATATGTTTTGGGATAGAATGAAATAGCATTATAAACATTGCACATTGCCACTATATGTTTTGGGATAGAATGAAATAGCATTATAAACATTGCACATTGCCACTATATGTTTTGGGATAGAATGAAATAGCATTATAAACATTGCACATTGCCATTAAATGTTTTGGGATAGAATGAAATAGCATTATAAACATTGCACATTACCATTAAATGTTTTGGGATAGAATGAAATAGCATTATAAACATTGCACATTGCCATTAAATGTTTTGGGATAGAATGAAATAGCATTATAAACATTGCACATTGCCATTAAATGTTTTGGGATGGAATGAAATAGCATTATAAACATTGCACATTGCCACTATATGTTTTGGGATAGAATGAAATAGCATTATAAACATTGCACATTACCATTAAATACGACAGACCTGAAAATGACGTTAAAACTATTTTATTTCATGTCTATTTAAAAGATAAGATTTTAGGCCACATTTTTACACTACTACTGGTACCCTAGAACTTACTCTTAACTTTCTACCCATCAGAATGCCTTTGCTAAGGGTGAAGTTTTTATAGGCCACAAAGATGGAGGCTACAGTGTTGGTACAGGCAGCGAGGAAGGTGACAGGGGGTCCAACAGTCAGAACAGTAGCAGCAATAACTGCTTCACTCTGCAGACGCCAGACAGGAAGTTTGTCATGAGGGCTGAGACACTGGATGACATGCAGAAGTGGGTTATGGCCCTGCAGAAGGTTGTCGAGATGCCACTTACAACTCAAGATAGTAAATGTAATTATTGACTTTTCATTGGATTCATTATAGTCCTGACATTCCTGAGTTTAACCCTTTATAGTCCCGACATTCCTGAGTTTAACCCTTTATAGTCCTGACATTCCTGAGTTTAACCCTTTATAGTCCCGACATTCCGGAGTTTAACCCTTTATAGTCCCGACATTCCTGAGTTTAACCCTTTATAGTCCTGACATTCCTGAGTTTAACCCTTTATAGTCCCGACATTCCTGAGTTTAACCCTTTATAGTCCTGACATTCCTGAGTTTAACCCTTTATAGTCCCGACATTCCTGAGTTTAACCCTTTATAGTCCCGATATTCCTGAGTTTAACCCTTTATAGTCCTGACATTCCTGAGTTTAACCCTTTATAGTCCCGACATTCCTGAGTTTAACCCTTTATAGTCCTGACATTCCTGAGTTTAACCCTTTATAGTCCCGACATTCCTGAGTTTAACCCTTTATAGTCCTGACATTCCTGAGTTTAACCCTTTATAGTCCCGACATTCAAATGATTTATTTCCTACACAACCAGCCAAAAATATGACATATCCGTATATGGTTTTTTAAAAAGCGTTTTACAAGAGAAGGTCTATGTCTATGAGGTTAGACAGGTAAATAATTTAATAACAGGTAAATAATTTACTAACGGGTAAATAATTTACTAACGGGTAAATAATTTACTAACGGGAAATAAAAAATTCTGTAAACCCCAGCAAAACAAACAAAACACAATTCTTAATATATCAAATTTAAGAGTTTTTTAAATGCTATAAAAAAAAAATTCCAGTTACTGGAACTACTTGCTTTGATCTCATCATCATATTAGTTACATTATAAAAAGCCCACTCCATCAACAGCGGCGTTTGATTTGTTGACTCAAATTTTTTTTTATTGCCTTAATTTTTTTTAAAATCCAGACTAAAAACTTTTTAGAAAATTAACAGAAAGATCAAGAAAACAATGTAAATAAAAATTAGAAAATTAACAGATAGATCAAGAAAACAAAATGTAAATAAAAATTAGAAAATTAACAAGGGGTCGGCGTGGTCGAGTCGGTAAAGCTCATGGTTGCTAAACCGAAAAGTCTCGAGTTCGAACCCTCGGGCAGATGAGGCTCGTTAGCTGGGGATAGCCACTCTACTAGGAGAGACAACTCCAAAATTAAACAACTGCTGCCTTGTAGTTTGTTCTTGGTTGGACAAAGGCTATGGAAGCAAATCCAAAAAGAAAAGCAGGCTGAAATCGGAGTCAATGGCCTCAATGGCGCATATCCAGTTGACACGTAACGCTTAATTGTGTTGGAGGCGTGGTCGAGTCGGCAAAAAGCTCATGGTTGATAAATTCGAACAAAGTCTCGAGTTCAAACCCACTGGCAGATAAATCTCGATCCCCTTCAACACTAATAATTAAGAATGAAGAAGAAGAAGAAGAAAGAATTAACAGATAGATCAAGAAAACAAAATGTAAATAAAAATTAAAAAATTAACAGATAGATTAAGAAAACAATGTAAATAAAAATTAGAAAATTAACAGATAGATCAAGAAAACAAAATGTAAATAAAAATTAAAAAATTAACAGATAGATCAAGAAAACAAAATGTAAATAAAAATTAGAAAATTAACAGATAGATCAAGAAAACAAAATGTAATTAAAAATTAGAAAATTAACAGATAGATCAAGAAAACAAAATGTAAATAAAAATTAGAAAATTAACAGATAGATCAAGAAAACAAAATGTAAATAAAAATTAGAAAATTAACAGATAGATCAAGAACACAAAATGTAAATAAAAATTAGAAAATTAACAGATAGATCAAGAAAACAAAATGTAAATAAAAATTAGAAAATTAACAGATAGATTAAGAAAACAATGTAAATAAAAATTAGAAAATTAACAGATAGATCAAGAAAACAATGCAAATAAAAATTAGAAAATTAACAGATAGATCAAGAAAACAAAATGTAAATAAAAATTAGAAAATTAACAGATAGATCAAGAAAACAAAATGTAAATAAAAATTAGAAAATTAACAGATAGATCAAGAAAACAAAATGTAAATAAAAATTAGAAAATTAACAGATAGATCAAGAAAACAAAATGTAAATAAAAATTAAAAAATTAACAGATAGATTAAGAAAACAATGTAAATAAAAATTAGAAAATTAACAGATAGATCAAGAAAACAATGTAAATAAAAATTAAAAAATTAACAGATAGATCAAGAAAACAAAATGTAAATAAAAATTAGAAAATTAACAGATAGATCAAGAAAACAAAATGTAAATAAAAATTAGAAAATTAACAGATAGATCAAGAAAACAAAATGTAAATAAAAATTAGAAAATTAACAGATAGATCAAGAACACAAAATGTAAATAAAAATTAGAAAATTAACAGATAGATCAAGAAAACAAAATGTAAATAAAAATTAGAAAATTAACAGATAGATCAAGAAAACAAAATGTAAATAAAAATGAGAAAATTAACAGATAGATCAAGAAAACAAAATGTAAATAAAAATTAGAAAATTAACAGATAGATTAAGAAAACAATGTAAATAAAAATTAGAAAATTAACAGATAGATCAAGAAAACAATGTAAATAAAAATTAGAAAATTAACAGATAGATCAAGAAAACAATGCAAATAAAAATTAGAAAATTAACAGATAGATCAAGAAAACAAAATGTAAATAAAAATTAGAAAATTAACAGATAGATCAAGAAAACAAAATGTAAATAAAAATTAGAAAATTAACAGATAGATCAAGAAAACAATGTAAATAAAAATTAGAAAATTAGCAGATAGATCAAGAAAACAAAATGTAAATAAAAATTAGAAAATTATCAGATAGATCAAGAAAACAAAATGTAAATAAAAATTAGAAAATTAACAGATAGATTAAGAAAACAATGTAAATAAAAATTAGAAAATTAACAGATAGATCAAGAAAACAATGTAAATAAAAATTAGAAAATTAACAGATAGATCAAGAAAACAAAATGTAAATAAAAATTAGAAAATTAACAGATAGATCAAGAAAACAATGTAAATAAAAATTAGAAAATTAACAGATAGATCAAGAAAACAAAATGTAAATAAAAATTAGAAAATTAACAGATAGATCAAGAAAACAAAATGTAAATAAAAATTAGAAAATTAACAGATAGATCAAGAAAACAATGCAAATAAAAATTAGAAAATTAACAGATAGATCAAGAAAACAAAATGTAAATAAAAATTAGAAAATTATCAGATAGATCAAGAAAACAAAATGTAAATAAAAATTAGAAAATTAACAGATAGATTAAGAAAACAATGTAAATAAAAATTAGAAAATTAACAGATAGATCAAGAAAACAATGTAAATAAAAATTAGAAAATTAACAGATAGATCAAGAAAACAAAATGTAAATAAAAATTAGAAAATTAACAGATAGATCAAGAAAACAATGTAAATAAAAATTAGAAAATTAACAGATAGATCAAGAAAACAAAATGTAAATAAAAATTAGAAAATTAACAGATAGATCAAGAAAACAAAATGTAAATAAAAATTAGAAAATTAACAGATAGATCAAGAAAACAATGCAAATAAAAATTAGAAAATTAACAGATAGATCAAGAAAACAAAATGTAAATAAAAATTAGAAAATTAACAGATAGATCAAGAAAACAAAATGTAAATAAAAATTAGAAAATTAACAGATAGATCAAGAAAACAATGCAAATAAAAATGAGAAAATTAACAGATAGATCAAGAAAACAAAATGTAAATAAAAATTAGAAAATTAACAGATAGATCAAGAAAACAAAATGTAAATAAAAAATTAGAAAATTAACAGATAGATCAAGAAAACAAAATGTAAATAAAAATTATTTCCCACTCCCACCTGTATCTCTTAAATTTTGTCCCAGCAAGACTTACAATACTACACATCAAACTATGTATTAAGGGGAGTAAGAATGTGTCTAACTCAGGGGTTCTCAAAAGGGGGGGGGTCACAAAGGGCTTTCTGTGGGTCGCCAACTGGTAAACTAAATCAAACAAAATATCAAACAAAAAATTCTAGCAATGGAATAAAGAAGCCAAAATGCGTAAATTAAATATTGAGAATGATGACAAGAGGTTGGCGTTAACAGAAACTGAACAGTGAATTCTGAGGCTAATTAATAACATTCAATATCACCCATTGTGTTAGTTATAAAAAACAATTAAAAGTGTACTAGAAAATCTTATTTTGGTGTTTATTTATTTCCATACTAATTTTGACTTTTTAATTTGGGGGGGGATGGGGGGGAGGTTACGGGTCACTTTATAAAATGGGGTCTTCACTCTAAAAAGTTTGGTAACCCGTGGTCTAACTGTACCACAGACAAAAATTTCTTCCGGTAATAACAGGCACCGTGCGGCGTCAAACCGGCCCGTGACAAAACGGCCCCGTCAAAACAACCCTGTCAAATCGGCCCCGTCAAAAGGTTCATAGACAAATGGATCCCGTCATTTAGGCTCCAGTCAAAAGGGCTACCGTCAATAAGGCTCGCGACAAAAGGGCTCCCGTCAATAAGAATTCTAACAAATAGGCTCCCGTCATTACGACAACCGACAATTTGGTTCATATCATTTAGGCTCCCGTCATTTAGGCTCCAGTCAATTAGGCTCATGACAAAAATGGCTCCAGACAAAAGGGCTCCCAGCAAAAGGGCTCCCGTCAATATAGTTCCTAATAAAAGGGCTTCCGTCATTTAGGCTCGCGTCAAATTGGCGCCCGTTAAATTGGCTCATGACAAAAAGGCTCCGGTCATTAAGACTCTCGATAAATTGACTCCCGTCTATGTGGCTCCCGTCATATAGGCTCCCGTTATTTAGGCTTGCGACAAATAGGCTCCCGTCAATATGGTTCCTGACAAAAAGGCTTGTTATTTTGGCTCTCGTCAATACGGCTCCCGACATAATGATAATGGCTCATGTCAACACCCACCATTCCTCAATGGACAACAGAAATACGCCTAAGATAATAAAGCGTCCTTAGCTTTAGGTCGCCATTTCTTAATTTTAAAGAAAAAGTATTTCTTGTACTGTATTAATTTTTAGTTTAGTGGTCATCTGTTACATTTCTACTTAGGGGTGTAGGATGCTGCAGCCCATTATACACATGACGGGTTAGGGTCCTTACGATACAATTACAGTCAATATGCTTCCAGGTTATTAAAAAATATGACTTCTTTGACTCGTTGCCCCCTTTTGATAGCCAAATAGAGGACACGTAACTGTTTGACCGATCCTCCAAAGTGTACTGTGGCGGATGGGGCAAGGGATGGGCACCAACAAGGTATCAATTTTTCAAAAGCATTTTTGCTAGCCGTCATCCTTTTATGACATCAACATGGTGGGTGGAGTGTCGATTAACATCGACTGTTGTGGACTGGGAAGGAGGGAGGGGGTCCATGTGGACATCCATACTTTGAAATTAACATGTGAAAAACCTAGACAACAAACGCAAAATGTGTAACATGCATGCTAAATTTAAACAGAAACAGCTGAGCTTGGGTCATATGGCGTAAACAACAGCTCAGCATGCACTTAAATCAGGTTAATATAAAATTACAATACTCAAAACTTTGTAGAAAGCGAACTGTTTAAAGATAAAAATGTGATAACTCCTCAGAAAACGGTTTCTTTGTCGGGAAGTGTTTTAAGTCGGGAGTTATTTAACCGGAGCCATTTTATAGTGAGCCAATAAGTCGGGAGTCATTTAGTCGGGAGCCAATATGTCTAGATTTCTTTTGTCTAGATTCCAATTGTCGGGAGCCCAATTGTCGGTAGCCAATATGTCGTGAGCCCATTTGCCGTGAGCCCTTATGTCGGGAGCCAATATGTCGGGAGCCCATTTGTCGGGAGCCAATATTTCCTGAGCCTATCTGTCGGGAGCCAATATGTCGGAAGTCTATTTGTCGGGAGCCTAAATGTTGGGAGCCCATTTGTCGGGAGCCTATATGTCGCAAGTCAATATGACGGGAGCCCATTTGACGGGAGCCAATAAGTCAGGGCCCTTTTGACGGGGCTATTTTGATGGGGTCGGTTTGTTGAGAGTCGATTTGACGGGGTCATATTAACGGGGCCGTTTTGACGGGGCACCAACAGGCACATATTACTTAAAGGGTTAAAATGTTGAATATGACAGCTGTTATGGTGTGCAGTAATAACACAGGTCTAAAAACCTATAGTGGGAGTAATAAACATGCAACTGCTCTAGAATAAACATGGTCTAAAGATGTAATTATCAAATTAATAATTGTTGATTTCTACTGAAATGTTACCAGTACATTTTAGGGAATGGTTTTAATTTTACCATTTTATTTAAAGACTTTATTTCAGTTTAAAGTTTGTTACTCTATGCTTGTTTTAGTTTCTACTTTTTACTATTTAAATATTGGAAAGATATAATCTAGAGAGGATATGCTCAGTTTTTTTATTTTTTGTAATTTAAGATATAAAGCCTTTAGAATACTCTAACCTTGTTTAGCACATGAAAGTAAACAGCAAAAAGGGGTTTGAAAAAATGTTGGTTGTCATGGAAACCCAAAAAAATCTCCCTTTTGAATTATTTATTTAAACACTTATAGCTACAAATGAACACGGCTTATATTTCAGTATATTTTTTGACACAACTTTTTGTAGAGCTACTGGTCAGAGTTCTACAAGCTCCCAAAAATCACAACCTTTTTAGTATGCAAAAGTTTTAAAATGTGCATAATATTTACTATAAACTTTTTTAAGCGCAATTTCCATTCTGGAGAATTGCGTTTATTAACCCGTCATTTCTGGATGTATGAATGAATGGATGTGTGTCCGCAGCTTTAAGTCGTAGCTCCTCCTCAACGAAGCAATATTGAGGACTAGTTCCAAAAGCAATTTATTATTATGTTAAGCAAGTTACGAGGATGAACATAGGCCAAAAAAATTTCGGGTTTCTTTCATGTATTTCTCGGAAAAGCCAAAAAACCTCCAAAAAATGCAGTTTTTGGCCCATATCTTGGCAACCAGACCACTTAGCGACTTGAAACATGTACCAATCGATTCCTGCCATAATTTAGAACAATATTGCCGAAGAAAGTTTTCAAAAATATCCTTTCGTTCGGTCACAAAATTTTTTTTGAATTAATTAAAATTTGGACCGAATTAGTAGGCATTTTTATCCAACCACACCACAGGCGTCATCACGTTCAATGGCTGCGACATCACGTTCGGTAGCTAGGCGCGAAATGGTTTTTAGTCATGTAACTCTATTGTAAATAAAACATGTAAAATACTGAAAAAAAATTGATAAAAAACGTTTTAATAACTAACCAATGGTTTTACTAACCCTGCTCTTGATTTACGCTACGACAGAGCTATTTTTAGATAACATAAGTAAATTGCGCTAAAATTGTCACTAGACTTTTTAATTACCTTGTTTCTATGAAAGCCATCACAATTCCCTTGTTACAGAAGTTCTATTTTTGCATGAAGAACAGTTACTGAAAATATGGTGGGCATTAAAAAAAAGAGTAGGAAAATGAGAAAAACAGTAAAATGTTATAACAAGTGGGTCACTAAAATACCATTTGTGTGTAATTTGTGTAGCCAACTAAAAGCTTTTGGTGTTTCCGAGTTGGAAAATACGATAATCAAGGTTTCTAATGATGCCAAATACAATATCATTACAGAGATATAATTTTTCATAGATAGCGTGTAAGAATGGAAAAAAATTATAATTTTTTAATTAATGGGGTTTTCAAAATTATATTTACCCATTAAAAAAAGTCCTCATTAAAGTTATTATTTTCTTAATACAAAAACGGACAAAGTATCCAAGAGTGCAAGAAACCCATTAGGAGAAAGAAGTCACGATTTTGGTGATTTTTATGAGCATATCCCGATAAGTTAAACAACAAAGAGCACCATTTTTGTTTTCTTTTCATTTGCTTCATTGGACTGAAGCCAACTCCCTCCATGACTAAAAGTAGATTGACTGAAAAAGCTAGCTGAAACTGTGACAATTATCTGCCCCTTGTTTATGTTCATGGTGTCAATTAGCCCAACTGTGACATTTAATTGTTTGTATTGTCCACAGTGGCTGGGTTGTTGGTGCCAAAGAAGTCGTCCAATTCCTTTAGGCTGATCAAAAGATAATTGAAGACTTAAAAATCAGCTCCATCTGTACACTAACACTAGATGCTGCCATGCAAGATATCTGAATCTGTTATATGAGATATATTGCTGGTATACCATCTGATACAAGATATATTGCTGGTATACCATCTGACTCTGTTATACAAGATATATTGTGTTATACAAGATATATTGCTGGTATACCATCTGATACAAGATATATTGCTGGTATACCATCTGATACAAGATATATTGCTGGTATACCATCTGACTAAGAGCAGAACCTACCCATGATCTCCCGTGAAAGTGCTGATTGTATTTGTTGTCAAACTTACAACTGAGATTATGCTAAGCTTCACCCGCCACCTTGATGGATTTGATATTAGTAGCTAGACATGGAAAGTAGTTTAAGCTCTGTGGACTTAGCTTTCTCTTTAGGTCTGTGGACTTTCTCTTTAGGTCTGTGGACTTAGCTTTCTCTTTAGGTCTGTGGACTTTCTCTTTAGGTCTGTGGACTTTCTCTTTAGGTCTGTGGACTTAGCTTTCTCTTTAGGTCTGTGGACTTTCTCTTTAGGTCTGTGGACTTTCTCTTTAGGTCTGTGGACTTAGCTTTCTCTTTAGGTCTGTGGACTTTCTCTTTAGGTCTGTGGACTTAGCTTTCTCTTTAGGTCTGTGGACTTTCTCTTTAGGTCTGTGGACTTTCTCTTTAGGTCTGTGGACTTTCTCTTTAGGTCTGTGGACTTAGTTTTCTCTTTAGGTCTGTGGACTTAGCTTTCTCTTTAGGTCTGTGGACAGCTTTCTCTTTAGGTCTGTGACTTTCTCTTTAGGTCTGTGGACTTAGCTTTCTCTTTAGGTCTGTGGACTTTCTCTTTAGACCTGTAGACTTAGTTTTCTCTTTAGGTCTGTGGACTTTCTCTTTAGGTCTGTGGACTTAGCTTTCTCTTTAGGTCTGTGGACTTAGCTTTCTCTTTAGGTCTGTGGACTTTCTCTTTAGGTCTGTGGACTTTCTCTTTAGGTCTGTGGACTTAGCTTTCTCTTTAGGTCTGTGGACTTTCTCTTTAGGTCTGTGGACTTAGCTTTCTCTTTAGGTCTGTGGACTTTCTCTTTAGGTCTGTGGACTTTCTCTTTAGGTCTGTGGACTTTCTCTTTAGGTCTGTGGACTTAGTTTTCTCTTTAGGTCTGTGGACTTAGCTTTCTCTTTAGGTCTGTGGACAGCTTTCTCTTTAGGTCTGTGACTTTCTCTTTAGGTCTGTGGACTTTCTCTTTAGGTCTGTGGACTTTCTCTTTAGGTCTGTGGACTTTCTCTTTAGGTCTGTGGACTTTCTCTTTAGGTCTGTGGACTTTCTCTTTAGGTCTGTGGACTTTCTCTTTAGGTCTGTGGACTTTCTCTTTAGGTCTGTGGACTTTCTCTTTAGGTCTGTGGACTTAGCTTTCTCTTTAGGTCTGTGGACTTTCTCTTTAGGTCTGTGGACTTAGCTTTCTCTTTAGGTCTGTGGACTTTCTCTTTAGGTCTGTGGACTTTCTCTTTAGGTCTGTGGACTTTCTCTTTAGGTCTGTGGACTTAGTTTTCTCTTTAGGTCTGTGGACTTAGCTTTCTCTTTAGGTCTGTGGACAGCTTTCTCTTTAGGTCTGTGACTTTCTCTTTAGGTCTGTGGACTTAGCTTTCTCTTTAGGTCTGTGGACTTTCTCTTTAGACCTGTAGACTTAGTTTTCTCTTTAGGTCTGTGGACTTTCTCTTTAGGTCTGTGGACTTAGCTTTCTCTTTAGGTCTGTGGACTTAGCTTTCTCTTTAGGTCTGTGGACTTAGCTTTCTCTTTAGGTCTGTGGACTTTCTCTTTAGGTCTGTGGACTTAGCTTTCTCTTTAGGTCTGTGGACTTTCTCTTTAGGTCTGTGGACTTTCTCTTTAGGTCTGTGGACTTAGCTTTCTCTTTAGGTCTGTGGACTTTCTCTTTAGGTCTGTGGACTTAGCTTTCTCTTTAGGTCTGTGGACTTTCTCTTTAGGTCTGTGGACTTTCTCTTTAGGTCTGTGGACTTAGTTTTCTCTTTAGGTCTGTGGACTTAGCTTTCTCTTTAGGTCTGTGGACAGCTTTCTCTTTAGGTCTGTGACTTTCTCTTTAGGTCTGTGGACTTTCTCTTTAGGTCTGTGGACTTTCTCTTTAGGTCTGTGGACTTTCTCTTTAGGTCTGTGGACTTTCTCTTTAGGTCTGTGGACTTTCTCTTTAGGTCTGTGGACTTTCTCTTTAGGTCTGTGGACTTTCTCTTTAGGTCTGTGGACTTTCTCTTTAGGTCTGTGGACTTAGCTTTCTCTTTAGGTCTGTGGACTTAGCTTTCTCTTTAGGTCTGTGGACTTAGCTTTCTCTTTAGGTCTGTGGACTTAGCTTTCTCTTTAGGTCTGTGGACTTAGCTTTCTCTTTAGGTCTGTGGACAGCTTTCTCTTTAGGTCTGTGACTTTCTCTTTAGGTCTGTGGACTTTCTCTTTAGGTCTGTGGACTTTCTCTTTAGGTCTGTGGACTTTCTCTTTAGGTCTGTGGACTTTCTCTTTAGGTCTGTGGACTTAGCTTTCTCTTTAGGTCTGTGGACTTAGCTTTCTCTTTAGGTCTGTGGACTTAGCTTTCTCTTTAGGTCTGTGGACTTTCTCTTTAGGTCTGTGGACTTAGCTTTCTCTTTAGGTCTGTGGACAGCTTTCTCTTTAGGTCTGTGACTTTCTCTTTAGGTCTGTGGACTTAGCTTTCTCTTTAGGTCAGACAATTTTAAGTTAATCTTACAGTACATTAAAGTTACTAGTCGATCTTGAAAGAATTGAACTTTTCCTTCTTAAATTTGGTCCAAGTGGACTAGATGAACTGCCCGCCATCATGCTTAAACTCTGGTTGATGTGGCCAGGGGTGTAGCGAGGGGGGGCGGGGGTGCGGACCGCACCGGGTGACACCATTTAGGAGGGTGACACCAAGGCAAAAAATAGCAAAATACATAGAGAAAAACTCGAGGGGGGGTGCAAATCGAAAGTTTGGGGGGGGGGGGGGGGGTGCAAATCAAAATTTTGAAAGTTTGTCCCTGGGAAGGAAGGGTCTCTATGCCTCTGGGGGGGGGGGGGGTGACACCATTAAGTGCCGCACCGGGTGACACCCGACCTCGCTACGCCACTGGATGTGGCCAAGTTTGACATGTATACCTTGTCTACACAGGTAGTTTTTTTCATCAGTGACTAGCATAGTTACATACATCAAGTTTTTTCATCAGTGACTAGCATAGTTACATACATCAAGTTTTTTCATCAGTGACTAGCATAGTTACATACATCAAATTTTTTCATCAGTGACTAGCATAGTTACATACATCAAATTTTTTCATCAGTGACTAGCATAGTTACATACATCAAATTTTTTCATCAGTGACTAGCATAGTTACATACATCAAGTTTTTTCATCAGTGACTAGCATAGTTACATACATCAAGTTTTTTAAAAGTTGTGAATTTTTATTTCTTCTTATTTAACATTAAATATGAAGACATTTTTTCTTTTTAAATTGTTAACAAAGAAATGAATACTTGTTTCTCTGTGTTATTTATGAATAGTTCTCTTGCTAATGTTTTAAAGCTCACTTTGTAAACATTCAATGGTTCATTACAAAATGTTTTTGGGTCATTAGCTTGTAAACATTCAATGGTTCATTACAAAATGTTTTTGGGTCATTAGCTTGTAAACATTTGCATTTAAAATTATTTTATGGTGATATGTGGATCTAGACCCAATCATAAGGCGGTGGGCATCAAATGTGTGGGTCTAGAGAATCATGGGGCAGAGGGCATCAAATGTGTGGATCTAGAGAATCTTGGGGCAGAGGGCATCAAATGTGTGGATCTAGAGAATCTTGGGGCAGAGGGCACCAAATGTGTGGGTCTAGAGAATCATGGGGCAGAGGGCATCAAATGTGTGGATCTAGAGAATCTTGGGGCAGAGGACATCAAATGTGTGGGTCTAGAGAATCATGGGGCAGAGGGCACCAAATGTGTGGGTCTAGAGAATCATGGGGCAGAGGGCATCAAATGTGTGGGTCTAGAGAATCATGGGGCAGAGGACATCAAATGTGTGGATCTAGAGAATCTTGGGGCAGAGGACATCAAATGTGTGGGTCTAGAGAATCATGGGGCAGAGGGCACCAAATGTGTGGGTCTAGAGAATCATGGGGCAGAGGGCACCAAATGTGTGGGTCTAGAGAATCATGGGGCACCAAAATGTTGTGTTAGTATTTAAACAGTTTATCTAATTCATGCCTATGCTGACACAGTACGAGGGGGAGGGGGGCATCATGAATTCCTGTTGGCCTTACTCAAGTCAGGGGTCTAGAAAAACAGTGCAATTTTTAAAATGCAAGCAGTTTTGTAATCATTTCAATAAACATGTGTTGTTTTTTTTTGGTCTGATTTATTTTTTGTAAAATCAACTTAATACATACACCCATGAGCTATGTTTTATTAGCCTTTCTTGGAATATGCTGTTGGAGATTTGAACTGTATTCTAGTCAGTTTTATGTCATCAAAATTTAGCTTCATACAAGTAAAAAGCTGTCATCTAGCTTTGGCTTTAAGTAGGTGTCAATGTGGTGTACTTGGTGACAGGACATGAGCTGGCCAGTTGACAGTTTGTTCCAATGGTGGCAGAGCTGGCCAGTTGACAGTTTGTTCCAATCATGCTCTCTTATCTTGTTTAATATTAAGCAGCATTTTAATTCATCTCTACTATCATTAGAATTTAGTGTCATCTATTTTTAGCATCACTGATTTGTCTGTACTATAACTTGTAGTATAACCAGTAGCAATAGTATGAATGAGTTGTACTATAACTTGTATAACCATCCTTGTATCACCATCCTTGTATCACCATCCGTATGAATGAGCTGTATATATCAAACTTTAGTTCTACAACTGTTATAACCAATATGTAGGATATAACTTTGAACTATATTTTGGCTTGTTTGCATTGTGATGCATATGATTTTATTTTTCATGGAATAATTTTTTTTCTTATTGGATTGAACAATTGCACCAATTTCTTAAATTTGCAGTTGAATACAGGCACTTGGCCTAGGAGTACTCACATGAAAAGAATCAATGCCATAGACAACACTACAATATCTGTGCACTGTACCATAGACTACACTACATACTACAATATCTGTGCACTGTACCATAGACTACACTACATACTACAATATCTGTGCACTGTACCATAGACTACACTACATACTACAATATCTGTGCACTGTACCATAGACTACACTACATACTACAATATCTGTGCACTGTACCATAGACAACACTACAGTATCTGTGCACTGTGCCATAGACAACACTACAATATCTGTGCACTGTACCATAGACAACATTACAATATCTGTGCACTGTACCATAGACTACACTACATACTACAATATCTGTGCACTGTACCATAGACTACACTACATACTACAATATCTGTGCACTGTACCATAGACTACACTACATACTACAATATCTGTGCACTGTACCATAGACAACACTACAATATCTGTGCACTGTACCATAGACAACATTACAATATCTGTGCACTGTACCATAGACAACATTACAATATCTGTGCACTGTACCATAGACTACACTACAATATCTGTGCACTGTACCATAGACAACATTACAATATCTGTGCACTGTACCATAGACAACACTACAATATCTGTGCACTGTACCATAGACAACACTACAATATCTGTGCACTGTACCATAGACAACATTACAATATCTGTGCACTGTACCATAGACTACACTACATACTACAATATCTGTGCACTGTACCATAGACTACACTACAATATATGTGCACTGTACCATAGACAACACTACAATATCTGTGCACTGTACCATAGACAACACTACAATATCTGTGCACTGTGCCATAGACTACACTACATACTACAATATCTGTGCACTGTACCATAGACAACACTACAATATCTGTGCACTGTACCTTAGACAACACTACAATATCTGTGCACTGTACCATAGACAACACTACAATATCTGTGCACTGTACCATAGACAACACTACAATATCTGTGCACTGTACCTTAGACAACACTACAATATCTGTGCACTGTACCATAGACAACACTACAATATCTGTGCACTGTGCCATAGACTACACTACATACTACAATATCTGTGCACTGTGCCATAGACTACACTACAATATCTGTGCACTGTACCATAGACAACACTACATACTACAATATCTGTGCACTGTACCATAGACAACATTACAATATCTGTGCACTGTACCATAGACTACACTACAATATCTGTGCACTGTACCATAGACTACACTACAATATCTGTGCACTGTACCATAGACAACACTACGATATCTGTGCACTGTACCATAGACAACACTACAGTATCTGTGCACTGTGCCATAGACAACACTACAATATCTGTGCACTGTACCATAGACAACACTACAATATCTGTGCACTGTGCCATAGACAACACTACAATATCTGTGCACTGTACCATAGACAACACTACAATATCTGTGCACTGTACCATAGACAACATTACAATATCTGTGCACTGTACCATAGACTACACTACAATATCTGTGCACTGTACCATAGACAACACTACAATATCTGTGCACTGTACCATAGACAACACTACAATATCTGTGCACTGTACCATAGACTACACTACATACTACAATATCTGTACACTGTGCCATAGACTACACTACAATATCTGTGCACTGTACCATAGACTACACTACATACTACAATATCTGTACACTGTACCATAGACAACACTACAATATCTGTGCACTGTACCATAGACAACACTACAATATCTGTGCACTGTACCATAGACAACACTACAATATCTGTGCACTGTGCCATAGACTACACTACATACTACAATATCTGTGCACTGTACCATAGACAACACTACAATATCTGTGCACTGTACCATAGACAACACTACAATATCTGTGCACTGTACCATAGACAACACTACAATATCTGTGCACTGTGCCATAGACTACACTACATACTACAATATCTGTGCACTGTACCATAGACAACACTACATACTACAATATCTGTGCACTGTACCATAGACAACACTACAATATCTGTGCACTGTACCATAGACTACACTACAATATCTGTGCACTGTGCCATAGACTACACTACATACTACAATATCTGTGCACTGTACCATAGACAACACTACAATATCTGTGCACTGTACCATAGACAACACTACAATATCTGTGCACTGTACCATAGACAACACTACAATATCTGTGCACTGTACCATAGACAACATTACAATATCTGTGCACTGTACCATAGACAACACTACAATATCTGTGCACTGTACCATAGACAACACTACAATATCTGTGCACTGTACCATAGACAACATTACAATATCTGTGCACTGTACCATAGACTACACTACAATATATGTGCACTGTACCATAGACAACACTACAATATCTGTGCACTGTACCATAGACTACACTACATACTACAATATCTGTGCACTGTACCATAGACAACACTACAATATCTGTGCACTGTACCATAGACAACACTACAATATCTGTGCACTGTACCATAGACAACACTACATACTACAATATCTGTGCACTGTGCCATAGACTACACTACAGTATCTGCACTGTACCATAGACAACACTACAGTATCTGTGCACTGTTGGGGAGTACCATTATTATGACCTTAAATTATTTAGACTGGGTATTATTTAAAGCTGCGGTTGTGGATTTACACAACAATTTATTTATATTTTTTGCAAGTGTATCACTTTATTTAAAAAAATTCAGAAAAACCTTCAATTTTTAAAATTTGAACTTTACTGATGGTTTTATATTTCGACATCAATGTATGATTCTTTGATACCGTATCTTTACAATCCATGTAACAGGCAAGTGGGGCTACAAGAGTGTGTGCTTAGCTTGTCAAATATTGCTTTCTCTTTTGCTCAGATGCTTTATAAAAAAAATGAAATCTTTTTTTTTTTTTTTTTTTTGCTTTTTTTAAGTTGGTTTCATTTCTAACTGATTTGCAAAATGATGTGCCTTTGAAGAATTACCACTGTGTTTTAACATTTGGCCATGAAGCTAACAAGATGCACATTTTTAAAAATTGTTGGAAGCTCTGAGTCTTAATGAAAGTTGCATTTACTGGTCGTCACCAAATTAGTCATTCCAAAGGATTGTGTACAGTTAAAGGTTGATCCCATTTGGTTAGTGTGACAGGTTTATTTTGCTTTCAGCATTCCATAATGAACATTTTTGACCTGAATAGGTTTAACTAAAACATTTGCCTTCTTTGGATAGCTAGCCAAGTTGAACCTCTAACTTCCTGTTACTGTAGTCACATTGATGGCCAGTTCTATCATAAATTAAGTCCTGTTGACATGATGGTCTTGATTTTGACAGACGGTAGTTGCAAATGGTCTACTGACGGGACTTCTACTGATGGGACTTCTGGTTCAGTGCAGTAGATGAAACATCCAATCAAGCTGTCACCATCTCATTCATGAGCAGCTCCCAACTTGAAATCAAAGGCTGGGCCTAGCTACAGTTTCTACAGCAGTTAGTCTGTTATTTCCTCAGCTCCCGCTAAGATACTACTTAACAAATTAAGTTTTCATCCACAAGGGCTGCGACAAACGTACATTCCATTGACAATACACCGTCAGCTTCAGTTTGATGTTGAGTGACATTGACAATACACCGTCAGCTTGAGTTTGATGTTGAGTGACATTGACAATACACTGTCAGCTTGAGTTTGATGTTGAGTGACATTGACAATACACCGTCAGCTTGAGTTTGCTGTTGAGTGAGGTATTAGTCAGCTCAATAGCACAGACTTGAGGTGCTAACATGTGAGGGACATGCAGGCTACAAGTGTATGAAGGGAGGCTAGAGAGAAATACTTTGAAGGTGTTGGACTGCAGCAGTGGCATCCTACAACTGTCTGATCCTATGTTATTGAGTTGTTTTAAACTTTAAGAAATTGTTTGCTATAAAGAGATATTTTAACTTTCTCCCCTCCCAAAAATTTTGTATCTGCATTGTTATATTTCTCCCCTAATAAATTGAAATGAAAACCTAGCATATAATTGGTTGTTTTTATTTAGCACATGTCTTTAGTCTTTACAACTGTTGTGCTTTATTTTAAATTCAATTAAATCTGTATTTCATCTGATCACCATGAAACTTAAGTTGTTGAGAGTACTCATGGAAAGGTTTCTTTGAAATGAATATTTACATTTTGGGGGGGGGGGGGGGGGGGGGTTGCAATTTTGCACCCAGAGTTCTCAAGCAGCTGTCTGAGCACCAGGAATCTGTTGACTGTACAGGATGTCTGGGCTACTTGGTGATTCAAAAATACTTAATTGTGTCTTTTTCTAACCTGACGGTCCATGTGGCAAGTGAAGTAGAGTTTCTGTGACCCTGGCAAATGCATTGTATGAATTGCCCTATGCCCAGCTGTCTTAACTTTCCTTTAAGTACTTAGTGTACCCATCAGAGATGTGTAGACTGGGGACGTTCTACCATAAATGACATCACGCTATTCAAGTTTTTTTACCTCCCTTCGCCACATTAAGCCATATATAGTCCATATGTATTATAAATATACAGGCCTATTTATGGACGGGGGAGGGGTGGGGGGTTAAAAACGCATTTTAGGGCGACCATTTCGTTTAGGAGAAAGGGGGGGGGGGGGCAAAAACTAATAAAGCTCTATGTTATGTTTAAACCGTGCCCAGTTGATAGTATTATATTTAAAAATTATTAATAATTAGTAATGTTTTTTTGTTTACCTACTTTAGTCTGTTATTATACACAGTAAACTTGAGTAAACAGTTGCATGCAGCATTGTGGGGATTTGTGAACTTGCACTAAATATTCACCCCCCCCCCCCCCTTCCCCTGCTACGCCGCTGATCATACGTATGATTTATGTATATTTTTTTCAATATGGTGAAAAACATAACGGCGAGAGTGTCAAACTGTGATGCCTCAGCGGTTGACTTAACAGAGAAAAATTTGAGAATATTTAGATTTGTTTTGTGCGATGAAATTTTAAAGATCCAGGAAAAGATAATTCCAAACAGCTGATTATTAAAGTCTGAAAGAGTTAAAACAGGGGCCTTTGTTTTCATAATATAAAGAAAAATCTACTCTTTGTTATAGTTACTGAATTTTTAAAAATGTATTCTTAACATACACTAAATTACATGTATAGCTAGGTTATTGGTTTTAGGCCTACGGGCTGAATACTCTTCTCGCGCCATGCCAAACAAAAGACGCTATGGGTACCGATCTAGAAGAGATCGAACTGAAGTGAGCTGCTGCATCAAATATTTGATGTTCGGGTTCAATGTTATGTTTTGGGTGAGTACTTCAGGACCCCCACGATGGTGTGGTCAGAATCATCCTAAATTTCTTAATAAATAGATCTAATATAATAAATAGGCCCTAGGCCCTAAATAAAAAATAAATAGGCCTAGGCCTACATAGTACATAGTTAATACAGACTGTTACAGACAGTCACACAGTGAGACAGTGTGTTTGTAGAGTAGAGGTAGATCTAGACCTATTGAAAAAATTTAGGGTATAGAGTGAAGTTCCACAGCCGATCACACATAGCGAACTCCCGACTTTCATCTGGCGTTATTTTGTAACCGTTTAACACAGAAACAAACCCAGAGTACTATATTATTCCTCTGCCATTCTACTCTTAATATGTATCAATCATTTTATATTTCTACGCATAGAATTTGAGATATTAATGTTTTAGTGACGTGCTACTTGCGATATTTTTTCCCCTCTTTTTTTTTCCTGCGGCCACCTGAACCGGCTAGCGTAACGCTCGTATTTAATACGTTTTAATCCTAGTTTAATAGGCCTAACTAAAATAAATATTTTACACTTTTAAACGTGTTGTTGATTGTATTATTAATTAATAGATTGCAAAACCAAATAAAAAACATGTTAATTAAATTAATTAACGACACATTAAAAGTTGACCCAGTGATGACTCAAGGGACGCAACTATAATAATCATAACAAAGGGACGTAACAATCACTAACAAGACATAACGTAACATTTGCTTAGATATGCTTGTATGTAGAGACACAAACTAGATTAAGAAGAAGTAGATGATCGAAATAATTTAAAACAACAGAAAAAAATAGAAATTATACAGATACTAGGCTTAGCTTGATATATAGAGCATATAGAACTAGGCTAGTCTAGCTCAAGTCGTTGGTTATGCAGCGATGTGAAACCACCCTAATCGACACCCAAGCTGCGGCCACCCCTATTCACCTCTCAGGTTGCTTTATTAGCCTTATCTATCGTATGTACAGTGTCCCGCACATATTGTAGAAGCTATTTATAGTTAACCTAGTTATAAAAAGCTTTGATTGGTTGGTTTTATTCATCTCATCCGGGACCTAGTGTTTTTCATAGGGGGAACTAGAATCGCCTACGTCATACCTCGAAACTTAAAAATTTAAAAACTCGACTTCCAGAGGGAGAAAACAAAAGAATTTGACCTGGATATATTTAGAAATGGACAGGTTTACAGCAGATATCGGTAGTTTCGTATAAAACATCAAAACAAATATTGTACGAAGCGATAAACAGGTAGGCCTAGAGGCTAATAGTTAATAATTATTCATAAATATAATATAGAGGCCCCTATTCCTGCCAGCAACAATCATAGTAGTACGTGAGTACTTCATTATGTACGTCATTAACTATATAACTAGGCCTAATGGCCTACTACATGTTAAAAATGTCATAGGACAGATTAATAAAATAATATATATAGCCTAGATACTAGATAGATATGTGGTTATTATATAATATTTAAGCCCAGATCTGTATCAGTGTATAAAACACTCATACTGTAATCCATATTGGCACATACTGCTGTTCAGACCATGACACTCATACTGTAATCCATATTGGCACATACTGCTGTTCAGACCATGACACTCATACTGTAATCCATATTGGCACATACTGCTGTTCAGACCATGACATGACAGTGGGTTTTTTTAAGAAACGCAGAAAGAAAAACTTGAAGAAAATTTGTGACAAATCTAGATCAAGACTTTCAATCTAGAGTTCTAGACTAGTAAAAAAGGATTACTAAATTAGTTAAAAAGATAATGATTATAAAAAATTGATTAGCAGCAATGATTAGCAAAAACACTAAAAATCATTAGCAATGAAAAGAAATGAACAAAAGATTAATCAAAATCAGTCTATCAAAATTTGAAAATGGTCAGGAGTATTAACCCTTTGACGACCAAGGGACATATTTATCCCAAAATTTAAAATTATCACAAAATTATAATTGAAGTAACTTGAATTTGCTTTAAAACATTAATTACATGATAGACTTAATATAAATAAGGCTGCTTTCATTATATATTAGATAGTTTTGATGTCATATTTATGGGAGCTTTACATTTTTAGACCACTCGCAAAGCTACTGTTGACATTTTTATATAATAAATGCTAAGTATAAACTTTTGTTGTACTGATCAGATGATTGGACTCTATGACATAAAGTTTTGTTGTACTGAGCAGATGATTGGACTCTATGACATAAAGTTTTGTTGTACTGAGCAGATGATTGGACTCTATGACATAAAGTTTTGTTGTACTGAGCAGATGATTGGACTCTATGACATAAAGTTTTGTTGTACTGAGCAGATGATTGGACTCTATGACATAAAGTTTTGTTGTACTGAGCAGATGATTGGACTCTATGACATAAAGTTTTGTTGTACTGAGCAGATGATTGGACTCTATGACATAAAGTTTTGTTGTACTGAGCAGATGATTGGACTCTATGACATAAAGTTTTGTTGTACTGATCAGATGATTGGACTCTATGACATAAAGTTTTGTTGTACTGAGCAGATGATTGGACTCTATGACATAAAGTTTTGTTGTACTGAGCAGATGATTGGACTCTATGACATAAAGTTTTGTTGTACTGAGCAGATGATTGGACTCTATGACATAAAGTTTTGTTGTACTGAGCAGATGATTGGACTCTATGACATAAAGTTTTGTTGTACTGAGCAGATGATTGGACTCTATGACATAAAGTTTTGTTGTACTGAGCAGATGATTGGACTCTATGACATAAAGTTTTGTTGTACTGAGCAGATGATTGGACTCTATGACATAAAGTTTTGTTGTACTGAGCAGATGATTGGACTCTATGACATAAAGTTTTGTTGTACTGAGCAGATGATTGGACTCTATGACATAAAGTTTTGTTGTACTGATCAGATGATTGGACTCTATGACATAAAGTTTTGTTGTACTGATCAGATGATTGGACTCTATGACATAAAGTTTTGTTGTACTGAGCAGATGATTGGACTCTATGACATAAAGTTTTGTTGTACTGAGCAGATGATTGGACTCTATGACATAAAGTTTTGTTGTACTGATCAGATGATTGGACTCTATGACATAAAGTTTTGTTGTACTGAGCAGATGATTGGACTCTATGACATAAAGTTTTGTTGTACTGAGCAGATGATTGGACTCTATGACATAAAGTTTTGTTGTACTGAGCAGATGATTGGACTCTATGACATAAAGTTTTGTTGTACTGAGCAGATGATTGGACTCTATGACATAAAGTTTTGTTGTACTGATCAGATGATTGGACTCTATGACATAAAGTTTTGTTGTACTGAGCAGATGATTGGACTCTATGACATAAAGTTTTGTTGTACTGAGCAGATGATTGGACTCTATGACATAAAGTTTTGTTGTACTGAGCAGATGATTGGACTCTATGACATAAAGTTTTGTTGTACTGATCAGATGATTGGACTCTATGACATAAAGTTTTGTTGTACTGAGCAGATGATTGGACTCTATGACATAAAGTTTTGTTGTACTGAGCAGATGATTGGACTCTATGACATAAAGTTTTGTTGTACTAAGCAGATGATTGGACTCTATGACATAAAGTTTTGTTGTACTGAGCAGATGATTGGACTCTATGACATAAAGTTTTGTTGTACTGAGCAGATGATTGGACTCTATGACATAAAGTTTTGTTGTACTGAGCAGATGATTGGACTCTATGACATAAAGTTTTGTTGTACTGAGCAGATGATTGGACTATATGACATAAAGTTTTGTTGTACTGAGCAGATGATTGGACTCTATGACATAAAGTTTTGTTGTACTGATCAGATGATTGGACTCTATGACATAAAGTTTTGTTGTACTGATCAGATGATTGGACTCTATGACATAAAGTTTTGTTGTACTGAGCAGATGATTGGACTCTATGACATAAAGTTTTGTTGTACTGAGCAGATGATTGGACTCTATGACATAAAGTTTTGTTGTACTGATCAGATGATTGGACTCTATGACATAAAGTTTTGTTGTACTGAGCAGATGATTGGACTCTATGACATAAAGTTTTGTTGTACTGAGCAGATGATTGGACTCTATGACATAAAGTTTTGTTGTACTGAGCAGATGATTGGACTCTATGACATAAAGTTTTGTTGTACTGATCAGATGATTGGACTCTATGACATAAAGTTTTGTTGTACTGAGCAGATGATTGGACTCTATGACATAAAGTTTTGTTGTACTGAGCAGATGATTGGACTCTATGACATAAAGTTTTGTTGTACTGATCAGATGATTGGACTCTATGACATAAAGTTTTGTTGTACTGAGCAGATGATTGGACTCTATGACATAAAGTTTTGTTGTACTGAGCAGATGATTGGACTCTATGACATAAAGTTTTGTTGTACTGAGCAGATGATTGGACTCTATGACATAAAGTTTTGTTGTACTGATCAGATGATTGGACTCTATGACATAAAGTTTTGTTGTACTGAGCAGATGATTGGACTCTATGACATAAAGTTTTGTTGTACTGAGCAGATGATTGGACTCTATGACATAAAGTTTTGTTGTACTGAGCAGATGATTGGACTCTATGACATAAAGTTTTGTTGTACTGAGCAGATGATTGGACTCTATGACATAAAGTTTTGTTGTACTGAGCAGATGATTGGACTCTTGCTGCTGGCCATTGGGCTGTGGGCGTGGTCAGAGAAGGACGTCTTTGAAAATGTGACCAGACTGACCAACATACACCTGGACCCAGCCCTGCTCTTCATCGTTGTGGGCATGGCCATGTTCTCTATGAGCTTTACTGGATGTGTGGGGGCCCTCAGGGAGAACACTTGTCTCTTGTTATTTGTAAGTTATTTTATGGGGGGGGGGGGGGCAGAACATCACTGGATGTGTGGGGGGGGGGGGGGGGCAGAACATCACTGGATGTGTGGGGGCAGAACATCACTGGATGTGTGGGGGCCCTCAGGGAGAACACTTGCCTCTTGTTATTTGTAAGTTATTTTAATTGGGGGGGGGGGGGCAGAACATCACTGGATGTGTGGGGGGGGGGGGGGGCAGAACATCACTGGATGTGTGGGGGCAGAACATCACTGGATGTGTGGGGGGTGGGGCAGAACATCACTGGATGTGTGGGGGGGGGGCAGAACATCACTGGATGTGTGGGGGGGGCAGAACATCACTGGATGTGTGGGGGCAGAACATCACTGGATGTGTGGGGGGGGGGCAGAACATCACTGGATGTGTGGGGGCAGAACATCACTGGATGTGTGGGGGGGGGGGCAGAACATCACTGGATGTGTGGGGGCCCTCAGGGAGAACATCACTGGATGTGTGGGGGCCCTCAGGGAGAACATCACTGGGTGTGTGGGGGGGGGGCAGAACATCACTGGATGTGTGGGGGGCCCTCAGGGAGAACATCACTGGATGTGTGGGGGCCCTCAGGGGGAACATCACTGGATGTGTGGGGGGGGGGCAGAACATCACTGGATGTGTGGGGGGCCCTCAGGGAGAACATCACTGGATGTGTGGGGGCCCTCAGGGGGAACATCACTGGATGTGTGTGGGGGGGGGCAGAACATCACTGGATGTGTGGAGGGGGGGCAGAACATCACTGGATGTGTGGGGGGGGGGCAGAACATCACTGGATGTGTGGGGGCCCTAAGGGAGAACACTTGCCTCTTGTTATTTGTAAGTTATTTTAATTGGGGGGGGGGGGGCAGAACATCACTGGATGTGTGGGGGCAGAACATCACTGGATGTGTGGGGGGGGGGGCAGAACATCACTGGATGTGTGGGGGCCCTCAGGGAGAACACTTGCCTCTTGTTATTTGAAAGTTATTTTATGGGGGGGGGGGGTAGAACATATGAACTTAACTTATCCTCAGTCTAGCATTGTCTTTTCTAATATGTACCTAACTTATCCACAGTTCATGATTTCGTTAGCCGCCATCTTTATCCTGGAACTTCTTATAGGTATTCTTGGATTTGTCTACAAAGACTGGGTTAGTAAATAGCTGTTCCACACATACAGACAGACACATACACATACACACACACACAACCACATACATATACACACATACAAGATAAGCACAAACCAATATTCATACAAAGACTAAGTCTTAGTTCTTTTCTGTTTAAAAATAAATAAATATATAAAGCATATTTAAATTTTATTTCTTGCTGACATTCTCAATACTGTCTTTTGATACTCTCATTTCTTGCTGACATTCTCAATACTGTCTTTTGATACTCTCATTTGTTGCTGACATTCTCAATACTGTCTTTTGATACTCTCATTTGTTGCTGACATTCTCAATACTGTCTTTTGATACTCTCATTTGTTGCTGACATTCTCAATACTGTCTTTTGATACTCTCATTTCTTGCTGACATTCTCAATACTGTCTTTTGATACTGTTTCTTGTTGCTGAGAGTTGATGCTATCATTTGTTCTCTCATTTGATGTTGTCATCTGATGTTGTCATCTGATGTTGTCATTTGGTGTTGTCATCAGATGTTGTCATCTGATGCTATCATTTGGTGTTGTCATCTGATGTTGTCATTTGGTGTTGTCATCTGATGCTGTCATTTGATGCTGTCATCTGATTTTGTCATCTGATTTTGTCATTTGATGCTGTCATTTGGTGTTGTCATTTGATGCCTTATGTTTCAGGTTAGGGATTCAATCCAATCCCAGGTGAGGGAAATGATCATCAAGTATAGAGATGACCTTGACCTAAAAAATTTGGTTGACTGGGTACAGCAGGACTGGGTAAGTTGATGACAGGGAGCCATTCAGTTTATAAAACAAAAAGACGGATTGACACCGTTCTTCCGATCGCCATGAAACTTAGGGGAGTTCATTAGAACACTACAGGGGGGGGGGGGGTCTGCAAAAAATAAAAAATAAATTAATTTTGAATGAACAGAGCCCCTGGAGGGTTCGGTAAATAAAAATAAAAGTCTGATGTGGTTGGACACCGTTCATCCATGTGCTATGAAAATTTGGGGAGTAAATGAGATTTCTGTGAAACTTCCCAAAGCTTCATGGCGATCGGATATATATATATACATATATATATATATATATATATATATATATATATATGTATGTATGTATGTATATATATAAGTATATACGTGTGTGTGTATATATATATATATATATATATATATATATATATATATACCTAATCCTAATCAAAGATTATAATATTGAAAGTAAATGTTAGTGGCTCTTTAAAAGCTGGGAAATTTTGTAAATTGTAATTTTTGACTCTTCTGTCTCAAAAGGTTTCCGACCCCTGCTCTATGGCATCAATTGTGGCATGTTCTCTAAGAGCCTTGATTTATTTCCACAGTTAAATTGCTGTGGTGTCCAAGGCTATAAGGACTGGGAATCCAATATTTACTTCAACTGTTCATCTCCTGGAGTAGAGGCTTGTGGCGTGCCTTTCTCATGCTGTAAACCTAAATATGATGTATGTTAATATACCCTAAATATGACATGTTTGTAAACATAAATATGACATGTTTATAAACATAAATATGACATGTTTGTAAACATAAATATGACATGTTTGTAAGCATAAATATGACATGTTTGTAAACATAAATATGATATGTTTGTAAACATAAATATGACATGTTTGTAAACATAAATATGACATGTTTGTAAACATAAATATGACATGTTTGTAAACATAAATATGATATGTTTGTAAACATAAATATGACATGTTTGTAAGCATAAATATGACATGTTTGTAAACATAAATATGACATGTTTGTAAACATAAATATGACATGTTTGTAAACATAAATATGACATGTTTGTAAACATAAATATGACATGTTTGTAAACATAAATATGACATGTTTGTAAACATAAATATGACATGTTTGTAAACATAAATATGACATGTTTTTAAACATAAATATGACATGTTTGTAAGGTTCTTGAGTGTCCACTGTATACTGTTTTACTTTCTCTGTTGACATCTTCATAGTCCAGTCTATGGCCAGCAGAAGCAGGAATGGTGAAAGTAGGCAACCATGCCTTACTCCGGTCCATACAGGGGTCATGCCAGGAGTTTACACTCCCGCTGGTATAGCTCTGGGGGTCATGCCAGGAGTTTACACTCCCGCTGGTATAGCTCTGGGGGTCATGCCAGGAGTTTACACTCCCGCTGGTATAGCTCTGGGGGTCACGCCAGGAGTTTACACCCCCGCTGGTATAGCTCTGGGGGTCATGCCAGGAGTTTACACTCCCGCTGGTATAGCTCTGGGGGTCATGCCAGGAGTTTACACTCCCGCTGGTATAGCTCTGGGGGTCATGCCAGGAGTTTACACTCCTGCTGGTATAGGAGTCATGCCAGGAGTTTACACTCCCGCTGGTATAGGAGTCATGCCAGGAGTTTACACTCCCGCTGGTATAGCTCTGGGGGTCATATCAGGAGTTTACACTCCTGCTGGTATAGGAGTCATGCCAGGAGTTTACACTCCTGCTGGTATAGCTCTGGGGGTCATGCCAGGAGTTTACACTCCTGCTGGTATAGGAGTCATGCCAGGAGTTTACACTCCTGCTGGTATAGGAGTCATGCCAGGAGTTTACACTCCTGCTGGTATAGGGGTCATGCCAGGAGTTTACACTCCTGCTGGTATAGCTCTGGGGGTCATGCCAGGAGTCAACACTCCCGCTGGTATAGCTCTGGGGGTCATCAGGGTGCACAGGCAGTTTACTTTTCAAATCAAACATAAAACTTTTATCTTGCTTGTAAAAATTATAATTATAATGACAGTGCTCGTATTTTTCAAACAAAAAAAAAAACCAGGCACAAGATGACGTCACCACCCCTCTCCAAACTTGATTTTAAAATAAAAAATATTTACTGGGCTTGTGACCATTGAGTGGGCTTGTGGCCATTGAGTGGGCTTGTGACCATGTTATGCCGCGGGCCGGCTCGTATATGTATAATTCTCTTCTGGGAGCCGTTAGAAGACAAGCTGCAAGCGCCTCCTTGCAGTCCCCTCTCTTTCTCTCTTTCTCTCTATCACTATCACTACCACCCCCACCCCACCCCCACATTGTCTGGTGAGCTGTGTTCACTCTGTTTACATTTTACAATCATAGAGAGGGTTTGGTGACGGCTATTAGGGGCAGATAATTTAGTTTGAAACGATTTTAAACTTAGAGGAGGTAACTAAGAGGAGGCTGCTTTCACGTGGGGGGGGGGGGGGGGGGCGGAATGGGGGGTTTAGTGTTTTTAAGCAAATATTTTCAATCACCACTGTCCGTTCACTTTAGTTCAATTATCCAACCCAGTGTATACTTAGGTGTGACATTAATGTCGCTCTACACAATTGTGGTGGTGAGGTGTGAGTGTGTGGAGGGGGGTGAAGATAACCAACTCAGATTGAACATAGCGTCAGTTTTTAGATGACTGTTCTAAACATACATATATATTACACAAATATATATTACTCAAATATATATTACAGAAATAGATTTAAATAAGGAGGGGGGGGTTTGTAACTGTTTTATATACTTTGTAATCGCAATCACTATCGCCCAAACTGAATACTACTACTTCATCGTGATGACGTTGTTGAACTTGTCAAAATTTTCCCACCACTACGCAGTTTGCTCATAAGTAAATTTAAATAGAGGTGCCACATCAGTTGTATTTGTTCCTGTATTGTAATTTTAAAAAAAAATTAATCACACTATTCAAACTGTATATATAAAATAATTATGTGTGAAGTTTTATGTATAACATTTTCTAATTCAATTATTCGTAAGCAAATACATTATACAGTTGCCTTAAACTTATCACCTCTCTTGCCAAGTTGTACTACCCGTAGAGGTTTTTTAAACATTGCAATGCATCGTAATGGTTATTTTTAGAATGGCAAACTGATGCATCTGTTAATATGTGTTGTAAACGTAGACAATACTAGACTAGTACAATAATGCTTAATTGCTGCATGAAAAGAAATCTTGTGATTTACATAGATGTGCCGACCAAAAATATTTTTTAACAAATATCATTGTTTAAAACTTTAAGTTAAAAAAGTTTCCAAAAAGGCGCCACTTTGCTGAAAATGGCCAGAGGGGGAGCGGCCGCTCCCCCTGCTCCCCCCCTGCGTACGCTACTGCATGTGACCTCAAACTACAGCTCTCTTTTATATCATTTTTTATGAGTGAAAACACAGCATGTGACCTCAAACTACAGCTCTCTTTTATATCATATTTTATGAGTGAAAACACAGCATGTGACCTCAAACTACAGCTCTCTTTTATATCATATTTTATGAGTGAAAACAAAGCATGTGACCTCAAACTACAGCTCTCTTTTATATCATATTTTATGAGTGAAAACACAGCATGTGACCTCAAACTACAGCTCTCTTTTATATCATATTTTATGAGTGAAAACACAGCATGTGACCTCAAACTACAGCTCTCTTTTATATCATATTTTATGAGTGAAAACACAGCATGTGACCTCAAACTACAGCTCTCTTTTATATCATATTTTATGAGTGAAAACACAGCATGTGACCTCAAACTACAGCTCTCTTTTATATCATATTTTATGAGTGAAAACAAAGCATGTCACCTCAAACTACAGCTCTCTTTTATATCATATTTTATGAGTGAAAACACAGCATGTGACCTCAAACTACAGCTCTCTTTTATATCATTTTTTATGAGTGAAAACAAAGCATGTGACCTCAAACTACAGCTCTCTTTTATATCATATTTTATGAGTGAAAACAAAGCATGTCACCTCAAACTACAGCTCTCTTTTATATCATTTTTTATGAGTGAAAACAAAGCATGTCACCTCAAACTACCAAGATTTATAATACATCTTCACGTGGTGAAAATAGAACATGTACCTCAAACTAGCAAAGCTCTATAAATTGTATTATAATCGCAACTTAGGTTTGTCTAAAATGCTTTAAGTAATTAAAATTCTGATCATGTTAAAATTAAACTTAATTGCTACTTTTTGTTAAATTGTAAAATTTTTATGTTTTAAAAATTTGTTTATAAGGGAAAGATTAAACTGGAAATATGCAAGACCTAAAAATGACCACGAATCTAAAAATGATCTGCATTGTAAATGTGTTGTGGATTTGTATACCTCTTTGTTTTTGTAAAATAACTATCTTTTGTGAACCTACATATGGTTTGTGTTTGTGAACCTACATATGGTTTGTGTTTGTGAACCTACATATGGTTTGTGTTTGTGAACCTACATATGGTTTGTGTTTGTGTACCTAAATATGGTTTGTGTTTGTGAACCTACATATGGTTTGTGTTTGGGAACCTACATATGGTTTGTGTTTGTGTACCTACATATGATTTGTGTTTGTGAACCTACTTATGATTTGTGTTTGTGAACCTACATATGATTTGTGTTTGGGAACCTACATATGATTTGTGTTTGTGAACCTACATATGATTTGTGTTTGTGAACCTACTTATGATTTGTGTTTGTGAACCTACATATGATTTGTGTTTGTGAACCTACATATGATTTGTGTTTGTGAACCTACATATGATTTGTGTTTGTGAACCTACTTATGATTTGTGTTTGTAAACCTACATATGATTTGTGTTTGGGAACCTACAAATGATGTGTGTTTGTGAACGTACATATGATTTGTGTATTTTTTTTTGAGTTGGGTCATCACCTTGGCCTAGATGTCCAATCCTGATTGGTTTGTAATTTTTTGAGTTGGGTCATCACCTTGGCCTAAATGTCCAATCCTGATTGGTTTGTAAATTTTTTTGAGTTGGGTCATCACCTTGGCCTAGATGTCCAATCCTGATGGGTTTGTTGGCCTAGATGTCCAATCCTGATTGGTTTGTTGGCCTAGATGTCCAATCCTGATTGGTTTGTTGGCCTAGATGTCCAATCCTGATTGGTTTGTTGGCCTAGATGTCCAATCCTGATTGGTTTGTTGGCCTAGATGTCCAATCCTGATTGGTTTGTTGGCCTAGATGTCCAATCCTGATTGGTTTGTTGGCCTAGATGTCCAATCCTGATTGGTTTGTAATTTTTTTTTTTAGGAAGAACTTATCAACAGACACTGTGGCTTTGAGATGATGAAATCAGATCATGTAAGTCAATTATTGATTGAAGTCAATCATATGAGTAAATCATTGATTGAAGACAATCATATGAGTAAATCATTGATTGCAGTCAATCATATGAGTAAATCATTGATTGAAATCAATTATGTGAGTAAATCATTGATTGAAGTCAGTGATGTGAGTATATCATTGATTGCAGTCAATCATGTGAGTAGTTTAGTCCCTAACCATATTTAAGTTTGAGCAAGTGTGAAAAAATGAATCCAGTATTTTATAGTTTGTTGATTCAATTCAGTGCTCTGACTAATATATTTGAGTCAGATAATCGTGCAGACCTAACAATTGCCTTCTTTAGGTGACCTAATGTTGCCCTCTTTAAGTGACCTAATCTTGCCCTCTTTAGGTGACCTAATCTTGCCCTCTTTAGGTGACCTAATCTTGCCCTCTTTGATTGACCTAATGTTGCCCTCTTTAGGTGACCTAATCTTGCCCTCTTTGATTGACCTAATCTTGCCCTCTTTAGGTGACCTAATCTTGCCCTCTTTATGTGACCTAATCTTGCCCTCTTTAGGTGACCTAATGTTGCCCTCTTTGATTGACCTAATGTTGCCCTCTTTGATTGACCTAATGTTGCCCTCTTTAGGTGACCTAATGTTGCCCTCTTTATGTGACCTAATCTTGCCCTCTTTAGGTGACCTAATGTTGCCCTCTTTGATTGACCTAATGTTGCCCTCTTTAGGTGACCTAATGTTGCCCTCTTCAGGTGACCTAATGTTGCCCTCTTTATGTGACCTAATGTTGCCCTCTTTAGGTGACCTAATGTTGCCCTCTTTAGGTGACCTAATGTTGCCCTCTTTCGGTGACCTAATGTTGCCCTCTTTAGGTGACCTAATCTTGCCCTCTTTAGGTGACCTAATATTGCCCTCTTTAGGTGACCTAATGTTGCCCTCTTTAGGTGACCTAATCTTGCCCTCTTTAGGTGACCTAATGTTGCCCTCTTTAAGTGACCTAATGTTGCCCTCTTTAGGTGACCTAATGTTGCCCTCTTTAGGTGACCTAATGTTGCCCTCTTTAGGTGACCTAATGTTGCCCTCTTTAGGTGACCTAATCTTGCCCTCTTTAGGTGACCTAATGTTGCCCTCTTTAGGTGACCTAATCTTGCCCTCTTTAGGTGACCTAATCTTGCCCTCTTTAGGTGACCTAATGTTGCCCTCTTTAGGTGACCTAATGTTGCCCTCTTTAGGTGACCTAATCTTGCCCTCTTTGATTGACCTAATGTTGCCCTCTTTAGGTGACCTAATATTGCCCTCTTTAGGTGACCTAATGTTGCCCTCTTTAAGTGACCTAATGTTGCCCTCTTTAGGTGACCTAATCTTGCCCTCTTTTATTGACCTAATGTTGCCCTCTTTAGGTGACCTAATCTTGCCCTCTTTAGGTGACCTAATCTTGCCCTCTTTAAGTGACCTAATCTTGCCCTCTTTAGGTGACCTAATCTTGCCCTCTTTAGGTGACCTAATGTTGCCCTCTTTAGGTGACCTAATCTTGCCCTCTTTAGGTGACCTAATCTTGCCCTCTTTAGGTGACCTAATCTTGCCCTCTTTGATTGACCTAATGTTGCCCTCTTGAACTGACCTAATCTTGCCCTCTTTGATTGATCTAATGTTGCCCTCTTTAGGTGACCTAATCTTGCCCTCTTTAGGTGACCTAATCTTGTCCTCTTTAGGTGACCTAATATTGCCCTCTTTAGGTGACCTAATGTTGCCCTCTTTAAGTGACCTAATGTTGCCCTCTTTAGGTGACCTAATGTTGCCCTCTTTAGGTGACCTAATCTTGCCCTCTTTAGGTGACCTAATCTTGCCCTCTTTAAGTGACCTAATGTTGCCCTCTTTAGGTGACCTAATCTTGCCCTCTTTGATTGACCTAATGTTGCCCTCTTTAGGTGACCTAATGTTGCCCTCTTTAGGTGACCTAATGTTGCCCTCTTTAGGTGACCTAATGTTGCCCTCTTTGATTGACCTAATGTTGCCCTCTTGAACTGACCTAATCTTGCCCTCTTGACCAGGATTTTGACCGGGCTACAAGAATCAACACCCTAGGCTGTATCCCCGCAGGTGAGAAGTGGCTGGAGGTCAATCTTATACCTGTGGCAGGTGTAGCTGTGGGCGTGGCACTGCTACAGATTCTTGGAATTTGTTTTGCTCAAAATCTGCGCAGCGACATTCATTCTCAAAGAGCCAAATGGACCCTATGACAAGTAGCAGAGGTCTAGCCAGTCTATATAGGAAGCTGGGGGTTGTATGGTCAGGAGCTGAGCTAAAGGAGACAGATCAGGCAGGGTTTTGTTCACATCCCCGTATGTATCAACAGATTGGTATTTTGGGTTTTTTCCATGCCTTGTACTGTGTACAAAAGAATTTAAAAATAAGTGGGTTTTTTTAAGCAAAGCACACAGTTTTCCACAAAGTAAAAAAATGTGGCCATTTAAAAAAAAATATGTATTCAAATTGTAGGCATCTGAAAGCAGCATTTTTTTAAAAAGTCAGCTATCTTGTTGTACAGTTGTTGTGAACAAAGCTGAAAGTATAGCTGGCATGTTTTGGTCAGTTGGTGCTGAAGGTCAGTTGGTGCTGAAGGTCAGTTGGTGCTGAAGGTCAGTTGGTGCTGAAGGTCAGTTGGTGCTGAAGGTTTTGGTCAGTTGGTGCTGAAGGTTTTGGTCAGTTGGTGCTGAAGGTCAGTTGGTGCTGAAGGTCAGTTGGTGCTGAAGGTTTTGGTCAGTTGGTGCTGAAGGTCAGTTGGTGCTGAAGGTCAGTTGGTGCTGAAGGTCAGTTGGTGCTGAAGGTCAGTTGGCGCTGAAGGTTTTGGTCAGTTGGTGCTGAAGGTTTTGGTCAGTTGGTGCTGAAGGTTTTGGTCAGTTGGTGCTGAAGGTTTTGGTCAGTTGGTGCTGAAGGTTTTGGTCAGTTGGTGCTGAAGGTCAGTTGGTGCTGGAGGTCAGTTGGTGCTGAAGGTCAGTTGGTGCTGAAGGTCAGTTGGTGCTGAAGGTCAGTTGGTGCTGAAGGTCAGTTGGTGCTGAAGGTTTTGGTCGAGGGTTCTTGTGGTGGTGGCTAGATCTCTATGATATCAAAATGTCAAGGATCACACAATTCTGATCCTATTTACTTTAACCATTTATGCTTTGACAAATCTGCATTGAAGTTATGTTTCATTACTGGACATGGTCCAGAGCTTATAAGGCGTGCAACAAAATTTTTGCTAATGATTCCATACATATGTAAGGTCTGACTAAAGATTCCATACATATGTAAGCTCTGACTAAAGATTTCATACATATGTAAGGTCTGACTAAAGATTCCATACATATGTAAGGTCTGACTAAAGATTCCATACATATGTAAGGTCTGACTAAAGATTCCATACATATGTAAGGTCTGACTAAAGATTTCATACATATGTAAGGTCTGACTAAAGATTTCATACATATGTAAGCTCTGACTAAAGATTTCATACATATGTAAGCTCTGACTAAAGATTCCATACATATGTAAGCTCTGACTAAAGATTTCATACATATGTAAGCTCTGACTAAAGATTTCATACATATGTAAGGTCTGACTAAAGATTCCATACATATGTAAGCTCTGACTAAAGATTTCATACATATGTAAGCTCTGACTAAAGATTTCATACATATGTAAGGTCTGACTAAAGATTTCATACATATGTAAGCTCTTCTTTCATCAGTTTCAAAGATCTGTACATTTTTTGTAAGGTAAACATTTTTAAAATTTGTTTCCCATTGGTATGTATTATTAGAACTAACATGTTCATGTTTCTATTTTATATTTATGTCAATTATTTTGGAGCATTTTGAATATTTTTGGCAAGTAAATTGTAATGATATTACTTCATCATGAGATAGAATATTTGAATGTGATAGTTTCATTTTTAAATAACAAACAATTACAGACCAAATTACCTCATATGGTTAGATATCATTTTGTTTGTGGAAAGATGGTGTTTTTATCATTGTGTTAGTCCTGTGTTATGGGTGTTTTTATATCATCATGTTAGTGGGGGGGGGTCAAATGTCACTGATGGTGTGTTTGGCTTATTATTGCTCACCATATGTTGACATCCACATGTCACCATATGTTGACATCAACGTGTTGTCATATGGTGATATGGTGATAGACACATTCAGTTACAAATCTGTTTACATGTTTATAGGTATGCAACATATTTATATGATTGTATCTGTGTGTTGTGTACATGTTTATATGTATGCAACATATTTATATATGTGTGTATCTGTGTGTGAGAGTGTATCATTTCTGATCTAGGCAAAGCATGAAATTAATCATTTCATTAAGTCATAATTTTGGTCATTGTTCATTCTGTCATAATTTTGGTCATTGTTCATTCTGTCATAATTTTGGTCATTGTTCATTCTGTCATAATTTTGGCCATTGTTCATTAAGTCATAATTTTGGTCGCTATATTATAAAATAAAGACCTATACTAAAATTTTAAAAGCGACCCACATTTTTTCTACTTAGTTATTGAAATAGTGTTACATTATTTATTTTTGTTTTCTTCTAGTGCATCTATAAAAACTTGTTATTATAAAGCGTTTCATTAATTTTTTAAAATTCTAGTGCATCTATAAAAACTTGTTATTATAAAGCGTTTCATTAATTTTTTTAAATTCATGTCCAAAATTCTTCTGGCTGGATTAAAAAGCGTGTTACTTGAATGATGTATTTGAGTAACCTTTTGATACAAGTGTGTGTGTGAAGGCCATTAAAAAGCCTGTTACTTGAATGATGTATTTGAGTAACCTTTTGATACAAGTGTGTGTGTGAAGGCCATTAAAAAGCCTGTTACTTGAATGATGTATTTGAGTAACCTTTTGATACAAGTGTGTGTGAAGGCCATTAAAAAGCCTGTTACTTGAATGATGTATTTGAGTAACCTTTTGATACAAGTGTGTGTGTGAAGGCCATTAAAAAGCGTGTTACTTGAATGATGTATGGGCCACGATGAAGCTGATAGTGACAGTTATAGATTTAAATTTAATACAAATCTTTGTGTGTCAAAAATGCTTTCCTGTGTTTCATCTTTCTATCGTATTTCATCAATGTTTTCTTGTGTTTATGATCATCTTTCTATAGTATTTCATCAATGATAAATTGATATTACCACATATTAGTCAATGATCTTTGCATAGAATTAATGAAACCTTTCAAGGTATTAAACATAGAGCAGGGTCAAATGTTCATTTCTTTCTATTTCTGAAAACTTTATTTAACTTAAGAAGCAGAAATTAATTTATTTTCTTGAATTGATTGTGATCAAATACTCAAAATTTTGCTGAACATTAATGAGCTTGTTAGTTCCATTAGACATCTTTATATACTGCCTCTATTTTTTATTTGTTAATTTTTCTCCTAATGAATACTTTTCTCATAACAAATGCTTTTTACATTTTCTTGACTGTTGCTTGACTGTTATACTTTTGGTTTGTTTTTTATTGATGTAATTTTGTGCAATTCCAATAATTTAATCCATGTCAGTTTTTCTACTTTTTGTGCAATCCAATTTATAAATGTGTCTTCTACTTTATGTTGCACTCATCTGTGTTTCTATGCATGTCAATGTCAGATGTATCCCGTGGATTATGCTTCATTCTTCAATGTTGATAGAGCCAAGTTAGAGTTATTGTATGCATATAGTTGTTTAATATAATACTGACATTAAGCACAAATACATTTTGGTAGTTTCAGTTTTTTTAAATTCCCTTCTTCTGGAATTGTGATATTATTGTGCCAAGATTTCACCCTGGGTACCTCTTGGGGAGAAAACCAAAAATATACCCAGGTATCTAAAGAATACATTATAACCTCCCTTGTGTTAATTTGTATAGTTCAAGGGTTGTCTTAACCCTAGTATAAGCCATTCAATTTAAGGCAAGAAACAAATTCATAATACAGCAATGCACATTTTTTTAGTAATATAATATATCAACATAAATTTGTTGGTTATGTTATAATATATCAACATAAATGTGTTGGTGATATTGTAATATAGCAACATAAATTTCTTTGTATATTATATCAATATGAATTTGCTGGTGATATTATAATGCATTAATATAAAATGATTGATGGTTAATGAAAAAACTTATCACAGCTACTTCATGTTATTTAACATAACAAAAATTTTAACAAATCATTTTAGATTTTGTTTACTAGCAAATGCTGGGACAAATATTTATCCCATGAAGTCTTGAGTCTGAATGCTAAAAAAAAATTTCCATAAAAAATGTGAGCATATTTTTTCTAGAGTTTAGCAGGAAGAACACAGTTATTGTTCCTGATGGTTTGCCAATTATTGATTCAACACTTTTTTTTGTTTTATATAACTGGAAGAGAATCATTGTGATTCATTAAATTTTTTTTAATTAGCTGTTAATGTATTCCATGATAACTAATAATTACTTTTTTTGGAAAATTATAAAAAATAAAAATGTCTGAACTATAAATGTGTTTGAGTGAATTAATTTGGGTGTAGAGTTTACTGACTGAGGTGTGATACTTTATTATTCAGGTGCAGGGGCGTAGCATGGGGGGGGGCGGGGGGTGCAGATCGCACCGGGTGACACCATTTAGGGGGGTGACACCAAGGCAAAAAATAGAAAAATATATAGAAAAAAACTCGAGGGGGGGGGTGCAAATCGAAAGTTTGAGGGGGGGGGGGGTGCAAATCGAAAATTTGAAAGTTTGTCCCTGGGAAGGGTCTCTATGCCTCTGGGGGGGTGACGCCATTAAGTGCCGCACCGGGTAACACCCGACCTCGCTACGCCACTGTTCAGGTGTACAGTAGTATAAGTTCAATGACATAACCCTTGAATTTCTGACAGGTCAAAAGAAAATTACCAACTGGTATATACATTACGGCTAATCAATTGTTTTTATATAGATATATATAGCAAAATACATTTCATTATTATACCAAAAAGTAAACAAATGAAATCACCCCGGAAAAAGTAAGCCAAAGCTCAATCCTTCAATGAACATACTGTAAAACTCTAAATAATCTCGTCCAAATACACAATGACAGGATAGGATCAGACCTGGAACATGACATCAGGCTGGAACATGACATCTGGCCTGGAACATGACATCTGGCCTGGAACATGACATCAGGCTGGAACATGGCATCAGGCTGGAACATGACATCAGACTGGAACATGGCATCTGGCCTGGAACATGACATCTGGCCTGGAACATGACATCAGGCTGGAACATGACATCTGGCCTGGAACATGACATCAGGCTGGAACATGACATCAGGCTGGAACATGACATCTGGCCTGGAACATGACATCAGGCTGGAACATGACATCTGGCCTGGAACATGACATCAGGCTGGAACACGACATCAGACCTGGAACATGACATCCTGGAACATGACATCAGGCTGGAACATGACATCAGGCTGGAACATGACATTAGGCTGGAACATGACATCAGGCTGGAACATGACATCAGGCCTGGAACATGACATTAGGCTGGAACATGACATCAGGCTGGAACATGACATCAGGCCTGGAACATGACATCTGGCCTGGAACATGACATCAGGCTGGAACATGACATCAGGCTGGAACATGACATCAGGCCTGGAACATGACATTAGGCTGGAACATGACATCAGGCCTGGAACATGACATTAGGCTGGAACATGACATCAGGCCTGGAACATGACATTAGGCTGGAACATGACATCAGGCCAACGAGAACAAGAACAAGAGATAAGGCCAACGCTAGTTTCAGTCCTTAAAGAGGCAAGACATAGTGAGCAATGTTTCTTTCAGACTTTTTTATCCCGGGGGGGGGGATACTAAATTTTCCAGGGGGCGGACACAGGTAAAAGTATATAGTTTCTATAGGCCTACAGGTTCCATTTTGTTCAAGTGAAACACCTTATAAGTGCAAAAATCTCACATTAAGCTCGTCCAGAACCTACATAACCAAGATTGGTCGATTTGGAAGAAAAAAAATTGATTGAGTAATTTCTCTTTGGAAAGAAAACTTAGCAAAAATATTTAAGCTAACACTTTAAATATTTTTCTCTTCCCGTTCAATATTAGATTGATTGATCAATTTTCAAAACAATAATGTGTACAAATATTTTAAAATGCTGGGCAAGTGTGACGCCACACTAAATTTTGTGAGGACGTATTGAAATAATGAACAGTAATGGTTTTGTGTTTAGTTTTTAAGTTTAAACTATTTTATGACCTAGTTCCTTTTAGGGCGTATGAAATAGTGTTATGATTGGCTATTAATTGTCACACCCCCAAACATTATAGGTCAGGTCAAGGTCACTAGAAGACCAATCGTAGCCGTATATAAAACCCAGCCTTTCGCACTGAAGACTGTGCGCTGTTAGATCTAGACCTACAGTGTCCTCATCCTGGTCTAGTTGGAATCCGCCTTCAGTTTGAGCCTTGAGGAGACATTTTATAACTTTCAAAATTCAACCATGTTGCGAGTTGCAGCTCAGACGCTTCCAAAAAACTGTGTTTTGACTCATTCAAGACCTGTGGTTATCGGTTCATCTCGCCACACCTCTACAATCCAAAGTGATGAGGAGCCAAGTTTTTTCGAACAAGTTGAACTTTTTTTTGACAAATCTGCTAACCTGTTGCAAGATCGATTACTTAAAAAAATTAAAGGAAAAAATCTAACCCTAGACGACAAAAAAAAAGTTGTGGACGGCCTGCTCAGAGTAATCAAGCCTTGTAATCATGTAATGGCGGTAAATTTTCCAATCAAAAGAGATAATGGAACTTACGAAATGATTGAGGCATACAGAGCCCAACACAGCCAGCATAGGACACCTTGTAAAGGAGGTTAGTGATATAGAGTATTTTATAGAGTCTAGATCTTACTTATATACAATATAATTTATTCTAGATTCTAGATCTAGATCTATTAACTACTAGTGACTAGTGCTAACTAGAGATCTTGATCTAGATCTAGACTAATCTACATAATATACATATAGATTCTAGATCTACTCTACTTATTTATACTGAACTAATCCAGCTTGAAACAATTAGAATCTGATCTAGACTATCTAGAATCTAGTTATGTATGGAGTAGCATAACTAAATTATACTAAATAACTCTAGAATCTACTACCACTAGATCTAGCTACTAATACAATTTAATAGGCCCTACATAATACTTAATACATTATTAACTAGGCCTATATCATGGTTATATGCCATATAATATGGCCTATGCCATGCCTATACTTTGTAGACTATAGGCCTAATATTACTATTGTCAATAGTTAGGCTATTATATTATTTAAAAAATTATTAGGCCTATAATATTATTAGTTATAGTTATAGAATATTAATTATACTGAATCGGGCCTATTATTTACTATACTATACTTATTACTTAACTATACAGACTTAAACTTAACTACTATAGTATAGTATAGGGCTACCCAATAAATAAATAAATAACATGGCAAACGATTACCTAGGCCTAATTAATTAATAATAAATAGATTCTATTTGTTAGACCTATAGGTCAACTTGCTAGTAAAAAGAGTCTAGTGTAAATAATGGACCATTATTGGTAGACTGGAGGCCATTCCAGAACTAAACATTAGTGGGTCATCAATCAATAAACAATGTCATGGTTTTTTGATGATTTTTTAATGGTTTTTTGATGATTTTTAATGGTTTTTTGATGATTTTTTAATGGTTTTTTGATATTTTTTAATGTTTTTTTTTAAAATTATTTTTAACCTTCCCTTCTCCTTCCTACTTTGTCAGACATCACAAAAAGCCAGAATAATTCACACCTCATCCTGCAACCTTTCATCTAAAACTGCAGTTTTTTTCAAACAAATTTCTTTTGAATGTATATTATTTAGAGTTTCGTAATAAATCTCTATAATGTTCTATCTAAACCATCCTAAGAAATGTTAAATAATTGCTAAAATTTAGTTTCTAATTGTAACATTACTTTTAACCATGCTAAAATTTAGTTTCTAATTGTAACATTACTTTTAACCATGCTAAAATTTAGTTTCTAATTGTAACATTACTTTTAACCATGCTAAAATTTAGTTTCTAATTGTAACATTACTTTTAACCATGCATAAGTCCCAAAAGCTTGTGGTCACACTTTCTAACATTTGACCTAGATCTAGATACAGCTCTAGATCTTAGGGCCTAACAATTTGAGGGGGAAAAAAACAACTTTGCTTTGCTATAATGATCTTAACTTACTTTTATGTCTAGTGGGCCAAAGTACATTGCAAAGGTGACTGTGTAACTCTTGGCTGTGGCATGAAGTTTCTTGCAGATTGCACTTTTCTTGAATGTGCAGGTTATGATTTGTATTCTTTGTAAGGGCTGACGGCATTTGTTTGATAGGAAACTTGTTAAGAGTTTGTATACCATCTTGACATGATAGACCAGGGGTCTCCAAACTGCGGCCCGCGAGGTCCTCTCATCCGGCCCGCGGAGATCTTTTTGTCCACGGGAAAAAATGTTTCTTGGAGGTGGCTGAGGAACTTTGCCCAGAAAATTCAAAATAATTTGAAAATGTAGCTTTGGTTGCAATACCATTGCCCGCCGTTTTGCAGACATTGGTGAAAACGGCAAGCTTTGTGTGCTAAATATATGGACTTAAGCTGTGTACTGAATACCCTAACGAAGATGGTGAATTTAATAAGGTCATATGGGCTTAACCCTAGATAGTTTAGCGACATGTTGAAAGATACAAACACAGAATCGCAATATTTACTATATTACACAGCAGTACGATGGCTAAGTTGTGAGAAACTTCTGAGCAGAGTATTTAAGTTAAGAAAGGAAATAGGTGACTTCCTGGAAAGTAGGCAAGCCACGTCCATAAATGTCTGGTGAAGAATGGGTATAGCAATAGGCCTCTGCTGCAAACATAACTAGTCATTGAAATTTTCTGAATCCATAACTATAAGAGAGGGAAATATAGTTTCTATACACCCAACTAAAGGCATTTCAGCTACCCCGAAGAGATGCCTGGAAGAAACTCTGGCCCCCGAACTAATATTTGATAGTTAATGCGGCCTTCGGGCTGAAAAGTTTGGAGACCCCTGTGATAGACCAAATACATTTCCTGTAACTTTCTTCCCTTTTAAAAATATTTTTTTCCTGTAACTTCATATTTTGTTACATACTTGGTGTTTAGTAAAAAAAAAAAAATTAATAATTTAACATTCATTCTTCCTTTCATCCAATAGCCATGGGACAAACTATTAACTGGTATTATTTACTTCAAATTATCCTTTTTTCCATATGTCTTTGCCCTTTTTTTCCCATTTCTTTCCAAATTTTTCTAATACTTTTCATGCCCTTTATCTTCAAATTCTCTACGCCAGGTGTTTTTTTTGGTTCTCCCCTGTTGAAAATTGCATAATTTGCCTTGTCTGATCACACTTGTTGCAGGTGTCCTCAACACATGACCATCTCCACTTTCTTTTCCAACTTTCTCCTGGGATTTCTCATGTCCTTTCACATATTGCCATGTTAGTATTGTTAGGTATTTTTTATTACTTTTGAAATTAGTAGATACATTGTAATTATTTAAACATTGGCTTATATAAGTAAGATGAGCTATCTTGATGTTAAACTCTTGACCACCTGTATCCAGGTATCCGCTACAGTATGGATGTTAACCTGGACGAGGTGAAAGCTCTGGCTGCCCTGATGACCTACAAATGTGCTGTGGTTGACGTCCCTTTTGGAGGCGCCAAGGCAGGAGTTAAAATCAACCCTTCAGATTATTCTGTCAATGAACTGGAGAAAATTACCAGGCGATTCACAGTTGAACTAGCCAAGAAAGGCTTTATAGGTCGGTAGATTTTGCCTGTGTTAATGTAGGCCTATCTTAGTATGTTTTGAAATATTCTCTTGGCACTGGATATATTGGCCAGAAACGAGGTAATAATTAGCTTGAAATTTGGCCATGGCCACCAACTTGTCTTATAATCATGGCCACCAACTTGTCTTATAATCATGGCCACCAACTTGTCTTATAATCATGGCCACCAACTTGTCTTATAATCATGGCCACCAACTTGTCTTATAATCATGGCCACCAACTTGTCTTATAATCATGGCCATCTTGTCATCTGATCCTTAATGGTTGTAAATTTTTATGACTGGTATCAGCCAACAGTCTGTGACCTTAAAAAAACTTATCTCCTTGGTCTACACAAGTTTTATTGTCTCCTTAAAAACTTAAATCCTTGGTCTACACAAGTTTTATTGTCTCCTTAAAAACTTAAATCCTTGGTCTACACAAGTTTTATTGTCTCCTTAAAAACTTAAATCCTTGGTCTACACAAGTTTTATTGTCTCCTTAAAAACTTAAATCCTTGGTCTACAAGTTTTATTGTCTCCTTAAAAACTTAAATCCTTGGTCTACACAAGTTTTATTGTCTCCTTAAAAACTTAAATCCTTGGTCTACACAAGTTTTATTGTCTCCTTAAAAACTTATCTCCTTGGTCTGCACAAGTTTTATTGCCTTCTGGGTTGTAAGTCAAGCACACCTGGGCTTATCAAATGGAAGATTTCAATGCTCTCAAATTTATGACACTGGACATTTTTTTATGTCAAAAACTTGCAACCAGCAGTGTATGATAGAAAACTTGCAACCAGCAGTGTATGATAGAAAACTTGCAACCAGCAGTGTATGATAGAAAACTTGCAACCAGCAGTAGATGATAGAAAACTTGGAACCAGCAGTAGATGATAGAAAACTTGCAACCAGCAGTGTATGATAGAAAACTTGCAACCAGCAGTAGATGATAGAAAACTTGGAACCAGCAGTAGATGATAGAAAACTTGCAACCAGCAGTGTATGATAGAAAACTTGCAACCAGCAGTAGATGATAGAAAACTTGCAACCAGCAGTAGATGATAGAAAACTTGCAACCAGCAGTGTATGATGTTTAAAAATGTTAGTGGAAGACTGGGTCAAGGCTGTTGGTGTGTGGGGGTGGGTCACATCTGGCCTTCAGTTGGGGGTAGGGGTGACACATTTGTGGTGTAAGTGTGGGAAGATGTCAAATCTAGGCTGTTTGGGGTGGGGGGGGGGGTCACAGTTGGCATGATGGTGTGTGGGTGTCAGTTGGCCTGATGGTGTGTGTGGGTCACAGTTGGCATGATGGTGTGTGGGTGTCAGTTGGCCTGATGGTGTGTGTGGGTGTCACAGTTGGCCTGATGGTGTGTGTGGGTGTCACAGTTGGCATGATGGTGTGTGGGTGTCAGTTGGCATGATGGTGTGTGGGTGTCAGTTGGCCTGATGGTGTGTGTGGGTGTCAGTTGGCCTGATGCTGTGTGGGAGTCACAGTTGGCATGATGGTGTGTGGGGGTCACAGTTGGCCTGATGGTGTGTGTGGGGGTCACAGTTGGCATGATGGTGTGTGGGGGTCACAGTTGGCATGATGGTGTGTGGGGGTCACAGTTGGCATGATGCTGTGTGTGGGAGTCACAGTTGGCCTGATGGTGTGTGTGGGGGTCACAGTTGGCATGATGGTGTGTGGGGGTCACAGTTGGCATGATGGTGTGTGGGGGTCACAGTTGGCATGATGGTGTGTGGGGGTCACAGTTGGCATGATGGTGTGTGGGGGTCACAGTTGGCATGATGGTGTGTGTGGGTCACAGTTGGCATGATGGTGTGTGTGGGTGTCAGTTGGCATGATGGTGTGTGGGGGTCACAGTTGGCATGATGGTGTGTGGGGGTCACAGTTGGCATGATGGTGTGTGGGGGTCACAGTTGGCCTGATGGTGTGTGGGGGTCACAGTTGGCATGATGGTGTGTGGGGGTCACAGTTGGCCTGATGGTGTGTGGGGGTCACAGTTGGCATGATGGTGTGTGGGGGTCACAGTTGGCCTGATGGTGTGTGGGGGTCACAGTTGGCCTGATGGTGTGTGGGGGTCACAGTTGGCATGATGGTGTGTGGGGGTCACAGTTGGCATGATGGTGTGTGGGGGTCACAGTTGGCATGATGGTGTGTGGGAGTCACAGTTGGCATGATGGTGTGTGTGGGTGTCAGTTGGCATGATGGTGTGTGTGGGGGTCAGTTGGCATGATGGTGTGTGTGGGGGTCACAGTTGGCCTGATGGTGTGTGGGGGTCACAGTTGGCATGATGGTGTGTGGGTGTCAGTTGGCCTGATGGTGTGTGGGGGTCACAGTTGGCATGATGGTGTGTGTGGGTGTCAGTTGGCATGATGGTGTGTGGGGGTCACAGTTGGCATGATGGTGTGTGGGGGTCACAGTTGGCATGATGGTGTGTGGGGGTCACAGTTGGCATGATGGTGTGTGTGGGTGTCAGTTGGCATGATGGTGTGTGGGTGTCAGTTGGCATGATGGTGTGTGTGGGGGTCACAGTTGGCATGATGGTGTGTGGGAGTCACAGTTGGCATGATGGTGTGTGTGGGTGTCAGTTGGCATGATGGTGTGTGTGGGGGTCACAGTTGGCCTGATGGTGTGTGGGGGTCACAGTTGGCATGATGGTGTGTGGGTGTCAGTTGGCCTGATGGTGTGTGGGGGTCACAGTTGGCATGATGGTGTGTGGGGGTCACAGTTGGCATGATGGTGTGTGGGTGTCAGTTGGCCTGATGGTGTGTGGGGGTCACAGTTGGCATGATGGTGTGTGGGGGTCACAGTTGGCATGATGGTGTGTGTGGGGGTCACAGTTGGCCTGATGGTGTGTGGGGGTCACAGTTGGCATGATGGTGTGTGGGGGTCACAGTTGGCATGATGGTGTGTGTGGGTGTCAGTTGGCATGATGGTGTGTGGGTGTCAGTTGGCATGATGGTGTGTGTGGGGGTCACAGTTGGCATGATGGTGTGTGTGGGGGTCACAGTTGGCCTGATGGTGTGTGTGGGGGTCACAGTTGGCCTGATGGTGTGTGGGAGTCACAGTTGGCCTGATGGTGTGTGTGGGGGTCACAGTTGGCATGATGGTGTGTGTGGGGGGTCACAGTTGGCATGATGGTGTGTGTGGGGGGGGGGTCAGTTGGCCTGATGGTGTGTGGGGGGTCACAGTTGGCCTGATGGTGTGTGTGGGTCACAGTTGGCATGATGGTGTGTGGGGGTCACAGTTGGCCTGATGGTGTGTGTGGGGGTCACAGTTGGCATGATGGTGTGTGTGGGGGGTCACAGTTGGCATGATGGTGTGTGGGGGTCACAGTTGGCATGATGGTGTGTGGGGGTCACAGTTGGCATGATGGTGTGTGGGAGTCACAGTTGGCCTGATGGTGTGTGGGGGTCACAGTTGGCATGATGGTGTGTGGGGGTCACAGTTGGCATGATGGTGTGTGGGGGTCACAGTTGGCCTGATGGTGTGTGTGGGGGTCAGTTAACCTGATGGTGTGTGGGGGGAGTCACAGTTGGGTTGATGGTGTGTGGGGGGAGTCACAGTTGGGTTGATGGTGTGTGTGGGGGTCACAGTTGGCCTGATGGTGTGTGTGGGGGGGTCAGTTGGCCTGATGGTGTGTGGGGGTCACAGTTGGCATGATGGTGTGTGGGAGTCACAGTTGGCCTGATGGTGTGTGGGGGTCACAGTTGGCATGATGGTGTGTGGGGGTCACAGTTGGCATGATGGTGTGTGGGGGTCACAGTTGGCCTGATGGTGTGTGTGGGGGTCAGTTAACCTGATGGTGTGTGGGGGGAGTCACAGTTGGGTTGATGGTGTGTGGGGGGAGTCACAGTTGGGTTGATGGTGTGTGTGGGGGTCACAGTTGGCCTGATGGTGTGTGTGGGGGGGTCAGTTGGCCTGATGGTGTGTGTGGGGGTCACAGTTGGCCTGATGGTGTGTGTGGGGGTCACAGTTGGCCTGATGGTGTGTGTGGGGGTCACAGTTGGCCTGATGGTGTGTGGGAGTCACAGTTGGCATGATGGTGTGTGTGGGTGTCAGTTGGCATGATGGTGTGTGTGGGGGTCACAGTTGGCCTGATGGTGTGTGGGGGTCACAGTTGGCATGATGGTGTGTGGGGGTCACAGTTGGCATGATGCTGTGTGTGGGGGTCACAGTTGGCCTGATGCTGTGTGTGGGTGTCACAGTTGGCATGATGGTGTGTGGGGGTCACAGTTGGCATGATGGTGTGTGGGGGTCACAGTTGGCATGATGGTGTGTGGGGGTCACAGTTGGCATGATGGTGTGTGGGGGTCACAGTTGGCATGATGGTGTGTGGGGGTCACAGTTGGCATGATGGTGTGTGGGGGTCACAGTTGGCATGATGCTGTGTGGGGGTCACAGTTGGCATGATGGTGTGTGGGGGTCACAGTTGGCATGATGGTGTGTGGGGGTCACAGTTGGCATGATGGTGTGTGGGGGTCACAGTTGGCCTGATGGTGTGTGTGGGGGTCACAGTTGGCATGATGGTGTGTGGGGGTCACAGTTGGCATGATGGTGTGTGGGGGTCACAGTTGGCATGATGGTGTGTGGGAGTCACAGTTGGCCTGATGGTGTGTGGGGGTCACAGTTGGCATGATGGTGTGTGGGGGTCACAGTTGGCATGATGGTGTGTGGGGGTCACAGTTGGCATGATGGTGTGTGGGGGTCACAGTTGGCCTGATGGTGTGTGTGGGGGTCAGTTAACCTGATGGTGTGTGGGGGGAGTCACAGTTGGGTTGATGGTGTGTGGGGGGAGTCACAGTTGGGTTGATGGTGTGTGTGGGGGTCACAGTTGGCCTGATGGTGTGTGTGGGGGGGTCAGTTGGCCTGATGGTGTGTGTGGGGGTCACAGTTGGCCTGATGGTGTGTGTGGGGGTCACAGTTGGCCTGATGGTGTGTGTGGGGGTCACAGTTGGCCTGATGGTGTGTGGGAGTCACAGTTGGCATGATGGTGTGTGTGGGTGTCAGTTGGCATGATGGTGTGTGTGGGGGTCACAGTTGGCCTGATGGTGTGTGGGGGTCACAGTTGGCATGATGGTGTGTGGGGGTCACAGTTGGCATGATGCTGTGTGTGGGGGTCACAGTTGGCCTGATGCTGTGTGTGGGTGTCACAGTTGGCATGATGGTGTGTGGGGGTCACAGTTGGCATGATGGTGTGTGGGGGTCACAGTTGGCATGATGGTGTGTGGGGGTCACAGTTGGCATGATGGTGTGTGGGGGTCACAGTTGGCATGATGGTGTGTGGGGGTCACAGTTGGCATGATGGTGTGTGGGGGTCACAGTTGGCATGATGGTGTGTGGGGGTCACAGTTGGCATGATGGTGTGTGGGGGTCACAGTTGGCATGATGGTGTGTGGGGGTCACAGTTGGCATGATGGTGTGTGGGGGTCACAGTTGGCATGATGGTGTGTGGGGGTCACAGTTGGCATGATGGTGTGTGGGGGTCACAGTTGGCATGATGCTGTGTGGGGGTCACAGTTGGCATGATGGTGTGTGGGGGTCACAGTTGGCATGATGGTGTGTGGGGGTCACAGTTGGCATGATGGTGTGTGGGGGTCACAGTTGGCATGATGGTGTGTGGGGGTCACAGTTGGCATGATGGTGTGTGGGGGTCACAGTTGGCATGATGGTGTGTGGGGGTCACAGTTGGCATGATGGTGTGTGGGGGTCACAGTTGGCCTGATGGTGTGTGTGGGGGTCACAGTTGGCATGATGGTGTGTGGGGGTCACAGTTGGCATGATGGTGTGTGGGGGTCACAGTTGGCATGATGGTGTGTGGGAGTCACAGTTGGCCTGATGGTGTGTGGGGGTCACAGTTGGCATGATGGTGTGTGGGGGTCACAGTTGGCATGATGGTGTGTGGGGGTCACAGTTGGCCTGATGGTGTGTGTGGGGGTCAGTTAACCTGATGGTGTGTGGGGGGAGTCACAGTTGGGTTGATGGTGTATGGGGGGAGTCACAGTTGGGTTGATGGTGTGTGTGGGGGTCACAGTTGGCATGATGCTGTGTGGGGGGGGGGTCAGTTGGCCTGATGGTGTGTGGGTGTCAGTTGGCATGATGGTGTGTGTGGGGGTCACAGTTGGCCTGATGGTGTGTGGGGGTCACAGTTGGCCTGATGGTGTGTGGGGGTCACAGTTGGCCTGATGGTGTGTGTGGGGGGGGGGTCAGTTGGCCTGATGGTGTGTGGGGGGTCACAGTTGGCCTGATGGTGTGTGTGGGTCACAGTTGGCATGATGGTGTGTGGGGGTCACAGTTGGCCTGATGGTGTGTGTGGGGGTCACAGTTGGCATGATGGTGTGTGTGGGGGGTCACAGTTGGCATGATGGTGTGTGGGGGTCACAGTTGGCCTGATGGTGTGTGTGGGGGTCACAGTTGGCCTGATGGTGTGTGTGGGGGGTCACAGTTGGCCTGATGGTGTGTGGGGGTCACAGTTGGCCTGATGGTGTGTGTGGGGGTCACAGTTGGCCTGATAGTGTGTGGGTAGGGTTGCCAGGTGTCCAGTTTTGAACTGGACAGTCCAGTATTTGAGCAGACTGTCCAGGATAAAATAAATATAAATACTGGACAAGTATATGAATAATACTCTGTTACCCCCCCCCCCCCCCTTCTTCTGCTTTGCGGCATACCTGAGAAGGGAAGGATGGAAAGGTGTCCAGTATTTTCGGAAAAGGTATCTGGCAACCCTATGTGTGGGGGTCACATCTAGGCTAGGTACGGGGGCTTCAAATGACCATGTTTTGGTCAGTGCCACACGAGCCCGATGGTGTGTTGGGTTCACAACCTCACATCTAGGCTAGCTACGGGGGCTTGAAATGACCATGTTACAGCTTTTGGTATGTGCCGCACGAGCCAACACGAGGCGGGCCATTGATCTTCTAATCGGCTGAAGGTTTGTCCGCCTCCATCTTGCCATCCACGTCACGTGTTAGTCACAGTTGGTCCTGTCGCCTATTTAAACAGGATCTACTTTTTCAACGATTTGCTCTATCCCTTGTGGGCCGCTTGTCACGCGTTTTAGCGGCTTGGTGTGTGGCTCTAAAAATAGGTCAGCCAACAGCTGGTCGGTTGTCCTTCAAGTTTTAGTACGGCACACAGCCTTTTCGTTTGCACCGGCAGAAAATCCAAGAAAATCCCCACATGTTGAGGGGAGGGTGTAGCGCATGTAGGTCGATCTAAAGGTGACCCCATTTCTGAACAGTACATCAGCTGTTTTTATCGTGTGCATTCTTTTGTCAATGGTTCACTCTAGCAGCAGGCGATCCTTGTGGTGCGCTCCATTTCGGTCAACATAGTCTGTCACGTGATTAGCATTGTCTGTTGGTCTTTCTGACAGTTATTGCCCTTGTCAGCGCCCCCTACTCGAGCTTTTATTAGGTCATTTAAAACAAGCTTGTGATCAGCTGGCTTCACGTGGAGCCGGTATGGGTGTGTGGAGAAGTGGCCGTGTGTTGGCATCAAATCTCAAGGACAGGGTAGCCTTTTTAACACTACCCTTATCAGCCTTTAAATCATACACCGTTGGCATGTGCGGCATTACAATCATTGTCGCATGGGCTTTGGGTCAGATTTGGATGTCAGATGGGGCCAGACATGTGAGGTTATCTATGTTAAAATAGAGCTAATTATAAATGTAGAACACACAACCTTACATACATGTGTAGCACAACCTCACATACAGGTATAGCACAACCTCACATACAGGTATAGCACAACCTCACATACAGGTGTAGCACACACCCTCACAAACAGGTGTAGCACACACACACACACCCTTACATACAGGTGTAGCACACACACACAAACTCACATACAGGTGTAGCACACACACACAACCTCACATACAGGTGTAGCACACACACACAACCTCACATACAGGTGTAGCACACACACACACACCCTCACATACAGGTGTAGCACACACACAACCTCACATACAGGTGTAGCACACACACAGGTGTAGCACACACACACAACCTCACATACAGGTGTAGCACACACACACAACCTCACATACAGGTGTAGCACAACCTCACATACAGGTGTAGCACACACACACAACCTCACATACAGGTGTAGCACACACACACAACCTCACATACAGGTGTAGCACACACAGAACCTCACATGCAGGTGTAGCACACACACACAACCTCACATACAGGTGTAGCACACACACTCACATACAGGTGTAGCACACACACTCACATACAGGTGTAGCACACACACTCACATACAGGTGTAGCACACACACTCACATACAGGTGTAGCACACACACACAACCTCACATACAGGTGTAGCACACACACTCACATACAGGTGTAGCACACACACTCACATACAGGTGTAGCACACACACTCACATACAGGTGTAGCACACACACTCACATACAGGTGTAGAACACACACTCACATACAGGTGTAGCACACACACACAACCTCACATACAGGTGTAGCACACACACAACCTCACATACAGGTGTAGCACACACACAACCTCACATACAGGTGTAGCACACACACACAACCTCACATACAGGTGTAGCACACACACACACACCCTCACATACAGGTGTAGCACACACACAACCTCACATACAGGTGTAGCACACACACACAACCTCACATACAGGTGTAGCACACACACAACCTCACATACAGGTGTAGCACACATACAGGTGTAGCACACACACACACACTCACATACAGGTGTAGCACACACACACAACCTCACATACAGGTGTAGCACACACACTCACATACTGGTGTAGCACACTCACATACTGGTGTAGCACACATACATACAGGTGTAGCACACACACAACCTCACATACAGGTGTAGCACACACACTCACATACAGGTGTAGCACACACACAACCTCACATACAGGTGTAGCACAACCGCACATACAGGTGTGGCACACACACAACCTCACATACAGGTGTAACACACACACCCTCACATACAAGTGTTTGAGTCAGCACTAATGAAGTGATTGCTGTTTCAGGTCCAGGTATTGATGTGCCAGCCCCTGACATGGGGACCGGTGAGAGAGAGATGAGTTGGATCTCTGACACTTACTCCAACTCATTAGGTGAGTACATCATAGTAGACAGGCCAAACTCATTAGGTGAGTGCATCATAGTAGACAGGCCAAACTCATTAGGTGAGTGCATCATAGTAGACAGGCCAAACTCATTAGGTGAGTGCATCATAGTAGACAGGCCAAACTCATTAGGTGAGTGCATCATAGTAGACAGGCCAAACTCATTAGGTGAGTGCATCATAGTAGACAGGCCAAATTCATTAGGTGAGTGCATCATAGTAGACAGGCCAAACTCATTAGGTGAGTGCATCATTGTAGACAGGCCAAACTCATTAGGTGAGTGCATCATAGTAGACAGGCCAAACTCATTAGGTGAGTGCATCATAGTAGACAGGCCAAACTCATTAGGTGAGTGCATCATAGTAGACAGGCCAAACTCATTAGGTGAGTGCATCATAGTAGACAGGCCAAACTCATTAGGTGAGTGCATCATAGTAGACAGGCGAGACACATTAGGTGAGTGCATCATAGTAGATAGGCCAGAACTGAATATGACAAGCCATAGGAATGTACAGAACATTCATGGTCATAGATTAGTGATAGATAGCAGTTAATTAGGTCATTTAATTAGGTCAAATGGCCATGCAAGTTGACCTTTAACCTATTGTTAGTCCCCTCACCAATAGCTAGAAAGTTGGAAGGGTTGTGTCCAACCTTGTACTAGGTCCAACCTTGCTACTTTACATTATTGTACTAGGTCCAACCTTGCTACTTTACATTATTGTACTAGGTCCAACCTTGCTACTTTACATTATTGTACTAGGTCCAACCTTGCTACTTTACATTATTGTACTAGGTCCAACCTTGCTACTTTACATTATTGTACTAGGTCCAACCTTGCTACTTTACATTATTGTACTAGGTCCAACCTTGCTACTTTACATTATTGTACTAGGTCCAACCTTGCTACTTTACATTATTGTACTAGGTCCAACCTTGCTACTTTACATTATTGTACTAGGTCCAACCTTGCTACTTTACATTATTGTACTAGGTCCAACCTTGCTACTTTACATTATTGTACTAGGTCCAACCTTGCTACTTTACATTATTGTACTAGGTCCAACCTTGCTACTAAATTGGTTTCTAAAATGTGTAAGAGGTGTCATGAGGGACCAATGCTTCTAAAAAAGTAATTTAAAATAATTTGATTTTGTTATTTCTGTTGACCAAACAGTTGGAGTAGCCCTTCATTCATTTTGTTTTCTTACTTGTCAGTAAATAGTCTCTGCATTAAAAATTAGACATTCTTACTTGTCAGTAAATAGTCTCTGCATTAAAAATTAGACATTCTTACTTGTCAGTAAATAGTCTCTGCATTAAAAATTAGACATTCTTACTTGTCAGTAAATAGTCTCTGCATTAAAAATTAGACATTCTTACTTGTCAGTAAATAGTCTCTGCATTAAAAATTAGACATTCTTACTTGTCAGTAAATAGTCTCTGCATTAAAAATTAGACATTCTTACTTGTCAGTAAATAGTCTCTGCATTAAAAATTAGACATTCTTACTTGTCAGTAAATAGTCTCTGCATTAAAAATTAGACATTCTTACTTGTCAGTAAATGTCTCTGCATTAAAAATTAGACATTCTTACTTGTCAGTAAATAGTCTCTGCATTAAAAATTAGACATTCTTACTTGTCAGTAAATAGTCTCTGGATTAAAAATTAGACATTCTTACTTGTCAGTAAATGTCTCTGGATTAAAAATTAGACATTCTTACTTGTCAGTAAATAGTCTCTGCATTAAAAATTAGACATTCTTACTTGTCAGTAAATAGTCTCTGGATTAAAAATTAGACATTCTTACTTGTCAGTAAATGTCTCTGGATTAAAAATTAGACATTCTTACTTGTCAGTAAATGTCTCTGCATTAAAAATTAGACATTCTTACTTGTCAGTAAATAGTCTCTGCATTAAAAATTAGACATTCTTACTTGTCAGTAAATAGTCTCTGGATTAAAAATTAGACATTCTTACTTGTCAGTAAATGTCTCTGGATTAAAAATTAGACATTCTTACTTGTCAGTAAATGTCTCTGGATTAAAAATTAGACATTCTTACTTGTCAGTAAATGTCTCTGCATTAAAAATTAGACATTCTTACTTGTCAGTAAATGTCTCTGGATTAAAAATTAGACATTCTTACTTGTCAGTAAATAGTCTCTGCATTAAAAATTAGACATTCTTACTTGTCAGTAAATAGTCTCTGGATTAAAAATTAGACATTCTTACTTGTCAGTAAATGTCTCTGCATTAAAAATTAGACATTCTTACTTGTCAGTAAATGTCTCTGCATTAAAAATTAGACATTCTTACTTGTCAGTAAATAGTCTCTGCATTAAAAATTAGACATTCTTACTTGTCAGTAAATAGTCTCTGGATTAAAAATTAGACATTCTTACTTGTCAGTAAATGTCTCTGGATTAAAAATTAGACATTCTTACTTGTCAGTAAATGTCTCTGGATTAAAAATTAGACATTCTTACTTGTCAGTAAATAGTCTCTGCATTAAAAATTAGACATTCTTACTTGTCAGTAAATGTCTCTGCATTAAAAATTAGACATTCTTACTTGTCAGTAAATGTCTCTGGATTAAAAATTAGACATTCTTACTTGTCAGTAAATAGTCTCTGCATTAAAAATTAGACATTCTTACTTGTCAGTAAATAGTCTCTGGATTAAAAATTAGACATTCTTACTTGTCAGTAAATGTCTCTGGATTAAAAATTAGACATTCTTACTTGTCAGTAAATGTCTCTGCATTAAAAATTAGACATTCTTACTTGTCAGTAAATAGTCTCTGCATTAAAAATTAGACATTCTTACTTGTCAGTAAATAGTCTCTGGATTAAAAATTAGACATTCTTACTTGTCAGTAAATGTCTCTGGATTAAAAATTAGACATTCTTACTTGTCAGTAAATGTCTCTGGATTAAAAATTAGACATTCTTATGTTCTGGAAAATTTGAACAAAATGGCTGCATTAGAAGTGGGTCTAAATTGAGTTACACAACTTGCCTTAAAAATATAGTCATTGTGAACTAGATAAAACATTTTTAACAGGTCAGCTACGACTAAATATTGGCCTTAAAAACGTAACTCTAGTTTAGCTTGTATTTAAAAGAATTTCCATTTCGGTGGCTTTTTATTTGAAAGTTTTGTTTGAAATTATTTTAATTTGCAGGTTTTGTTTAAAAATGTTTTTATTTGAAGGTTTAGCTTAAATTGTCCTAAAAAAACTAGCTTGAACCAGTTTTATAGTGTGTGTGTGTGTTTTCCCTTAGGTCATGGTGACATTAATGCTAGAGCTTGTGTCACTGGCAAACCAATTCCACAGGGAGGAATCCATGGGCGTATATCTGCAACAGGAAGGGTGAGTAGCTCTCATCTCATGGATTATTTACATCTCATGTCATGGATTATTTACATCTCATCTCATTGTTTGTGTCTAGGGACTGTACCATGCCATTGTTTGTGTCTAGGGACTGTACCATGCCATTGTTTGTGTCTAGGGACTGTACCATGCCATTGTCTAGGGACTGTACCATGCCATTGTCTAGGGACTGTACCTTGCCATTGTTTGTGTCTAGGGACTGTACCATGCCATTGTTTGTGTCTAGGGAATGTACCATGCCATTGTTTGTGTCTAGGGACTGTACCATGCCATTGTTTGTGTCTAGGGACTGTACCATGCCATTGTTTGTGTCTAGGGACTGTACCGTGCCATTGTTTGTGTCTAGGGACTGTACCATGCCATTGTCTAGGGACTGTACCATGCCATTGTCTAGGGACTGTACCTTGCCATTGTTTGTGTCTAGGGACTGTACCATGCCATTGTTTGTGTCTAGGGAATGTACCATGCCATTGTTTGTGTCTAGGGACTGTACCATGCCATTGTTTGTGTCTAGGGACTGTACCATGCCATTGTTTGTGTCTAGGGACTGTACCATGCCATTGTCTAGGGACTGTACCATGCCATTGTCTAGGGACTGTACCATGCCATTGTTTGTGTCTAGGGACTGTACCATGCCATTGTCTAGGGACTGTACCATGCCATTGTCTAGGGACTGTACCATGCCATTGTTTGTGTCTAGGGACTGTACCATGGACTGAGCAACTTTATAATGGAGGCCAGCTATACAAGCATGGTGGGCTTGACCCCAGGCTTTGGAGATAAGACCTTCATCTTGCAGGTAAGATTCAATTACACAGGAACAGATTACATTACAAACCAATTACACAGGAACAGATTACATTACAAACCAATTACACAGGAACAGATTACATTACAAACCAATTACACAGGAACAGATTACATTACAAACCAATTACACAGGAACAGATTACATTAGTGATATATGGGATTGAGGGTGTAAATATCCATTGAACACATCAACTAGGGCTTTGGTAATGTTGGTCCCGACTCAAATATTTTTCTATCAACTAGGGCTTTGGTAATGTTGGTCCCCACTCAAATATTTTTCTATCAACTAGGGTTTTGGTAATGTTGGTCCCCACTCAAATATTTTTCTATCAACTAGGGCTTTGGTAATGTTGGTCCCCACTCAAATATTTTTCTATCAACTAGGGCTTTGGTAATGTTGGTCCCCACTCAAATATTTTTCTATCAACTAGGGCTTTGGTAATGTTGGTCCCCACTCAAATATTTTTCTATCAACTAGGGCTTTGGTAATGTTGGTCCCCACTCAAATATTTTTCTATCAACTAGGGCTTTGGTAATGTTGGTCTCCACTCAATGCGCTACTTGACCAGAGCAGGTGCTAAATGTATTGGGGTCATGGAATATGATGGCAGCATCTACAATCCTGATGGCATCAGTGCTAGGGAATTGGAAGATTACAAAATTGTAAGTCATTGCTCTAGTCAGTGCTAGGGAATTGGAAGATTACAAAATTGTAAGTCATTGCTCTAGTCAGTGCTAGGGAATTGGAAGATTACAAAATTGTAAGTCATTGCTCTAGTCAGTGCTAGGGAATTGGAAGATTACAAAATTGTAAGTCATTGCTCTAGTCAGTGCTAGGGAATTGGAAGATTACAAAATTGTAAGTCATTGCTCTAGTCAGTGCTAGGGAATTGGAAGATTACAAAATTGTAAGCCAATCAATTAAGGCAAATGAAACAAAGGTTGCTATTTGTTTTTCCCAGGAAAATGGTACCATTGTAGGTTTTCCAAATGCCCAACCATATGAAGGTAACTTGCTGTATGAAAAGTGTGACATTTTGGTACCTGCTGCCAGTGAGAAACAGATCACTAAAGACAATGCTGACAAGATACAGGCTAAGGTAAGAGAGAGTTCTGCCACTTGCTCAAGTTGACACAGAGAAACAGATCACTAAAGACAATGCTGACAAGATACAGGCTAAGGTAAGAGAGAGTTCTGCCACTTGCTCAAGTTGACACAGAGAAACAGATCACTAAAGACAATGCTGACAAGATACAGGCTAAGGTAAGAGAGAGTTCTGCCACTTGCTCAAGTTGACACAGAGAAACAGATCACTAAAGACAATGCTGACAAGATACAGGCTAAGGTAAGAGAGAGTTCTGCCACTTGCTCAAGTTGACACAGAGAAACAGATCACTAAAGACAATGCTGACAAGATACAGGCTAAGGTAAGAGAGAATTCTGCCACTTGCTCAAGTTGACACAGAGAAACAGATCACTAAAGACAATGCTGACAAGATACAAGCTAAGGTAAGAGAGAGTTCTGCCACTTGCTCAAGTTGACACAGAGAAACAGATCACTAAAGACAATGCTGACAAGATACAGGCTAAGGTAAGAGAGAATTCTGCCACTTGCTCAAGTTGACACAGAGAAACAGATCACTAAAGACAATGCTGACAAGATACAGGCTAAGGTAAGAGAGAGTTCTGCCACTTGCTCAAGTTGACACAGAGAAACAGATCACTAAAGACAATGCTGACAAGATACAGGCTAAGGTAAGAGAGAGTTCTGCCACTTGCTCAAGTTGACACAGAGAAACAGATCACTAAAGACAATGCTGACAAGATACAGGCTAAGGTAAGAGAGAGTTCTGCCACTTGCTCAAGTTGACACAGAGAAACAGATCACTAAAGACAATGCTGACAAGATACAGGCTAAGGTAAGAGAGAGTTCTGCCACTTGCTCAAGTTGACACAGAGAAACAGATCACTAAAGACAATGCTGACAAGATACAGGCTAAGGTAAGAGAGAGTTCTGCCACTTGCTCAAGTTGACACAGAGAAACAGATCACTAAAGACAATGCTGACAAGATACAGGCTAAGGTAAGAGAGAATTCTGCCACTTGCTCAAGTTGACACAGAGAAACAGATCACTAAAGACAATGCTGACAAGATACAGGCTAAGGTAAGAGAGAGTTCTGCCACTTGCTCAAGTTGACACAGAGAAACAGATCACTAAAGACAATGCTGACAAGATACAGGCTAAGGTAAGAGAGAGTTCTGCCACTTGCTCAAGTTGACACAGAGAAACAGATCACTAAAGACAATGCTGACAAGATACAGGCTAAGGTAAGAGAGAATTCTGCCACTTGCTCGACGCAGATCTCGCTGGCCCATGAAAAAGTGGCACCTAAGACAATTACAATTGTGGTTTTTTTATCAATAAAAATGACTCCGCTAAATTATATTTTAAAATATTATCTTGTGCATTCATAAGTTAAAAACCATTTTAAAACCAATTTTAGACCCCTCCCCTTAAGGGGGGGGGGGGGGGGGGGATGGGCTGTTGGTTGACACAGATCTACATTTATTTTGGTGCATCCATTTCATGAGGAATTTGTAATTGAAAACATGCTTCATGATGAACTTGTTTTTTCAATGAGTAAAAATAGACCATGCTTCGCACTTTGATCAAGTTCATCAGTTGTTTAGTGGAGTTGTAAAGGAGATCTACCATCTGTTTTATGCACTACCTTTATTTATAGATCATAGCTGAAGGAGCTAATGGCCCTACCACAATGGCTGCTGATAACATTCTTGTCAAGAAAAATGTACTCATTATTCCAGTAAGTTTTTTTCTAATCATATTTCATTATATTATAACGCCATGTGAAGATAATGTTAGGAAAGATCTGACATAAATCCTGATCCTATTTAATATTTTGAACTGATTTCAAATGAGTTTTTTCTCTCCAGGATCTGTACATCAATGCGGGAGGTGTGACAGTCTCCTACTTTGAGTGGCTCAAAAATCTCAACCATGTCAGTTATGGTCGCCTAACCTTTAAATATGAAAGAGACTCCAATTACCATTTGCTAGGTAACATTCCGGAAAGATATCCTCAAATTTTTAGATACTCTTTTGAAATATAAAAAGACTAACTTTCCATTTTGATAACTTGCTGCTTAGATGAGAACTGAAGTTAAAAATCTCAACCTAGTACAATTCAATTTTGTACAGCTTTTGCTTACTTTACACTTGATGGAGATGTCTACTTTACTTTTAAAACCATCATTAGAATAGTAGATGTCTACTTTACTTCTAAAACCATCATTAGAATAGTAGATGTCTACTTTACCTCTAAAATCATCATTAGAATAGTAGATGTCTACTTTACTTCTAAAACCATCATTAGAATAGTAGAATAAAAAAACAATCTTTGGTTAAATATTTTACACACTAACATCTGCAGCCTTAAAAAACAATTTGCTAGTACTTGTAGAGCAAAAATATCCCTTAAAGAATAAAAAATACGGCTGAATGCACCATTTGGTGTAAATAAAGTTTTGACTGCTGGACATCTAGTGACAGAGGAGTGTCATTCTAGGGTCTTACCAGTGATATCTGTTTTTTATCTTTAGAAAGTGTCCAAAAATCTTTAGAGCGCAAGTTTGGCAAAAATGGAGGCAAGATTCCAGTAGTTCCCAGTGAAGAGTTTGAGAAAAGAATTGCTGTAAGTCTTCAGTCTAATTATGTTAATTATAATGATTAGGGCTTCAACCATCTTGAAAGTAATGATTGGGGCTTTTTTCCATTATGAATGTAATGATTGGGGCTTCGGCCATCATGAATGTAATGATTGGGTTTTTTGGCCATCATGAATGTAATGATTGGCTTTTTTGGCCATCATGAATGTAATAATTGGGGTTTGGGCCATTATGAATGTAATAATTGGGGTTTGGGCCAGCATGAATGTAATGATTGGTGCTTCATCCATTATGAATGTAATAATTGGGGTTTTGGCCATCATGAATGTAATGATTGGGGCTTCGGCCATTATGAATGTAATAATTGGGGTTTGTGCCATCATGAATGTAATGATTGGGGCTTCGGCCATTATGAATGTAATAATTGGGGTTTGTGCCATCATGAATGTAATGATTAGCTTCTAATTTCTAATGTTTCTCACTGTGCAGGGTTCTAATTTCTAATGTTTCTCACTGTGCAGGGTGCATCAGAAAAAGATATCGTCCACTCTGGTCTTGAACAAACCATGGAAAAATCAGCTAGAGTAAGTCTCATGTAGCCTCCTTATACAGGGTTCCTAAATAAATCAGCTAGAGTAAGTCTCATGTAGCCTCCTTATACAGGGCTCCTAAATAAATCAGCTAGAGTAAGTCTCATGTAGCCTCCTTATACAGGGTTCCTAAATAAATCAGCTAGAGTCTCATGTAGCCTCCTTATACAGGGTTCCTAAATAAATCAGCTAGAGTAAGTCTCATGTAGCCTCCTTATACAGGCTTCCTAAATAAATCAGCTAGAGTAAGTCTCATGTAGCCTCCTTATACAGGGTTCCTAAATAAATCAGCTAGAGTAAGTCTCATGTAGCCTCCTTATACAGGGTTCCTAAATAAATCAGCTAGAGTAAGTCTCATGTAGCCTCCTTATACAGGGTTCCTAAATAAATCAGCTAGAGTAAGTCTCATGTAGCCTCCTTATACAGGGTTCCTAAATAAATCAGCTAGAGTAAGTCTCTTGTAGCCTTCTTATACAGGGTTCCTAAATAAATCAGCTAGAGTAAGTCTCTTGTAGCCTCCTTATACAGGGCTCCTAAATAAATCAGCTAGAGTTAGTCTCTTATAGCCTCCTTATACAGGCTTCCTAAATAAATCAGCTAGAGTAAGTCTCTTGTAGCCTCCTTATACAGGGTTCCTAAATAAATCAGCTAGAGTAAGTCTCATGTAGCCTCCTTATACAGGGTTCCTAAATAAATCAGCTAGAGTTAGTCTCTTATAGCCTCCTTATACAGGGCTCCTAAATAAATCAGCTAGAGTAAGTCTCATGTAGCCTTCTTATACAGGGTTCCTAAATAAATCAGCTAGAGTAAGTCTCATGTAGCCTCCTTATACAGGGTTCCTAAATAAATCAGCTAGAGTAAGTCTCATGTAGCCTCATACAGGGTTCCTAAATAAATCAGCTAGAGTAAGTCTCATGTAGCCTCCTTATACAGGGTTCCTAAATAAATCAGCTAGAGTAAGTCTCATGTAGCCTCCTTATACAGGGTTCCTAAATAAATCAGCTAGAGTAAGTCTCATGTAGCCTCCTTATACAGGGTTCCTAAATAAATCAGCTAGAGTAAGTCTCTTGTAGCCTCCTTATACAGGGTTCCTAAATAAATCAGCTAGAGTTAGTCTCTTATAGCCTCCTTATACAGGGCTCCTAAATAAATCAGCTAGAGTAAGTCTCATGTAGCCTTCTTATACAGGGTTCCTAAATAAATCAGCTAGAGTAAGTCTCATGTAGCCTCCTTATACAGGGTTCCTAAATAAATCAGCTAGAGTAAGTCTCATGTAGCCTCATACAGGGTTCCTAAATAAATCAGCTAGAGTAAGTCTCATGTAGCCTCCTTATACAGGGTTCCTAAATAAATCAGCTAGAGTAAGTCTCATGTAGCCTCCTTATACAGGGTTCCTAAATAAATCAGCTAGAGTAAGTCTCATGTAGCCTCCTTATACAGGGTTCCTAAATAAATCAGCTAGAGTAAGTCTCATGTAGCCTCCTTATACAGGGTTCCTAAATAAATCAGCTAGAGTAAGTCTCTTGTAGCCTCCTTATACAGGGTTCCTAAATAAATCAGCTAGAGTAAGTCTCATGTAGCCTCCTTATACAGGGTTTCTAAATAAATCAGCTAGAGTAAGTCTCATGTAGCCTCCTTATACAGGGTTCCTAAATAAATCAGCTAGAGTAAGTCTCATGTAGCCTCCTTATACAGGGTTCCTAAATAAATCAGCTAGAGTAAGTCTCTTGTAGCCTCCTTATACAGGGTTCCTAAATAAATCAGCTAGAGTAAGTCTCATGTAGCCTCCTTATACAGGGTTCCTAAATAAATCAGCTAGTCTCATGTAGCCTTCTTATACAGGGTTCCTAAATAAATCAGCTAGTCTCATATAGCCTCCTTATACAGGGTTCCTAAATAAATCAGCTAGAGTAAGTCTCATGTAGCCTTCTTATACAGGGTTCCTAAATAAATCAGCTAGAGTTAGTCTCTTATAGCCTCCTTATACAGGGCTCCTAAATAAATCAGCTAGAGTAAGTCTCTTGTAGCCTCATACAGGGTTCCTAAATAAATCAGCTAGAGTAAGTCTCATGTAGCCTCCTTATACAGGGTTCCTAAATAAATCAGCTAGAGTTAGTCTCTTATAGCCTCCTTATACAGGGCTCCTAAATAAATCAGCTAGAGTAAGTCTCATGTAGCCACCTTATACAGGGTTCCTAAATAAATCAGCTAGAGTAAGTCTCATGTAGCCTCCTTATACAGGGTTCCTAAATAAATCAGCTAGAGTAAGTCTCTTGTAGCCTCCTTATACAGGGTTCCTAAATAAATCAGCTAGAGTAAGTCTCATGTAGCCTCCTTATACAGGGTTCCTAAATAAATCAGCTAGAGTAAGTCTCATGTAGCCTCCTTATACAGGGTTCCTAAATAAATCAGTTAGAGTAAGTCTCTTGTAGCCTCCTTATACAGGGTTCCTAAATAAATCAGCTAGAGTAAGTCTCATGTAGCCTCCTTATACAGGGTTCCTAAATAAATCAGCTAGTCTCATGTAGCCTTCTTATACAGGGTTCCTAAATAAATCAGCTAGTCTCATATAGCCTCCTTATACAGGGTTCCTAAATAAATCAGCTAGAGTAAGTCTCATGTAGCCTCCTTATACAGGGTTCCTAAATAAATCAGCTAGAGTAAGTCTCATGTAGCCTCCTTATACAGGGTTCCTAAATAAATCAGCTAGAGTTAGTCTCTTATAGCCTCCTTATACAGGGCTCCTAAATAAATCAGCTAGAGTAAGTCTCTTGTAGCCTCATACAGGGTTCCTAAATAAATCAGCTAGAGTAAGTCTCATGTAGCCTCCTTATACAGGGTTCCTAAATAAATCAGCTAGAGTAAGTCTCATGTAGCCTCCTTATACAGGGTTCCTAAATAAATCAGCTAGAGTAAGTCTCATGTAGCCTCCTTATACAGGGTTCCTAAATAAATCAGCTAGAGTAAGTCTCATGTAGCCTCCTTATACAGGGTTCCTAAATAAATCAGCTAGAGTAAGTCTCATGTAGCCTCCTTATACAGGGTTCCTAAATAAATCAGCTAGAGTAAGTCTCATGTAGCCTTCTTATACAGGGCTCCTAAATAAATCAGCTAGAGTAAGTCTTATGTAGCCTCCTTATACAGGGTTCCTAAATAAATCAGCTAGAGTAAGTCTCATGTAGCCTTCTTATACAGGGCTCCTAAATAAATCAGCTAGAGTAAGTCTTATGTAGCCTCCTTATACAGGGTTCCTAAATAAATCAGCTAGAGTAAGTCTCATGTAGCCTCCTTATACAGGGTTCCTAAATAAATCAGCTAGAGTAAGTCTCATGTAGCCTCCTTATACAGGGTTCCTAAATAAATCAGCTAGAGTAAGTCTCTTGTAGCCTCCTTATACAGGGCTCCTAAATAAATCAGCTAGAGTAAGTCTCTTGTAGCCTCCTTATACAGGGTTCCTAAATAAATCAGCTAGAGTAAGTCTCATGTAGCCTCATACAGGGTTCCTAAATAAATCAGCTAGAGTAAGTCTCTTGTAGCCTTCTTATACAGGGTTCCTAAATAAATCAGCTAGAGTAAGTCTCATGTAGCCTCCTTATACAGGGCTCCTAAATAAATCAGCTAGAGTAAGTCTCTTGTAGCCTCCTTATACAGGGCTCCTAAATAAATCAGCTAGAGTAAGTCTCTTGTAGCCTCCTTATACAGGGTTCCTAAATAAATCAGCTAGAGTAAGTCTCATGTAGCCTCATACAGGGTTCCTAAATAAATCAGCTAGAGTAAGTCTCTTGTAGCCTTCTTATACAGGGTTCCTAAATAAATCAGCTAGAGTAAGTCTCATGTAGCCTCCTTATACAGGGCTCCTAAATAAATCAGCTAGAGTAAGTCTCTTGTAGCCTCCTTATACAGGGTTCCTAAATAAATCAGCTAGTCTCATGTAGCCTCCTTATACAGGGTTCCTAAATAAATCAGCTAGAGTAAGTCTCATGTAGCCTCCTTATACAGGGCTCCTAAATAAATCAGCTAGAGTAAGTCTCTTGTAGCCTCCTTATACAGGGTTCCTAAATAAATCAGCTAGAGTAAGTCTCATGTAGCCTCCTTATACAGGCTTCCTAAATAAATCAGCTAGAGTAAGTCTCATGTAGCCTCCTTATACAGGGTTCCTAAATAAATCAGCTAGAGTAAGTCTCATGTAGCCTCATACAGGGTTCCTAAATAAATCAGCTAGAGTAAGTCTCTTGTAGCCTCCTTATACAGGGTTCCTAAATAAATCAGCTAGAGTAAGTCTCATGTAGCCTCCTTATACAGGGTTCCTAAATAAATCAGCTAGAGTAAGTCTCATGTAGCCTCCTTATACAGGGTTCCTAAATAAATCAGCTAGAGTCTCATGTAGCCTCCTTATACAGGGTTCCTAAATAAATCAGCTAGAGTAAGTCTCATGTAGCCTCCTTATACAGGGCTCCTAAATAAATCAGCTAGAGTAAGTCTCATGTAGCCTCCTTATACAGGGTTCCTAAATAAATCAGCTAGAGTAAGTCTCATGTAGCCTCCTTATACAGGGTTCCTAAATAAATCAGCTAGAGTAAGTCTCATGTAGCCTCCTTATACAGGGTTCCTAAATAAATCAGCTAGAGTAAGTCTCATGTAGCCTCCTTATACAGGGTTCCTAAATAAATCAGCTAGAGTAAGTCTCATGTAGCCTCCTTATACAGGCTTCCTAAATAAATCAGCTAGAGTAAGTCTCATGTAGCCTCATACAGGGTTCCTAAATAAATCAGCTAGAGTAAGTCTCATGTAGCCTCCTTATACAGGGTTCCTACGCAGTCTGGAATTAAGTATTAGAAATACAAATTTTCCATGGATTCGATATTTTCGGACCAACAGTAGTGTCCTTCAAGATAGTAACTCATTTGTATTCAAATGTAGATCGCTGGTAGCAGTAGTATTAACAGAACTTAATTTTGGATAGCTAACATAGTATTATAATTGCTAGCATTATGATGCGATGACATTCAACTTAACACATGAGGAAAAAAATTGTCCCAGCCAACATGGTACCCACATTTCTAACGAGCATGGCGTTTCTTGACTAAAAATTGTAACGGAATTTCCATGGGTTACCAGGTGGTAATTGTTCATTTAAAGAAATATGAGATTTTCAAAAAAATTGTTTCATCATTCAGCCTTTGCTGCAATAATTTCCTTTTGATTTAACTATCTTAATGTATTGTTTCCAGAAAATTATGAAAACGGCAATGGAATATAACCTTGGGCTTGACATTCGTACAGCTGCTTACATGTGCAGCATAGAAAAGATCTTTGACGTATACCTAGAAGCTGGACTTACTTTCACGTAAAGCCATCTAAGTGTGGACACCACAAAATGGTGGCTGCCAACTCAGTGGACTTTGTTAACATGGCTGCCTGTTAGATGATCTGACCAATGGGAGGATTGCTTTCAATTTTTCTCAAATATATTATCCAACAATTTTACTCAATGAGTCTCCACAATTTCTCTCCCCCCCCCCCCCCCCCTTCCCGGTACATGTCCATGAGTTCAAAGTTTAAGATAGCTCCACTTATGTATAGCCATTACTTGAGTGTATTGTTTATCATGTAATTTATCTTTGCGTCACTTTAGTGTATGATTTGTTTATCTCAAGTTTCTTGTATTGGGTCTTACAATAAGGGCTGTTTACATCCATCACTTGGTACAAAAGTTTTGCTGTCAGACAGTAGTAGCATACATATTTTTACATTATGCCAATAAACCAAAGAAATAGCTGCTCTTTGTTTGTTTGTTTGATATAGACAAGTAATATTTGACAAACCAAAACAGATCCTATAAGCTATCAAATTTTATTCAGTCAACCCTCCAATAAAATCCTCCAGATATTTGGGGTCCATCAAGCAGCTTCCACAGACATCTCCTCCTCATCTGAATCAACTTCCTCATTTTTGTAACCAGGAGCATAGTCTTCTACTCTAAGGGCAATCTCTTCAGGGGAGGGTGGGGCCACTAGTGACATGGATGTTATGAAAGGACCTGAAAATGAATCACAGACTTGAATGTTAACAGGAAAAGTCTCAATGAACTCAAAGCTCTCCTTTCAGACTGAACAATCCATCAAAGGATTGTGTAAATCAGCACTCTACCCAGCAACACTGACATGAGTAGGTACCCAACTGAATCAAAGGATTGTGTAAATCAGCACTTACCTAATGCAATACTTTTATGTTTGCTGACCTCTTCAATGTAAACTTGAAAGTTTTCAACCAAGTGCTCAACAGGCTGCTCAATCTGGATGAACAAACCATTTGTTTGTTTGTTATGTTCTTTCATGTTGTTTGTTTGTTATGTTCTTTCATGTTGTTTGTTTGTTTGTTATGTTCTTTCATGTTGTTTGTTTGTTTGTTATGTTCTTTGTTATGTTCTTTCATGTTGTTTGTTTGTTTGTTATGTTCTTTCATGTTGTTTGTTTATTTGTTATGTTCTTTTATGTTTCTTTGTTTGTTATGTACTTTTACACAGAGATGTAACCGACCTCCAAAGAAAAAAGAGGAAACACTTTTTAGGGGGGAGGAGGGGGGCAGTCGTGGCAAAAATTCAAAGATTTTCCCTCAAGTTGAAAGCTGTAGCACATTTAAAAAGCCACAGTACGTTTACACGTCGTAGACTATTGCCTGCCCCGAATGACATTGGCTAGTTATTGAGTAAACAGCATCCCTCTGTAAACCAGCCAGTCACAAAACAGGAGAAGAAGATGTGAATGTGACCATTTGAAAATGGGTAGCAAAACAGAATTTTCCAATGTTTTTAGAAAAAACTCAGTAGGTAAAATATTTTGTTTTTAAGCCGTCTAGAACTTTTTCTCAGAGGGAAAAAGCGGAAAGGTTACATCTGTTTTATGTTTGTCTGGCAAGTTCTTTCAAGTTTACTTGGTAAGTTCTTTTGTGTTTGTTTGGTACGTTCTTTCATGTTTGTTTGGTACATTCTCTCATGTTTGTTTGGAATGTTGTCATGTCTATACATTCTTTCATGTTTGTTTGGTACATTCTCTCATGTTTGTTTGGTACATTCTCTCATGTTTGTTTGGTACATTCTCTCATGTTTGTTTGGTACATTCTCTCATGTTTGTTTGGAATGTTCTGTCATGTCTATACATTCTTTCATGTTTGTTTGGTACGTTCTTTCATGTTTGTTTGGTACGTTCTTTCATGTTTGTTTGGTACATTCTCTCATGTTTGTTTGGTACATTCTCTCATGTTTGTTTGGAATGTTCTGTCATGTCTATACATTCTTTCATGTTTGTTTGGAATGTTCTGTCATGTCTATACATTCTTTCATGTTTGTTTGGTACGTTCTTTCATGTTTGTTTGGTACATTCTTTCATGTTTGTTTGGTATGTTCTTTCATGTTTGTTTGGTACATTCTTTCATGTTTGTTTGGTATGTTCTTTCATGTTTGTTTGGTACGTTCTTTCATGTTTGTTTGGTACATTCTCTCATGTTTGTTTGGTACATTCTCTCATGTTTGTTTGGTACATTCTCTCATGTTTGTTTGGAATGTTCTGTCATGTCTATACATTCTTTCATGTTTGTTTGGTACGTTCTTTCATGTTTGTTTGGTACGTTCTTTCATGTTTGTTTGGTACATTCTCTCATGTTTGTTTGGTACATTCTCTCATGTTTGTTTGGAATGTTCTGTCATGTCTATACATTCTTTCATGTTTGTTTGGAATGTTCTGTCATGTCTATACATTCTTTCATGTTTGTTTGGTACGTTCTTTCATGTTTGTTTGGTACATTCTTTCATGTTTGTTTGGTATGTTCTTTCATGTTTGTTTGGTACATTCTTTCATGTTTGTTTGGTATGTTCTTTCATGTTTGTTTGGTACGTTCTTTCATGTTTGTTTGGTATGTTCTTTCATGTTTGTTTGGTACATTCTTTCATGTTTGTTTGGTATGTTCTTTCATGTTTGTTTGGTACATTCTTTCATGTTTGTTTGGTATGTTCTTTCATGTTTGTTTGGTACGTTCTTTCATGTTTGTTTGGTATGTTCTTTCATGTTTGTTTGGTACGTTCTTTCATGTTTGTTTGGTACGTTCTTTCATGTTTGTTTGGTACGTTCTTTCATGTTTGTTCGGTACATTCTTCATGTTTGTTTGGTATGTTCTTTCATGTTTGTTTGGTACATTCTTTCATGTTTGTTTGGTACGTTGTTTCATGTTTGTTTGGTATGTTCTTTCATGTTTGTTTGGAATGTTCTGTCATGTCTATACATTCTTTCATGTTTGTTTGGTACATTCTTTCATTTGATTATTCTTACATCCTCTCATAACAAGCCACCCAGAATATAACTGTAACATTTAAAAAAACTGACCAAACCCAAAGGAACTTGTAACTGTCCTAATGATTCGGTCACTTTCTGAGATTCCACTGTGTAGCCATAGAAAAACTTGTCCCACATTGCTTGTAGGTCACTTCCCAAAGTACCTGTGGGTGGACAAGATGAGATGTGGAGGGTTCTTATCTTTACAATCATCACTGTCACATGACACAAACAAAAAGTTACCTTTTGCTTTCTGTGGAAATGTATCTCTCAAGTAATTGCGTAGAGGTAAAATTTCAGTCCCACAATCTGTTGTGCACAGCACATGTTTAAAGTCTGTGGCCTTCAACACTCCAGTGGTTATCTGGGGGTGGGAGCAACAACCTATTGCAAGCTGTCTATACAGGCTGTCTATACAGGCTGTCTGTCTATACAGGCTGTTTATACAGGCTGTTTATACAGGCTGTCTGTCTATACAGGCTGTCTGTCTATACAGGCTGTCTGTCTATACAGGCTGTCTGTCTGTACAGGCTGTCTGTCTATACAGGCTGTCTGTCTATACAGGCTGTCTGTCTATACAGGCTGTTTATACAGGCTGTCTGTCTGTACAGGCTGTCTGTCTATACAGGCTGTTTATACAGGCTGTCTGTCTGTACAGGCTGTCTGTCTATACAGGCTGTCTGTCTATACAGGCTGTTTATACAGGCTGTCTGTCTATACAGGCTGTCTGTCTGTACAGGCTGTCTGTCTATACAGGCTATCTGTCTATACAGGCTGTCTATACAGGCTGTCTGTCTGTACAGGCTGTCTATACAGGCTGTCTGTACAGGCTGTTTATACAGGCTGTCTGTCTATACAGGCTGTCTATACAGGCTGTCTGTCTATACAGGCTGTCTGTACAGGCTGTCTGTCTATACAGGCTGTCTATCTATACAGGCTGTCTGTCTATACAGGCTGTCTATCTATACAGGCTGTCTATCTATACAGGCTGTCTGTCTATACAGGCTGTCTGTCTATACAGGCTGTCTGTCTATACAGGCTGTCTGTCTATACAGGCTGTCTGTCTATACAGGCTGTCTGTCTATACAGGCTGTCTGTACAGGCTGTCTGTCTATACAGGCTGTCTGTCTATACAGGCTGTCTGTCTATACAGGCTGTCTATACAGGCTGTCTGTACAGGCTGTCTATCTATACAGGCTGTCTGTACAGGCTGTCTGTCTATACAGGCTGTCTGTCTATACAGGCTGTCTGTACAGGCTGTCTGTCTATACAGGCTGTCTGTCTATACAGGCTGTCTGTCTGTACAGGCTGTCTGTCTGTACAGGCTGTCTGTCTATACAGGCTGTCTGTCTATACAGGCTGTCTGTCTATACAGGCTGTCTATACAGGCTGTCTGTCTGTACAGGCTGTCTGTCTATACAGGCTGTCTGTACAGGCTGTCTGTCTGTACAGGCTGTCTGTCTATACAGGCTGTCTGTCTATACAGGCTGTCTGTCTATACAGGCTGTCTGTACAGGCTGTCTGTACAGGCTGTCTATACAGGCTGTCTGTCTGTACAAGCTGTCTGTATATACAGGCTGTCTGTACAGGTTGTCTATACAGGCTGTCTGTACAGGTTGTCTATACAGGCTGTCTGTACAGGCTGTCTGTCTATACAGGCTGTCTGTACAGGTTGTCTATACAGGCTGTCTGTCTATACAGGCTGTCTATACAGGCTGTCTGTCTGTACAGGCTGTCTGTCTATACAGGCTGTTTATACAGGCTGCCTGTGTATACAAGCTGCCTGTGTATACAATTATTACAAGCTGTATATAGAAGCTGTTTGTGTATAGGCTGTCTGTCTATACAGGCTGCCTGTGTATACAGGCTGCCTGTGTATACAATTATTACAAGCTGTATATAGAAGCTGTTTGTGTATAGGCTGTCTGGGTATAGTAGCTTTCTATAGAGTCTGTAGGTTGTTTGTCTAAAGAGTCTGTCTGTAGGTTGTCTGTCTATTGAGTCTGTAGGTTGTCTGTCTAAAGAGGCTGTCTGTAGGTTGTCTGTCTATAGAGTCTGTCTGTAGGTTGTCTATAGTTAATCTATCTATCTATCTATATATCTATATATATAAAAAGCAATGTATGTGTGTGTGTTTGTCCTTTATGCATTACTACACCTCTCATCACATCGCCGTGAAACTTTGGTAAGTTGTTGAGAATATTCCTGGGGAGGTTTCTGCAAAAAAAAAAATTTCAAATTCGCAGGGGTGGCGCCCCGACAGGGCGCGATTTGTTTTTTTCTATTTACAGTATATAAAACTAAAAGTCGATTTTGGTTTGGCATCGTTCATCCAATTCATCCAATGAGACTTTGGGGAGTTTATTATACCACTCTAGGGAAGGGTTCTGTAAAAAAATAATTTTTAATTTCGCAAGGGCGGCGCCACAGGAGGGTGCGATTTTTCTCTATATACGATATATAAAAATAAAAGTCGATTTTGGTTTGGCATCGTTCATCCGATAGCCATGAGACTTTGGGGACCTGATTAGAACACTCCGGGGTTCCGTCAAAAATCATTTTTAATTTTGCAAGGGCGGCGCCACAGAAAGGTGCAATTTTCTCTATATATGGTATATAAAAATAAACGTCGATTGTGGTTTCACGGCGTTCATCCGATCGCCATCAAACTTTGGGGACTTGATTAGAACTCTCGAAGGGAACAATTTTTTTCATTCTCCCAAAGCTTAGTTGTACCTGAATTTTTGACACCTCATATCTAGAGAGCTATTTGTCTTATAAACATCAAGTAAGTAACATTTTGCAGCATTTAGTCCCCTTTATACATTACTTTCCTTATTTTGTCATTTTAATTACTTAAAAAATTTTGTGCATCTAGCTAAACTATAGGGTATCTATAATCCATTTCTGGTTCACTTTCATTCAATGACTACATTTCCCCCCATTTCAACCAACTTCCATATATTCAATCTACCAACTCAGTCCTATGACTACCTATGGTGTTGTAATAAGAAATACCATTTTAAGGACTTCTTCTGGAGTTCCAACTTGTTTAGCACCCAGTGATGTGGCCAGATTCATCTTCTCAGGCTCCTGCAAGAAAATAGGGTCACAATGACATCACCAACTGTGGTCCATATGACATCACCAGCTGTGGTCCATTTGACATCACCAGCTGTGGTCCATATGACATCACCAACTGTGGTCCATATGACATCACCAGTTGTGGTCCATATGACAACTGTGGTCCATATGACATCACCAACTGTGGTCCATATGACATCACCAACTGTGGTCCATATGACATCACCAACTGTGGTCCATATGACATCAGCAGCTGTGGTCCATATGACATCACCAACTGTGGTCCAGTTCAGTTTTGTGAAAAAGTTATAAATAGCTCTAGTTCATCTATCTAAATGGAAAAACTGCCAGCATGCAAATAGAGGCTCACCTTAGACAAGACAAGAATAGCTGGTGGTGCCAGCATGCAAATAGAGGCTCACCTTAGACAAGACAAGAATAGCTGGTGGTGCCAGCATGCAAATAGAGGCTCACCTTAGACAAGACAAGAATAGCTGGTGGTGCCAGCATGCAAATAGAGGCTCACCTTAGACAAGACAAGAATAGCTGGTGGTGCCAGCATGCAAATAGAGGCTCACCTTAGACAAGACAAGAATAGCTGGTGGTGCCAGCATGCAAATAGAGGCTCACCTTAGACAAGACAAGAATAGCTGGTGGTGCCAGCATGCAAATAGAGGCTCACCTTAGACAAGACAAGAATAGCTGGTGGTGCCAGCATGCAAATAGAGGCTCACCTTAGACAAGACAAGAATAGCTGGTGGTGCCAGCATGCAAATAGAGGCTCACCTTAGACAAGACAAGAATAGCTGGTGGTGCCAGCATGCAAATAGAGGCTCACCTTAGACAAGACAAGAATAGCTGGTGGTGCCAGCATGCAAATAGAGGCTCACCTTAGACAAGACAAGAATAGCTGGTGGTGAACCAAATGGGAATTCATGTGGAAGTCTGACCGTTGTTCGAACTGTTCCCATAAATTTTGTCTGGAAGTAAATATGTTTAAATTAGGTTTATTCCCTGTCTAATTGCACAAAGATTTTTAAAAAAGGTTTTATCCCTCCCTAGTTGAAGGTCACAATCTTAGAACAACAATTATATCCTCTAGCACTAGATTGTTACTATCTTAAAATTGGTTACAAGTAATGCGCAACAATGTGAAATGGAAAAATGCACAAACAGAAAATTGTGCACACAGAAAAAACGCAAATAAAAAAATTGTACGCACAAAAATTACTCACCAATGAGGATTATGGCAATGTGTGTGTTTATGCTTGTATGTTTGAGTTTGCATGCGCCTATGTGTATACATAGATATATTTTATTGTCTGTATACTTCTATCGAATAATAAATGCGGTCTCACTTTCTATAAAAATAGAATCATAAATTGCTAAGGTTTTCCATTATAGAGCCTTTTTGACCAAAGGTGATAAGCCCACATGTTGTTTGACCACAGGCAAGGGTTGTCCACAGGCAAGGGTTGTCCACAGGCAGTTTGTTCACTGCGGGTGTTGATCACAGGTTATTTATATATATACCTACATTTACAGCTACACTTACGCCGACACCTACCACCCACCCACCTGCCCTGCTGTCTGTCTGTCTATACCATGTCAATTCTATTGTCATTAGAGTAAAAAGTTTTCCAAAAAATCTCTAAAAATAAGCAGGATGGACGGATGGTTAGCTCATGTAATAACTAGCAGGGAACTAATTAGCAGCTACTAAAGAGTGACTCCAGTGTTCTAGAGACTGCAGTCTGTGATGCAATTCTTAGAAAAAAATAAAGTTCATCTCCGAGTCTGATTTTGACCTAGGTACAGTATACCACCCCCCCTTCCCCCATACTTTAAAAACCGTGGAGCGAGAGAGGGGGGGGGAGAGTAGAAATGGGTGGAATGACGAACGCAATGACAGTCAGGTGCATCAGTCGGTCGGTTAGTAAACGGTGGGTGTAGGTGTAGTCGTGCAATCCACGTTTGGTCACATCATCTGTGTCTACACAGCACTGGTTGACAAACTGCCTTCGCTGTTGTCAACATGTGGGCCAATCATCTATGGTAGAAGCAATTAGTAGTCATTTTCTCATTTTCAATTAGCAGTAATTTTCTAGTTTGTGCATTTGTCTGTATGCGCATTTTCTGTTGCCATCTTTCTGGTCACACTTATAACTACATGACATAGGGGCCTACCTTTTTTGGTAGGTCTAGCCTCATGGTATAGGGGGCCTACCTTTTTTTGGTAGGTCCAGTCTCATGGTATAGGGGGCCTACCTTTTTTTTGGTAGGTCTAGCCTCATGGTATAGGGGGCCTACCTTTTTTGGTAGGTCTAGCCTCATGGTATAGGGGGCCTACCTTTTTTTGGTAGGTCTAGTCTCATGGTATAGGGGGGGCTACCTTTTTTTGGTAGTTAGGTCTAGCCTCATGGTATAGGGGGCTACCTTTTTTTGGTAGGTCTAGCCTCATGGTATAGGGAACTACCTTTTTTTTGGTAGTTAGGTCTAGCCTCATGGTATAGGGGGCCTTCCTTTTTTTGGTAGTTAGGTCTAGCCTCATGGTATAGGGGGCCTACCTTTTTTTGGTAGTTAGGTCTAGCCTCATGGTATAGGGGGCCTTCCTTTTTTTGTAGGTCTAGCCTCATGGTATAGGGGGCCTACCTTTTTTTGGTAGGTCTAGCCTCATGGTATAGGGGGCCTACCTTTTTTTGGTAGTTAGGTCTAGCCTCATGGTATAGGGGGCCTACCTTTTTTTTGGTAGTTGGTCTAGCCTCATGGTATAGGGGGCCTACCTTTTTTTTGGTAGTTGGTCTAGCCTCATGGTATAGGGGGCCTACCTTTTTTTGGTAGGTCTAGCCTCATGGTATAGGGGGCCTACCTTTTTTTTGGTAGGTCTAGCCTCATGGTATAGGGGGCCTACCTTTTTTTGGTAGGTCTAGCCTCATGGTATAGGGGGCCTACCTTTTTTTGGTAGGTCTAGCCTCATGGTATAGGGGGCCTACCTTTTTTTGGTAGGTCCAGTCTCATGGTATAGGGGGCCTACCTTTTTTTTGGTAGTTAGGTCTAGCCTCATGGTATAGGGGGCCTACCTTTTTTTGGTAGTTAGGTCTAGCCTCATGGTATAGGGGGCCTACCTTTTTTTTGGTAGTTAGGTCAAGCCTCATGGTATAGGGGGCCTTCCTTTTTTTGGTAGTTAGGTCTAGCCTCATGGTATAGGGGGCCTACCTTTTTTTTGGTAGTTAGGTCTAGCCTCATGGTATAGGGGGCCTACCTTTTTTTGGTAGGTCTAGCCTCATGGTATAGGGGGCCTACCTTTTTTTGGTAGGTCCAGTCTCATGGTATAGGGGGCCTACCTTTTTTTGGTAGGTCTAGCCTCATGGTATAGGGGGCCTACCTTTTTTTTGGTAGTTAGGTCTAGCCTCATGGTATAGGGGGCCTACCTTTTTTTTGGTAGTTAGGTCTAGCCTCATGGTATAGGGGGCCTACCTTTTTTTGGTAGGTCTAGCCTCATGGTATAGGGGGCCTACCTTTTTTTTGGTAGTTGGTCTAGCCTCATGGTATAGGGGGCCTACCTTTTTTTTGGTAGTTGGTCTAGGCGCATGGTATAGGGGGCCTACCTTTTTTTTGGTAGTTAGGTCTAGCCTCATGGTATAGGGGGGCCTACCTTTTTTTGGTAGGTCTAGCCTCATGGTATATGGGCCTACCTTTTTTTTGGTAGTTAGGTCTAGCCTCATGGTATAGGGGGCCTACCTTTTTTTTGGTAGTTAGGTCTAGCCTCATGGTATAGGGGGCCTACCTTTTTTTGGTAGTTAGGTCTAGCCTCATGGTATAGGGGGCCTACCTTTTTTTTGGTAGTTAGGTCTAGCCTCATGGTATAGGGGGCCTACATTTTTTTGGTAGTTAGGTCTAGCCTCATGGTATAGGGGGCCTACCTTTTTTTTGGTAGTTAGGTCTAGCCTCATGGTATAGGGGGCCTACCTTTTTTTTGGTAGTTAGGTCTAGCCTCATGGTATAGGGGGCCTACCTTTTTTTTGGTAGGTCTAGCCTCATGGTATAGGGGGCCTTCCTTTTTTTTGGTAGTTAGGTCTAGCCTCATGGTATAGGGGGCTTACCTTTTTTTTGGTAGTTAGGTCTAGCCTCATGGTATAGGGGGCCTACCTTTTTTTTGGTAGTTAGGTCTAGCCTCATGGTATAGGGGGCCTACCTTTTTTTGGTAGTTAGGTCTAGCCTCATGGTATAGGGGGCCTACCTTTTTTTTGGTAGTGAGGTCTAGCCTCATGGTATAGGGGGCCTACCTTTTTTTGGTAGTTAGGTCTAGCCTCATGGTATAGGGGGCCTACCTTTTTTTTGGTAGTTAGGTCTAGCCTCATGGTATAGGGGGCCTACCTTTTTTTGGTAGTTAGGTCTAGCCTCATGGTATAGGGGGCCTACCTTTTTTTTGGTAGTTAGGTCTAGCCTCATGGTATAGGGGGCCTACCTTTTTTTGGTAGTTAGGTCTAGCCTCATGGTATAGGGGGCCTACCTTTTTTTTGGTAGTTAGGTCTAGCCTCATGGTATAGGGGGCCTACCTTTTTTTGGTAGTTAGGTCTAGCCTCATGGTATAGGGGGCCTACCTTTTTTTTGGTAGTTAGGTCCAGCCTCATGGTATAGGGGGCCTACCTTTTTTTTGGTAGTTGGTCTAGCCTCATGGTATAGGGGGCCTACCTTTTTTTGGTAGTTAGGTCTAGCCTCATGGTATAGGGGGCCTACCTTTTTTTGGTAGTTAGGTCTAGCCTCATGGTATAGGGGGCCTACCTTTTTTTTGGTAGTTAGGTCTAGCCTCATGGTATAGGGGGCCTACCTTTTTTTTGGTAGTTAGGTCCAGCCTCATGCTCAGGTAAAATAATCCCCTCATGTTATCCAGCATAGCTGGCTGGGCAAATGCCTTGTGCCGCAGTAGAGCCTCTTGAATAGAGAAGTGCTGGACTGGATAAAACTTGTGGACCCAAACATTATCCAGTGGTTTAGCTGCTAAGATGGTACTTTTCTCTTGTTCACTGACATTCACTGTGGCCCTAAGAGAAAAACTCTGGGTTTACAACTTGAATGTGTACAATTGTTTGAATGTGGCGCTCAACTCTTTCAATGGGTTTACAACTTGAATGTGTACAATTGTTTGAATGTGGCGCTCAACTCTTTCAATGGGTTTACAACTTGAATGTGTACAATTGTTTGAATGTGGCGCTCAACTCTTTCAATGGGTTTACAACTTGAATGTGTACAATTGTTTGAATGTGGCGCTCAACTCTTTCAATGGGTTTACAACTTGAATGTGTACAATTGTTTGAATGTGGCGCTCAACTCTTTCAATGGGTTTACAACTTGAATGTGTACAATTGTTTGAATGTGGCGCTCAACTCTTTCAATGGGTTTACAACTTGAATGTGTACAATTGTTTGAATGTGGCGCTCAACTCTTTCAATGAGTTTACAACTTGAATGTGTACAATTGTTTGAATGTGGCGCTCAACTCTTTCAATGAGTTTACAACTTGAATGTGTACAATTGTTTGAATGTGGCGCTCAACTCTTTCAATGAGTTTACAACTTGAATGTGTACAATTGTTTGAATGTGGCACTCATTACCTTAACACAGACTGAAACGTGACATACCAATTTAGCGCTTAGGATATGCGCATAGGTACTTTTATCCTACTGCAGCTGGTCGTTGTGTATTGGGTAAATCCAGACGGTCGTATCGGTACCAATGGTCACTTTTTCAAGTCAAAATTTATGACGTCACACTCTCTTGACTCATGAGCATCATAAATTTTTGGTCTTGGTAAATTCAGCCTACTTACATTGATTATTATTACCCAGACATGCCTACCCCTGTCAGCCAAAAGTAGGAACAGTTATGCCTAAAAAGAGGAAGTTGTAGCCAAAAAGAGGAACATACGCGCGGACGCTACTTTACTAAGTCAAAAATAAAATTAATTAATTAAAAAATTACTCTAATAACATTAGTAGGCAGTCGTATATAACTAGTCTCTAGGCTACATTTAAATACTGCTTAATGTTATCTTACATTAAAAAAACATAGCTTCGATATAACATTATTGATTTGATTATTTATGTCTTGCTATGTTCTAGGCTATATGAATAACAAAGGCTGAAGGCTTTATCATATGTAATATATAATATAAGTTAAGAGCTAAGACCCTTGATCTACCTAGTAAAAGTCCTAGTTACTTCTTACTAAGTTCTTCATAATAGTAGACAGTAGTTACTAGTTAAGTTAAAACTTACAAGATTTAGATAGATCAGTATTCACTATTTCAGTATCTACTACTACTCGATCTAGAACTACTAGATCTTACTATCGCTAGTAGTATCTAGATCTAGAAATTAGCATGTTAGTCATGATTTTATTGTAATTTTTTCAATACATCTATATATATAATTCTCCTCTTCGAGCCGTTAGAAAACAAGCTGCAAACGCTCTCCCTACCTCCCCACCCCTACATGGTTTTAGTGAGTTGTGTTCACTCTAAATGTTTACAAGCAGAGCCAACGATTTTAAACGTAGGGGGGGGGGGGGGGATGGGGGGGGGGGGTTATGGTCCTTAACGAGCTACTTATAGTGTTTTAAAGAAATATTTTCAGTGTCAGCGTTGGTACTGTCGAATTCACAAATTATGAATTATTGAAAATTAGAAACAACTAAATAGCGGCGTATGTTATGCCGCGGGCCGGCTCGTATTAGTTAAGGCATAAATTAAATCTACAATTTAATTGCAAATACTAAAAAGAACTTTCAGTAGCTAGACTGTCCACATTATCTATTAGTAGATGTAGATCTAGTCTAGCTAGATCTAGTATTAGATAATACTTGTAAATATTGTAAGTAAACTAGGAAACAGAAACGTATGCCAAAGGGAGGTAAATGCTTCTCCCTGCCCTTTTTTTTTTCAATTCACTTTAGGCCTATTACCTTTTTTTATGAATTATTTTTTCAAAAAAAATCGGAACAAACTGAGTCAAAATCGGAATGACGGAACAAATTACTTTTTTAGGTGAAAAAGCGGGATGGTTCTGATTTTGGCGGAACGGTAGGCATGTCTGATTACTGAATAGTTGGTCTATTTTTACTACCAAAAATACATATAGCTTAATTATTCACTCTTTTATGCATATAAACAGTATCCATTACATATGAGAATAATTTAGGAAGTTATGTTCTAATTACGGTTTGTCTTGTTTTCGCGACATCCGGCAATAAGACATAAAATTGTACTTGGGTGCCGAGCAGGTATAGTGAGATAAGATGCCTCGTCAAACTGTCATTTCCTCAAGTATCATTATAAATAAGGAAAGGATTTACAAAATTGTATTCACCTATATATAAAAGTACACTTTAGAAAGTTACGGTCCATGCGGTAGGTGAAGTAGAATTCACTTGTTTCATTGACCTTGGTATATGGAGAGAGAGCGATGCTGGGCCAATGTGATCATGCTGCTGGGTACATTTACACCAAGAACCGACTGCAGTAACACTGAGTACCCACAGCAGTGACACCAAGAACCAACTACAGTAACACTGAGTACCCACAGCAGTGACACCAAGAACCAACTACAGTACCCACAGCAGTGACACCAAGAACCAACTACAGTACCCACAGCAGTGACACCAAGAACCAACTGCAGTAACACTGAGTACCCACAGCAGTGACACCAAGAACCAACTACAGTACCCACAGCAGTGACACCAAGAACCAACTACAGTACCCACAGCAGTGACACCAAGAACCAACTACAGTAACACTGAGTACCCACAGCAGTGACACCAAGAACCAACTACAGTACCCACAGCAGTGACACCAAGAACCAACTACAGTAACACTGAGTACCCACAGCAGTGACACCAAGAACCAACTACAGTACCCACAGCAGTGACACCAAGAACCAACTACAGTAACACTGAGTACCCACAGCAGTGACACCAAGAACCAACTACAGTACCCACAGCAGTGACACCAAGAACCAACTACAGTACCCACAGCAGTGACACCAAGAACCAACTACAGTAACACTGAGTACCCACAGCAGTGACACCAAGAACCAACTACAGTACCCACAGCAGTGACACCAAGAACCAACTGCAGTAACACTGAGTACCCACAGCAGTGACACCAAGAACCAACTACAGTACCCACAGCAGTGACACCAAGAACCAACTACAGTACCCACAGCAGTGACACCAAGAACCAACTACAGTAACACTGAGTACCCACAGCAGTGACACCAAGAACCAACTACAGTACCCACAGCAGTGACACCAAGAACCAACTACAGTAACACTGAGTACCCACAGCAGTGACACCAAGAACCAACTGCAGTAACACTGAGTACCCACAGCAGTGACACCAAGAACCAACTACAGTACCCACAGCAGTGACACCAAGAACCAACTACAGTACCCACAGCAGTGACACCAAGAACCAACTACAGTAACACTGAGTACCCACAGCAGTGACACCAAGAACCAACTACAGTAACACTGAGTACCCACAGCAGTGACACCAAGAACCAACTACAGTACCCACAGCAGTGACACCAAGAACCAACTACAGTACCCACAGCAGTGACACCAAGAACCAACTGCAGTAACACTGAGTACCCACAGCAGTGACACCAAGAACCAACTACAGTACCCACAGCAGTGACACCAAGAACCAACTACAGTACCCACAGCAGTGACACCAAGAACCAACTACAGTACCCACAGCAGTGACACCAAGAACCAACTACAGTAACACTGAGTACCCACAGCAGTGACACCAAGAACCAACTACAGTAACACTGAGTACCCACAGCAGTGACACCAAGAACCAACTACAGTACCCACAGCAGTGACACCAAGAACCGACTGCAGTACCCACAGCAGTGACACCAAGAACCAACTACAGTAACACTGAGTACCCACAGCAGTGACACCAAGAACCAACTACAGTACCCACAGCAGTGACACCAAGAACCAACTACAGTACCCACAGCAGTGACACCAAGAACCAACTACAGTAACACTGAGTACCCACAGCAGTGACACCAAGAACCAACTACAGTACCCACAGCAGTGACACCAAGAACCAACTACAGTAACACTGAGTACCCACAGCAGTGACACCAAGAACCAACTACAGTACCCACAGCAGTGACACCAAGAACCAACTACAGTACCCACAGCAGCGACACCAAGAACCAACTACAGTAACACTGAGTACCCACAGCAGTGACACCAAGAACCAACTACAGTAACACTGAGTACCCACAGCAGTGACACCAAGAACCAACTACAGTACCCACAGCAGTGACACCAAGAACCAACTACAGTAACACTGAGTACCCACAGCAGTGACACCAAGAACCAACTACAGTACCCACAGCAGTGACACCAAGAACCAACTACAGTAACACTGAGTACACACAGCAGTGACACCAAGAACCAACTACAGTACCCACAGCAGTGACACCAAGAACCAACTACAGTAACACTGAGTACACACAGCAGTGACACCAAGAACCAACTACAGTACCCACAGCAGTGACACCAAGAACCAACTACAGTACCCACAGCAGTGACACCAAGAACCAACTACAGTACCCACAGCAGTGACACCAAGAACCAACTACAGTACCCACAGCAGTGACACCAAGAACCAACTACAGTAACACTGAGTACCCACAGCAGTGACACCAAGAACCAACTACAGTAACACTGAGTACCCACAGCAGTGACAACAAGAACCAACTACAGTAACACTGAGTACCCACAGCAGTGACACCAAGAACCAACTACAGTAACACTGAGTACCCACAGCAGTGACAACAAGAACCAACTACAGTAACACTGAGTACCCACAGCAGTGACACCAAGAACCAACTACAGTACCCACAGCAGTGACACCAAGAACCAACTACAGTAACACTGAGTACCCACAGCAGTGACACCAAGAACCAACTACAGTACCCACAGCAGTGACACCAAGAACCAACTACAGTAACACTGAGTACCCACAGCAGCGACACCAAGAACCAACTACAGTACACACAGCAGTGACACCAAGAACCAACTACAGTACCCACAGCAGTGACACCAAGAACCGACTACAGTAACACTGAGTACCCACAGCAGTGACACCAAGAACCAACTACAGTAACACTGAGTACCCACAGCAGTGACACCAAGAACCAACTACAGTAACACTGAGTACCCACAGCAGTGACACCAAGAACCAACTACAGTACCCACAGCAGCGACACCAAGAACCGACTGCAGTAACACTGAGTACCCACAGCAGTGACACCAAGAACCAACTACAGTAACACTGAGTACCCACAGCAGTGACACCAAGAACCAACTACAGTACCCACAGCAGTGACACCAAGAACCAACTACAGTAACACTGAGTACCCACAGCAGTGACACCAAGAACCAACTACAGTACCCACAGCAGCGACACCAAGAACCAACTACAGTACACACAGCAGTGACACCAAGAACCAACTACAGTACCCACAGCAGTGACACCAAGAACCAACTACAGTAACACTGAGTACCCACAGCAGCGACACCAAGAACCAACTACAGTAACACTGAGTACCCACAGCAGTGACACCAAGAACCAACTACAGTACCCACAGCAGTGACACCAAGAACCAACTACAGTAACACTGAGTACCCACAGCAGTGACACCAAGAACCAACTACAGTACCCACAGCAGCGACACCAAGAACCGACTGCAGTAACACTGAGTACCCACAGCTTCAACTTAGCACACATGGCTCCAACACTCAGTACCTGCTGTTTCAGCACAGAGTACCCATAGCAGTAGCAATATGTAGCTACATCTCTGTTATTAGTAATCTATAGCTGTGTCATTTGAGTACAATAGCAGTAGCATGTAGTACCAAAATGAGAAATATTGAGTGCCATCGACAATAGTAGTGAGTACCTATACCAGTGGCACTAAGTACCCACAGCAGCTGAGCATGGAAGATTATACAACAGCTCAACACTGTCATTATTTGACAGTATTTGTTCACGTGCTTTGTGTGTATAGTAAATATAGGTCAAATGACACTGAGAAATATGAGAAATATGTGTCTTTACAAGTTGACCTTAAATTAGAGTTCACAAAAAAGGCGTATCCAGGGAAAATGAAGGAAGTCCTTTTATATGTGGTGTGTTACTGTATTGTAGTAGTAGAACCACCATAGCCATGCTTCAAAATACCCATTCATAAAAGTTAGACAGTGAGCAGGTGCAACAGAGTTATATAACTCAATGCCTGAGCTATTAAACTATAGTTTTCATGAATTTTACAAGTAAGTCTATCTCCTTGTGTGTCCATATGTTTATTTTGTGATATTCTATTGTTTGTGCATGGATATTTAGAGAAACACGTGTCAGTAAAAAATGTTGTGATATTCTATTGTTTGTGCATGGATATTTAGAGAAACACATGTCAGTAAAAAAATGTTGTGATATTCTATTGTGTGCATGGATATTTAGAGAAACACGTCAGTAAAAAATGTTGTGATATTCTATTGTTTGTGCATGGATATTTAGAGAAACACATGTCAGTAAAAAATGTTGTGATATTCTATGTTTGTGCATGGATATTTAGAGAAACACATGTCAGTAAAAAATAGTAAATGACCAGGACAAAATATTTTTTTAATTAGTGTTTGGTCCATTAATGCTGGATGTCGCTATTCACGACATACCCTAATTAGCAACAAATATAAGTCCAAATTTAAAAACAACATTAAACCTCAAATTCAGCGTCAGTATGAAGGGAGAAAATCAGCACAAATAATTTTTTACACGCTTGGAACATAATTCAGGCATTAAGGGGTTAAAGTTTAGTCTAGTCCTCATAGTCACTTTTTGCAAGGGTTTCAATATTAATTTGAGGTTGTGATAGAGGCAGAGAGGAATGGTAGCTTAGGGTGTGTTAAAACACCTGTAGATAAAATAGGCTATAGCTAGACTAACGCGCAAGCGAAATAAAGGGTAGAGAAACCAGGCTCGGGAGATGTACGTTTCTTTTAAAGAGCTACAACATTTTAGATCACTTTTTTACATGTTTTTGTAAAATATTTAACTGAAAATAGCAGAAAATTGGGACTAAAAAATGGGCATTTTGAAAAAAACTGAAATCTGCCGAAATTCTGAATCTTGATCTTACACCCTCAGACGTAATCGTCCAATCGAAAAACGTATTCAATTGTCCGTTTGACCTAATATCTCAGAGGCTAAGCCTAATACATGAATTTAATTGGAATGCGCACTCGGGCTGTTTCCATAGAGGTCATATCCGTGGGGTTTTTTTTCAAATTTTTAAAACTCTATGAAAAAAACGGCAATAGTCTGAAAAAACTGAATATCTGCGGAAAATAGGAGATAACGAAATTAGTGGAGGAAAATGGCAACTGAAACTGAAAAATGGGATTTCTGTAAAACATGGGAAAAGTCACATTCATGATCTAATATAAATGTCAAGTTTTGTTTTTTGCCATTATAATAAATTAAATCTCATTTAAACACACCAAAAATCTTAATTTTCATTTCAAACTTGCAGTTACCATAATAAAAACCATTCTTGCTTTCTTTGTGCAAGATTTACCTCTTCCTATCTTTCTTAGAGATATAACTATTTTTTTTATCCACATCAACTTTAGCATCTTTAACCCTTTGTTTCTTGTTGCGGTGGCGGACTTGGAATACAGGACTGAGGGTTGGAGCTATCTGTTGCCTGACTCCCAATGTAGAAAGTAAAACTGAAAAGATTGATTCATGTTGTTAGTAGTGGCTGAGTTCATTGTGGGAGGGTTCAACAACTTCAGTTGACTTATTTAAATGAATAATGACTAATTTGGTCTAATAAACAGATTTTTATTCCTCAATGTCAGTTTTAATGTGACAAACTGATTCAAAACTATAGGCCTAATTGGCTTAATGAAAGTGTTAACAGAATGTCAATTTTGTTTTTTATGTCACCAACCCAAGCGCCTCTTCTGTTCATCCTTTAGTCCTAATAATGACAAGCTTCCCTTTTAACTGGCCTTTATGAGCAGTCTGAGTTTAAATGTTGGGAGCTTAATGAGCAGTCTGAGTTTAAATGTTGGGAGCTTAATGAGCAGTCTGAGTTTAAATGTTGGGAGCTTAATGAGCAGTCTGAGTTTAAATGTTGGGAGCTTAATGAGCAGTCCTAGTAGATCTAGATTGTAGATCTAATCCTAGTGTTTTCCTAATGTTTTTTTTGTTTCGGTTGTGTTTATAAGAAAATATCATCATGCTCAACCGGAAGTGAACGTGAAGCGGAAAATAAAATACGCTCAAATGGAGTTTTACCAACTATAACAAGAGTAGAATCTATATAAAAAATAATAGCTCTAGACCTAGGCCGTTCGATTCACAGCTTCCGGGTTTGTTTGTCCTGATACCTATTTTTTTTAAGATCGCGTGCTACCTAGGGTAAAGATTTAGCGTAACAAGTCAGGAACCACGCAAATGCTGCATAAACAAATTATTACATTTTTTAATTATAACAGAGTAGAGCCGAATGGATACAAAGCTAAGACTAATTTTAAAACAGCTTAATTTTTTTTTTGTCTACACAAAAAGCACACATTATTTTTACACTCTCTTAAAAGATAAAGCTAATGTTGTTTAATGTAGTATGGTAAAGTAATTTAAGTATTCAATTTCAACTTGAAATCGATCTATCTTGATAAAATCTGTCACGAAAAAAAAAAAAAAAAGCTCTCCATCCTGTACTTAATACCAATTGTAATTTAAACAGACGAAAATGATGTTCTCGCAAAAAATTTTTTTAACTAGATCTATGTCTAGCTTAAAAAAAATAAATAAATAATGCCCGTTAACAGATTATTTAGCGCCCAAAAAAAAGTCAGTTGAACGAGCATTGTTTAAAATACGCAGCAATGACAAAGGCTAACGGCAGATCAATAAGTCTAAAAATCTCCTGTAATTGGGCCTAGCTCTGAAAAAAGGCCACTGAACGAGCATCACAAATTATTTAGACAAATAGGCCACGCAGTGTTGATGAGGTTAACCACCGGTCACGAATTTAAGTCAATGCAGCTACGGTCGGCCCACAGTGAAGAAAAAAATCAATATACAAAAAAAATTACTAATACAATAATAATGTCCATAATTTTACTTTTTCTGCACATGCTACAAATTAATTATAATTAAAATACTAGACTTAACAGTTCATTCCGAAAAAAAACAAAAACTCGTTTCTGTCAGGCAACTAGCGTAACAATGACGTAAAGTTACTAAAAATAGCAGAGAAAAATTGTTGCATGGTTACTCATGGGGGAATTGGATTTTGGGATAAGATAATCAATAATACTGTAAACATACATGGTAAATATGTCAATTATATATTTATTTAGGGTTAGTCGGACCGTTTTCCCTGTTAGACGGTCACTTTTGGCGGCGGTTCAGTTTTTGCGGAAAGTGCTCCACTAGAAATCCTCTCATTATTTACAACCACAATTCTCTCGATTTTTTTTCTGGCATTTTATCCATTTTATTAGCATCTTGCATTAAAATAATGATAAGAATTTGCGAGATTAACAGTTTTTCATTTGTCGTGGATAGGACCCTTAAAATAAACGTAAAAACCGCCGGAAAACAATGCATGACGTTTCAGGGTCAGAGGTCAATCCTGCCATCTAAGCAACGAGCCGGACTAATAATTAAACCTATTATAGGCCTATAGGTAATCTATCGTTTTAGGTACGTAAAATCGGCCGCGACTTGTAATGTGAAAAACAGGTGACTCCTTAAATTTTAATAATTATTTCACATTTTGAGGAGATTTATGTTTTTTAAAATACAAAAATGTTTCCATGTTTCATTGATGTACGTGTTTTTAAACAATTGAATTAAAACTTTTCAGTAATAAATGGAGACTAGCGATGTTTCCAACAGATGCAACCATGCTCATTTACTATAGCAGCCATCTTGTTTAAGTTTTTTTTCTAAACTTATAGCGCGAGATTCAGGGGGAAGCCACTCTATTTTACAAATGGCTGCTGTTTATATAGCAAATCTTGCTCGCAAACACTGCAATATATTTATATATTTAGCCATTGATTTAGGTTTATTATTCATTTATCTACAATATTTGAAACAAACATATCACAATATATTTCTATTAAAGCCTTGACAATGAGGTAACTTTTTCGTACATTACTAGATCTAGCCGCGGACGATTTTACGTACTTATCAAAACTTAAAACGATAGATTAGAGTCACTTCGTTAGATGACGTTAGAAATAAGATTCAGATCTAGATTCTAGTAATCTAGGGTAAAATCACGATATAGCCTCGGTTATTCCGGAACTGTACTGCAGTAAAACAGTAAAACCATGGCGTAGTCTGTCGAGCCGTTCCAGTAACCACCGGAAATACTGTAAACCATCATTTATTTGCCGCCATATTATTTTTAATACATAAAGTTTTAAAATGTGCAAGGATTGATTTTAGTTGCATTTTAAATACTTTTTTGCTAATTATTTTGTATTTCTAATTATTTTAAGTGTATGTGCTAATAATGGCTGCTACTAAACGTTATTCTAGTTCTTCTTACTACTTTTAACTTTGGTAAATCTAATCGTCTTATTTTACTAACAGAACTAGAGCTGGTTGTCGCAAATCTTCTGCAGGTTTTTTCTGTGTTGCTTTAAAAAAAACATCAATTACTACACTCGACTTTATTAACATTATTTAGATTTACTAATTGTTGCTAATTTTTTGTCAGTTAAACATTAAATTAAGTTAAAACATTAATTTAATGCACTTGACTTTATTTTTCTTTCAACTGTCAAATAAACTAGATCTAGATCTAGATCTAGTACTACTACTACTAGATAACTAGATCTAGAGTAAAGTTCCACGCGCGGTCACACATAGCGGAAAATTCCAAATTCCCGATTTTCATCGGCCGCTATTTTATAACCGTTTCACACAGAAACAAACCCAAAGTACTATATTATTCCTCTGCCTTTCTACTCTTAATATGTATCAATCATTTTATATTCCTACGTATTGAATTTGAGATATTCATGTTTTAATGACGTGCTACTTGCGATATTTTTTTCCCCTCTTTTTTTTTCCCTGCGGCCATCTGAACCGGCTGCGTAACGATCGTGTTTTATACGTTTTAATCCTAGTTTAATAAATAAAATTAATATTTTACACTTTTAAACGTGTTGTTGATTGTATAATTAATTAATAGATTTCAAAACCAAATTAAAAACATGTTAATTAAATTAATTAACGACATTAAAAGTTGACCCAGTGATGACTCAAGGGACGCAACTATAATAATCATAACAAAGGGACGTAACAACCACTGACAAGACATAACGTAACATTTGCTTAGATATGCTTGTATGTAGAGACACAAACTAGATTTAGAAGAAGTAGATGCTCGAAATAATTTAAAATAGCAGAAAAAAATAGAAATTATACAGATTCTAGGCTTAGCTTGAAATGTAGAGCATCTAGAACTAGACTAGTCTAGCTCAAGTCGTTGGTTACGCAGCGCGGTGAAACCACCCAAATCGACACCCAAGCTGCGGCCACCCCTATTCACCTATCAGGTTGCTTTATTAGCCTTATCTATCGTATGTATAGTGTCCCGCACATATTGTAGAAGCTATTTATAGTTAACCTAGTTATAAAAAGCTTTGATAGGTTGGTTTATTCATCTCATCCGGGACCTAGTGTTTTTCATACGGGGAACTAGAATCGCCTACGACGTCATACCTCGAAACTTTAAAATTTAAAAACTCGACTTCCAGAAGGAGAAAAACAAAAGAATTTGACCTGGATATATTTAGAAATGGACAGGTTTACAGCAGATATCGGTAGTTTCGTATAAAACATCAAAACAAATATTGTACGAAGCGATAAACAGGCGATGGCCGCTCCGGTGTTTTAACCGCGCGTGGAACATTACTTAGACTAGTAACGAATGTTGTTACCGAAACTCAACGAACATTACTCTAATAATTTCCGGTAATCTATCGTTTTAGCGTAATCAATTCGGTCGTCACTAGTAATGTAGGGATAAGGTAACTAATAAATATGGCTTAAATATGAATATATTTTTGCATATTCTACTAAAATACTAAAGATAATTGAATATTAAACCACATTTAAGGGTTAAATCAATAAAAATGTCATGAAATTAAGGTTTAACAACGATGTTCCAGATACTAAATTTGCTATTAAAAACAGCGGCCATCTTAAGAAAATATTATTTTGAGTCATTTCCCTTTCATTTCTATTTGTATGGAAATGTATTTATGTTTGCTATTAAATACGTTTGTCTTGTGTTTAAATACAAAGCATGCGTTTTTTTTTTAAATTCTGCCCTTTAAACAATTTAATTGCCTGACAATAAACATCAGTTCTACAATTATTATTATGATATGCAATTTTTATGCATAAGAAACTCCCTATTTTTATAGAGCTACCACTACATATCTAATGTTTATTTAAATATTAGTTTGAGTTAATTGTTATTGCTTGTGTCATTGTTTGTTTGCTATTTTCATTTCATATTTTCATGCTTTTTTCCTTTAATTAGTTATTAAATCATAAATGTTTACCTATCTTCACCTTAACCCCCCCCCCCCCCCCCCACTTTCGCCGTCACGAAATAGTCGTAATGTCGAAAATTACCTTTTTGCCCTGCCTGTTAAAAAGTCAAGCCATAATTCAAATGAAAAAGAAT